TCATATATTAATTTACCACAAGAACTTAAAAACTCTAAAAAAGGATTAATTAATATCAAAAATACAGATAATGAATGTTTTAGGTGGTGTCATATTCGTTATTTAAACTCACAAAATAAACACCCATACCGAATAAAAAAATCTGATAAGGAATATATTAACAAATTAGACTACTCTGGGATTGAATTTCCAGTGACTGTTAAACAATATAATAAAATCGAAAAGCAAAACAAAATTAACATTAATGTATTCGGTTATGAAAATAAGCAACCATACCCCATTTATATATCAAAAGAAAAATTTAAAGACCATATGGAATTACTATTAATAACTGATAATAAAAACAAACATTATATTCTAATAAAAAATTTTAATGCATTTATGTACAATCAAACAAAGCATAAGGAAAGAAAACACTTTTGTATGCGCTGTCTTCAATGTTTTAGTTCTGAAAAAATATTAAATAACCATATAGAAAACTGTATATTAATAAATGGTATACAATCAATAAAAATGCCTGATAAAAATAATAACATACTGAAATTCAACAACTATCATAAACAACAACCAGTACCATTTGTTATTTACAGTGATTTTGAAGCAATCACAGAAAATATATCTGGTTGTAATCAGAATAATAAAAAATCATTCACCGAAGCCTATCAGAAGCATACAGACTGCGGTTATGGATATAAAGTTGTTTGTTGTTATGATGATAAATTTACGAAAAAAATTCAACTATATAGAGGTGAAAAAGCTGTTTACAAATTTATGGAAGCTATGTTAAAAGAAGTTAAATATTGTAAAAATATTATGAAAACCCACTTTAATAAACCATTAAAAATGACATCTGATGATGAAGAAGACTTTAAAAAAGCTGATGAATGTCATATCTGTAATAAAAAATATACTAACAAAGACATTCGAGTTCGAGACCATTGCCATATCACTGGTAAATACAGAGGCTCGGCACATCAAGATTGTAATTTAAAACTTAGAATAGACTCTGATAAACTAAAGATCCCAGTAATATTTCACAATCTGCGTGGTTACGACAGTCACTTCATAATGCAAGAAATAGGAGCTATTGTTAATAAGCATACATACAAAAACAAAAAAGGTGAGGAAACGCATATGAATATAAATGCTATACCTAATAACATGGAAAAATATATGGCTTTCATGTTAGGTAACCATTTAACATTTCTTGATAGTTTTCAATTTATGAGCACTAGTCTTGATAAGCTTGTTAGTAATTTACCTAAAGAGTCATTTAAATATACCTCTGATCAGTTTAAAGATGAAAAACTTAATTTAATGACTAGGAAAGGTATATACCCATATGATTATATGGATAGTTTTGAAAAGTTTGATAAGGGGTTGCCTTTAAAAAAAGATTTTTATAGTATTCTTACTGATGAAAATATATCAGATGATTCTTATAATCATGCTCAAAATGTTTGGAATACATTCAATCTCAAAAACATGGGTGATTACCACGATTTGTATCTGAAATCTGATGTTTTGTTATTAGCTGATGTATTTGAAAACTTTCGAAAAACATGTTTTCAATATTATAACTTAGACCCATGTCATTATTTTACATCACCTGGGTTGTCTTGGGATGCTATGTTAAAGATGACAGATATTAAATTAGAATTAATGACAGATATTGACATGTTTCAATTCATTGAAAAAGGTATGAGAGGAGGTATTTCTTATATTTCTAATCGATATGGTAAGGCTAATAACAAGTATATGGAAACATTTGATAATAATAAGCCATCGAAGTATTTAATGTATTTAGATGCTAACAATCTGTATGGGTGGGCTATGTCACAAAATTTACCTACTGGTAATTTCAAATGGTTAACTGATAAACAGATTAACAACATAAACCTTGCTAAATATCAAGCAGATAGTAAAAAAGGTTTAATTTTAGAAGTTGATTTAGAATACCCTGAAGAACTACATAATTTACATAACGATTATCCACTAGGACCTGAAAAAATTAAGGTAACTAGCAACATGCTGTCAAAATATTGTAAGACAATTGCTTCTAATTACAATATATCAACAGGTTTAGTTTCAAAATTAATACCTACATTGCAAAATAAATACAAATACGTTTTACATTATAGAAATCTTCAACTATATTTAGATCTTGGGTTAAAATTAAAAAGTACATAGAGTACTTGAATTTAATCAATCTCCATGGTTGAAAAATACATAGACTTTAATACTCAAAAAGAACTAATGCAAAAATTCTTTTGAAAAGACTTCTTCAAACTCATGAATAACAGTGTTTTTGGTAAGACGATGGAAAACTTACGAAAAAGAGTAGATGTTAGACTAGTAACTAATAAAAATAAATTATTAAAATTAGCTTCAAAACCTACTTATGTAAGTAGTAAAATTTTCAATGAGAACCTTGTGGCTGTGCATAAGATCAAAGAACAATTGGTGCTCAACAGACCTGCATATGTGGGTATGTGTATCTTAGATTTAAGTAAAACTTTGATGTATGATTTTCATTACAACTATATCAAAAATCGGTATGGTGATAAAGCTAAATTATTATTCACAGATACAGATAGTTTAACATATGAAATTGAAACTAATGATGTCTATCAAGATTTTTGGAGTGATAAAGATAAATTTGATAACAGTGATTATGATAAATACCATAAATATTATGATAATACTAATAAAAAAGTTATTGGTAAAATGAAAGATGAAGCTGCTGGAAATATAATTAAAGAGTTTGTTGGTTTAAGAAGCAAGATGTATAGTTATATTAAAGATAATAATAAAGGAGATAAAAAAGCTAAAGGAATTAAGAAAAATATTATTAAAAACAAAATAAAACATGAAGACTATAAACAAACACTATTTGAAAATAAACAAATACATCATACAATGAAAACTATTAGAAGTGTAAACCATCAACTTAGTAGTTATGAAATTAATAAAGTATCACTTAGCTGTTTTGATGATAAACGGTATATATTAGATGATGGTATAACAACATTAGCTTATGGCCATTATAATATCGGTTCAAATAACTAAATATTAACAAACAGTTATAATGTGTAGTAAGCATGTAGCGTGGGCCTCTGTTAGAGTAAAATCATACATACCTGCTCCTCATGTTTGACTACATATCACATAACTGTTTGTAATAAGTAATTAATACAAAAGCGATATACAAAAAGATTCAAAATCCTGAAACAATTATTAAAAACACTTTTAACAAAAATTATATAACACTCGCTTGACAGACAAATTAAAAAACATATAGATTCCATAGTTTTGTAAAACATTGTATTATACATGCGCTGATGAAATGTGCTATCTACATTAAACAACCATTGTTGAAAAACATGCACTAAGACACGCGCCTGACAGACAGATTAAAAAACATATAGATTCCATAGTTTTGTAAAGAGCATCTATGACATTGTTGCGCTCAAAATTTCAGGCTTAGTTGCCTGAAATTCTTCGCCCCTAACAACGATTTAAAAATATGCTTTATTAACACTTGATTATTAACACTTGATTATTAAAGACGGTTTTTTAAGAGCATTTCTTAAGCCTCTGTTATTCTCGAATATTCTTCGAATATTCTTCGAATCCAATGGGAGGCGACCCCAATTTTTCACTTTGTGAAAAATTTTCCCATCGTCGCCTAGAATTTGATGGGGCTCCATCCCCTGCTCGAGCACTTTGTGCTCTGCGCTGCCGAGCCCCATCAAAACCAATGCTTTATTAACACTTGATTATTAACACTTGATTATTAACACTTGATTATTAAAGACGGTTTTTTGAAGAGCATTTTTTAAGCCTCTGTTATTCTCGAATATTCTTCGAATATTCTTCGAATCCAATGGGAGGCGACCCCAATTTTTCACTTCGTGAAAAATTTTCCCATCGTCGCCTAGAATTTGATGGGGCTCCATCCCCTGCTCGAGCACTTTGTGCTCTGCGCTGCCGAGCCCCATCAAAACCAATGCTTTATTAACACTTGATTATTAACACTTGATTATTAAAGACGGTTTTTACCCACGGGTGTAGTAGTAATATACATGGGGGATTCGAATACATAAAAAGTAAACTTTTTATGGATTCGTACCCCCATGTATATTACTACTAGCCTCGAGGCAGCTAAATGATATAATGTGGCATATTTCAACCTACAAGCTATACTTTGTAAAATTTGCCTACTTGCTTAAGTTAAAAATCTTTGTTTCTTTTAAACAATATATCATTGTCTACAAAAAACATCATGATTGGGTTTACAAATATTCTGCTAATTTCGCTTTTTTGAAGCTTAAGTGTTCGCATGAGTCCAACGTGAGATTGCCAGGTTTTTAGTTACTAAAGACTTTCTTTATCCGGAATCCCAATGTTACTTTGCAATATGGGTTTTCCAGTCATGCTTATTAGCCCTAATACATGAGGAAATAGCCAATATGTAAATATTTTTCACAGTATTAATTAAAATTCAGCACAATTAAATTCTCCAATTTTGCAAGCAAATGTTAAGCGTTGATTTGAAACATTTTGTTTTCATGTGCACTTACATAATTACTTTTTTAATTCAATAATCAATTAGAAACACTTTAAAGATAAGTTTGCTTCTAGAAGTTGATTTCAGTTGCACTGGTATTTCTAAAACGTTGGACAGAATTGAGAAAATTGCATATTTATATTATTGCCACTCAAAACGCGTTAACAAAAATACAATTTGCATTGCTCTAAAAATGAGGACGTGATCAAGATATTTTTTAAATGAACACATCGAATCAAATGCCATAGCAAATAGATTTATAATTATTTCAATGCAAGAATATGCTAATTATTAAAACTATATGCTGCATAAACTGCACGAGTGCAAAAGAAAGTTAGCCATGTTAATCCTTTTTTTGTTGAAAGTTTTTCCTGAATTCACAAGAAATACAATGGCAGCAGGTTAAAATATTTACCCTTTCGTTACTTACTAATTCTCTTCCTACTTCGCTCGAATATCTCTGAGCATCTGAGCTACGCAACATTGTTCCTAACTTTGTTGCTACTAAAAAAAGAAACATTGAAAGGTAGATAATTGCAGTAAACGTTTAACATATAATTCATTTTGACGTGCAAAATAATAAAATGCTACTAAAGATCTTAGTAAAGGTTATGATAAGCAGATTTATAAGAAAGGCAGATTTTTGTTGCAAGTCAAATGTTATTGCTTATTAAGTCTAATTTAAAACAAAATCTTGAAGGATAAACACTGCTTGTACTACCCATATTTGAAAAATTTTACAACTAATAATCATAGAACTGTATTTGATTTTTTTCGACATACAAATATAATCGATGATTTAGGATGAGCAAAATAATCACTGATCATTGAAAGTTTATTTATTACCAATTATAGTTAGTTTCTAGGTTATTATTTCCAAATTACGACGTAGATTGGCTTTACATTTGCCAATGGTTTGCAAAATGTTTTCATGTAAAAGCTTGTTAAAGCTTTTTGCAAGGCAAAATAAATGGAATGTTAAGAGCAGTGATGTCTACAAAGTTTTTGGATAAAAAATATTTAGCTAAGGCAGGATTTTGCTTTGGAAAACACATATACGAGAAATTGGTTACACAACAACGCAGGTAAAATTACATATACAATTGGCAATTAAGCATATTTTTGACGATTTAAAACAATTATTAACACTTGAAATTTTAACTTATAAACACTTTTCTATGAACGTCTAAAAACACTGTAAGATTCTCATGCAGAAAAATCCAACGTCGTACAAAGCAGACTTTCTCATTCCCAGCGTCAGTGTTTACAGTGCACATCATTGCAATACAGCGACTTTTAATTGAAATTAACGTTTAGTAAATAAACAATAAATACAAATATCTTTATGTTCAATGACCCGTGCACTCTTTTGTACATCCTTTTTACAAAAAAGAAGTCAAAATTTGTGGCTTACTTATGAATAACAAATGAATGACACAAAAAATTTGATCACCTGTGTCGTGGGAAAAAATGTCAATTACTGATTTAACTTCACTGTTAAAATAACTTTAATAGTAATATTAGTAAACTCTTCCAACTTAAGGTCTAATTAGCTGTTACTCTTAATAACACACTCGTTAAAGTAACTCTTTAAACAACTTTAATTATTGATTAATAACCAAAGATTTATTCAATAATTGGCCTGTATGCCATACAATTAACCTAAGACGGGTGAATGATGAAGCGGTATTTCATCAATGTTATTGTAATGACCGCTAAATTGTGCAACCTTTAGAAAAAAAATGAAAAAGTTTAGTTTATTTCACTGTTTCAAATTCAAAAAAAATAGCTGTATATTGACACAACCACCGCAGAGTAATGGAAATGATAAAACTCAAAATCTGCATTTATAATCTGCTAGCCCACGCATTTAAACGAAGACTATGTTGTGTTTGCAAATCTACGTTTAGAGTTAAATTAATTCAATTAAAAAAATTTTTATTTGTTCTTTATGTGGAGTAATAAAGTTGTTGGATGATATATCTGTCACGGTATCAGAATTTTTTTAATATTTGCAAGGCAAAATATTTTACCAACACATTTACAAAAATAAGAGATGTAAATAAGCGCCTTAGAATTACTCTGGAACAACAACATACTTACTGTTGTCTCAAAGAATCCTCCTGGATAAGACTGATTTTTTGACTTATGACTTTATTATTAGTCGATAGTTGCTGTCATTTCTTTCAACAAATCACTAACTGCGATGCATGAAATGTAATAAATATATAATAATGCCATAATTTTGGGGTAAGCCAGGTTTGCACATGATGATGATCACATGACCGAACTAAGTTTAAAAATCCAAAGTCTTTAAAGAAAAATTTAAAGGAAATTGAAAATTTTGATTTAAACAAATTGTTATGATGACCCGCCACATGCTTGAAGCATTAACATAAGTAAACTTGGATGTTTCTTAAAATGAACGGTCTCTTCACAAAAGCGCCTCATGAATCATTATTCGATTCTTTGAATGGTTACTTTATGGTAAGTGTGAAAAGTTGGCAAGCATGTTGTAACATGAATTATTACGACGTTTGTACAAGTACGTTTTGCACTCCGACACTCGTTGGTCTTTGTAGATTACACCTCAATTAATTTGAATTTACATAATTTAGAAGTAACGAAATCGTAAGAGATTCTATTTCGTTACTGTTCTATGTCACTATGAAGTCATGTGAGAAAGAGCGCGCGATATCAAGATTAGTTCGAGCGTAGACTTCACAGCGATCAGTTACAAAAAGTTCCTTTCCACACTATATTACAAATTTTTTGAATTATGTCTTCTACAAGTGAAGAAAATTCATTAAGAGATAATGTCGGAGATGAAGCAGCACTCCTGGGTTTTGCTGAACACGATGAACAAGATGACATGATGGAAGAAAGCGAAGAAATGCAAGTCAAATCAAAGAGTTTGAATGTTGCAACCGCCCTTTGTAGGATGAGTGAAACAAAAACTGCAATGAGTGAATCACTGAGGTTAATGCAGCAAACGTCAGTATCCTCTACAGTAGAATCTACTCGTGAGAGGAAAGCAAGTGCTTTTATCCCTGAATCAGGGCATGATGTGAAGTCTTGTTGGCACAAAACGAAGAACCTTCGACCAAGCGTAATTCTAAAGCAGAACAACCAGCAGTGTACCCGTTTCTGGAAGAGATTTTGCAGACTCTAGACGAAACTGAGAAAACTTCACCAATCGTTAAAGAGAAGCTCGACTCAATTATCAACCAGCGTTGGCTGAATAAGATGAGCGACGAGCAATTGAAGGAAAAACAAGCTAAATATTTTAGGCCTCAGAGCTGCGATCGCCTTATTGTACCTAAGGTAAACCCCGACATTTGGGGAAAATTAGACCGCACAGCTAGAGGGCGTGATTTACAATTGAGTGCCATTCAATCAGCCATGACGAATGTCCGTCATATAGCAGCACAAACTACCAATGAACGGTAGGTTGCCTGCAATAACAGCATCGAACAGAATATTAATAATCTTGTTTGTATGAACGCTGTTATCATAGCGATCCTGGAACATGTAAGTGTTGAATTGTCTCAACGACGACGTGACGCTATACGTCATAATCTCCATCGAATATTTAGTATTTTATGCGTATCGCATCTTCTCATTACAAAATATTTGCTTGAAGATGAATTGCAAACCAAAAATTAATCACATTCGCACATCCAACAAGATTGGCAACGCGACAACAAGCTCTTCTAATACAACTTGGCAGCAACATTCCAAACAAGGGAAACGACAATGGCGTCCTTTTTTATCCCGTCATCAGGGTAACACCCCCTACAGTCGAAGAGGAACAAATTAGGGAAGAAACGATCGGACACAACGAACGATTGCAAGTAGAAAACAATGAATTTTTAAGACATTTTAAGACTTTACAGGTAAGCAAGCACTCTTGTTTTGTATCAACGCTAATAGCGTATTTGAATAAAAGCTTGGAGACCTATCAGGCTGGCAGCATATCAAATTTTTTAAGTGCATGGGAAACACTCACTTCTGATAAGGAAAGCTTAGAGACAGTGTCTGGACAAAAAATTGAATTTGACACAATTTGGATTCAAAGAGCTTTACCCAAGTAAATATAGCTACCCGATGTTGAAATGAACAAGATTGATTTAGAAAGGAACTACTTATGCAAAAAAGGCGTTTTGCACATTTCTCACCATGAATCAGGTGGATTTGTATCTCCAATTTTCACTTGCCACAAGAAAGACGGTTCTTTTCGCATGATTCTTAATCTGAAATCCTTAAACAGGCGTGTCAAATATCACTAGTTTAAAATGGAGTGTGTTTGGTCAGCTATTTGGCGTATGAAACCAAATCGTTTCATGGCATCCATCGATCTCAAGGAAGCTTACTATTGTGTACCTATTCACCCAGCATATCAAAAATTCCTCAAATTTTGGTGGAGAGGGCAGCTATATAAATTTACCTGTCTTCCTAATGACCTAGCCATCTGCCCACGAAAATTTACAAAACTCTTCGTTTTTTCAAAAATTCTGTCAAAAAGGACATATTTCGGTTGGATTTATTGATAATATTTGGCTGACATACGACACATATGCTTCATGTGTTCGTGCTTCATGCTGAGAAGATAAAACGCATGTGTCATGAGCTGCTACAAGCTTCTCACCCAAAAATAAGGGATGTTTCTCGGATTTTGGGCACTCTAACTTCGAGTATCCCCCGAGTAGTGTACGGTAAGTTGCATTATCGCTAACTGGAAATGGAAAAAAGCGATGCCCTTAAGTCAAACCGCGGTAAATTTGACAAGACAATGACCCTGTCTTCTGTGGCCATACACGATTTACGATGGTGGCAGTTATTTATATGAACGACTTCCAAGCTATTTACTCAAAATAAACCTAGCATATGCCTAAAAAAAGATGCGTCGTTTACAGGATGGAGCTGCTCCCTAAATGGTGTATGTGCTGGGAGTAACTGGACGCCCTTGGAAGCTTCCAATCATATAAATTATTTGGAAATTCTTGCGGTATTGTTTGCTCTTGAGTCATTTTCTTCAGAACTAAAAGGTCAGCATGTTAAGGTATTAATTGATAATACTACCGCTAAAGATTGCATTAATTAAATGGGCACATGCCACTCAAGGTCTGTTCTCAAGCTGACATGCAATGTCTGGACTTGCTGCATTTCGTATGATATTTGATTGACAGCATTACAGAATTGCAAAATGTCACTGCGGATCGAGAATCTCGAATATGACGCAGATAAACAGAATGGCAGTTGAACAAGACTCTGCTTACGTGTGCCATTCAAAAACTAGACGTAACTCCGAGCATTGATTTGTTTGCGTCAAGGTTGAATATTCAAGTAAATCCTTATGTTTCATACCAACCTCACTCGTATGCTATAGCTGTCAACGCCTTTACGATATGGTGGGCCAATTTTACATTTTATGCGTTCCCGCCTTTTAGCATAATTTTGCAAGTGTTACAAAAAAGTACAAGATAAAAGCACAGGACTAGTCTTAGTCCCAAACTGGCCAACACAACGTTGGTGGCCAGCTTTGATGCAGAAGCTAATAGCACATCCTATTGTTTTACCTAGAGGAAGAATGACCTTTACTCTTCCAGCTTATCCAGATCAAATCCACCCTCTCCATACAAAACTGGAGCTATTACTTTGCCAGTTAACGGGAAACTCCTCTATGATAGAAGCATTTTACAAGAGGCTTCTCAAATCATCCAGCAGTCTTGGCCTACCGGTATCAAGAAGCAATATTCTACATGGCTTAAAACCGTTGGCGACAATATTGCAACGCAAATAAATCGATCCTATCTCGTCCTCTGTAGAAGAGGGCATTAATTTTCTTGCAAAATTATACAAGGAAGGTTTATCCTACAGCAGTATTAATACTGCAAGGAGCGCATATCTACTATCCGAATTCTACCAAGGTACATCTCGTTTGCTACACATCCACTCGTTGCTAGGTTTGTTAAAGGTGTATTTGTTGCAAGAGCAGCTCTTCCTAGATATGCCATGGTCTGGGATGTTTCATTGGTATTCAAACATCTTCGAAATCTTCAACCTCAAAAAGATCTCAATTTAAAATTATTAACACTAAAAACAGTAATGCTTTTAGCTTCATTATCTGGTCAGCGATGCCAAATACTTTATGCATTGGATATTTCTCATATGGAGAAGAATGATGATCGAATAGTTTTTCATGTGCACCAACTGCTCAAAACATCTAAACCTGGTAAGCATGCTGCTCCTTTAGAATTTCGGGTTTATCCACCAGAAACTGGGTTTTGTGTATTTAATTACTTGTCCCATTATCTAAATGCCACTGCACCCATACGAAATGGTGCAAGACAACTCCTATTGAGCTTTTAAAAAACCTTATTATTCGGTCACTTCAGCGATCATTTCCCGATGGTTAAAATACGTGTTAAAGGATGCTTGTATAAATACTAAGGTTTACAGTGCACACAGTACTAGAACTGCATCTACTTCTGCAGCAAACGCATTGAATATTTTTATGGACACTATTATGAATGCAGCTACATGGCGTAATGAACAACTTTTCAAACATTCTATAATAAACCAATTGAGGCGAAGAACTTTGGCAATGATCCACTTTCTGCCATTTGTGAGACATGAAATGTGAAATCTCAATTATACATGTTTGTTATGAGTTATTGCTCATGTCACATTGTTTAAAATCTCATATTACTACCTAGTGACGTAGAACAGTGACGAAATAGAATTAGAAAATTAAACGAGACTTACCTGAAGTCTAATTTTTAATTGAAATTGTATGAATTACTGTTTAGGAACTAGGAAGTCCCCCACCCGACAACTAACTTACTTCTTTTCAAATGATGTTAAATACTCTTTGCCTCAATATGCATAAGGACGTTCGCAAATTTTTTAAAAACTGATCTTGATATCGCGCGCTCTATCTCAAATGACTTCCTAGTTCCTGAACAGTAACTCATAGAATTTCAATCAAACTTTGTCTTCAGGTAAGTCATTTTTATTTCTCATTTTCCTAATTTTATTTTCGACTTTCGTTAACATAGCAATATTTACAAACCTATACCCTACGTAGTAACCTTCGAATTTACCAATAAACAAGCATTTACGTACTTGTTAGCAATGAAATTATGAGCTCTCGCTATAAACATATGTTATATATCTTTCCTGTTTTCTTACAAACTTTCGCCATCTCACCAATATGAGATGACTAATATCCTAAATTAACTTTTTTTCAATACAACTTCATAGTACACAGTCGTCTAGTTACTAGCCAAGAAAATGGTGGACTTAACGCATGCGCATAGAAAATATGCCAAGCATTACACAGTCAATGAGTGGGGCTTCGAAATTACTTCATACATAATCAAAGCCTCAGTTTCTCTCAACTGATTTCTTGATTCGAAATATCTAGGAGAAAATCTTGCCATAGATGGAGAAATGACTTTGCTGATGATTAGATAGAGTGTGATTTTTATGCCGCTCTCAATATATGTGAATGTGAGTGAGCTTTTAGAATACGGGCATAGACTTCTTTAAAATTTTTTATTGCCAAAATAAATATAAATCCCAAAGCATCGACGACATTTCCGTCAAGCAACTTCGTGAATATCTCAGGAAATACATTACATTTAGGTCCAAAAGAAAAGGAACAACGGAAAATACAAAACAATTAAGTTCCTTCGTAAGAACGGAATTGTCTATGTTGAGTTTTAAATCGTACGCACTCACCTCAATGAAGTAGTTTATTTAAATTATATATAATTTACATTTCGTCGTATGGATGGCTTAGACGCAAATAAGACATTAAAAAGGCTTAGTGCAAAAGCTCAAACAAAATATTTACTTTTTAAAATACATAAAATTCAGTCCAAATTCATCTATAGTGTGTCTACGCTATATACTAGTCATTCAGTGGTGGATTCAAGTTTATATTAGAAGACTAATAAATACAACGCTTAATTTGGCCTTATTTGTTATAACTATAAATTCATGTTATGAATAATTTCCATTGATTTTAAAATCGTCCAACTCCTGGTCTGCATTAAAACTTAAAATCGTCCAATCATGTTTCCCTTTAATCATAATTCACTGCTTTAAAGGAACACACGACAAATATTTGTTAAATGTTTATTGAGTGCTATTGGTTTTGTAAAAATTTTAACGCTTGACAATTAAAGCAAGCCAAGAATATATTCAAAGTACAAATCATTAGTACCACAGATAAAATAACTGATCATCTAAGACGTATAGTAATTAAAACTTTATTTATTTTTTGTGTATCTTACCTTGAACTGATAGCTACTTCAACTTTTTTAAAATCGTCTCATAAAAACATCATACGCATCCTTTAATTCCGTGTATAATAAATGTTTTTAATGAAAGGAATTTGAACCATCGTAGGAATATATTGTTATGTAAAACAAGGGTATTGCACCATATGATTTTTATTGTTGTTAATCATAACATTTTTTAAATATTATAGTGAGCAATGATTGAGCAAAACATTAGATGTATATTTAAATTATAACTTTACGATGTTTTTATCGTAGTGCATATGCTCTCTTTAATACTTTGATCATTTCTCTAGTACTTATAATTAAATGTTCTTTATAAATTAAATTGCACAGAAAGAAATTCTGATATATTTTTAGCATAATAATGAATGGCCGGCTGAAAATTGCAACACACAAACTTGTTTAATTATTCACGAAATTTGAAAGAAACATAAACAAAACAAACATATTATGTCTTCGTTTTATTATATATGAACATGAAAATAGCAAGCAAAACACTCACTGACGGTTTTAATTCAACAACCTAAAATACAAATGTTCTTCAAATACTGGCAAACATTGGATGTATGACTATATATGAGCAATAAACAATTTTCCTAAATTTTTGGTAAAAGGTCAGAACGCTAACTCCCCCAGCGACTTTTCATATCATTTAGCTTCCCTAATACGAAGTATGTTCTACAACCACAATGCAAACGAGAGTCTTCACCTCCTCCATTATATTTTGACCAGTTGCATCCAAATACTTTCCTCATCAAGGTAATTCAATAGAAATCTATAGTCATTATTAGAAGGAAATCTAGAAGCTTTCTTGAATGCGTGAGCATATTTTATACAACTGCACAGAAGTTTTTTATTCTGGTTTTTATTGTGGCATGATTATATATATATATATATATATATATATATATATAATCATGCCACAAAACCAGAATAAATCCAGATGGTTAAATCCCTGAAGAGTGAGCAATCACGAAACAGGCTTGTCGGGATGAAATTGTAGTTTTGTGTATTTTCTTCTTCTTATATAAATATATATATATATATATATATATATATATATATGTATATATATATATATAGTAATTTAACTATATTGCATGAGAACAACTTACTGGGTACAACTTATTGAGGACAATTTACGAGGCACAGCAAATTGAAGATAACTTATACGGCGGTGTACGTTGACAAAACAACACCCTACAAGTCTTGGAGTCATCAACTAAGCCTTTTTGGCTTCTGTACCTTTAATTTGTTCAGAAAAACTATTGTGAATCATTATTAGAATCACGTACTCTAGACTTGGGGTAGTGTTCAAACAGAGCAATAAGTTAAATTTGTTAGCCTACCATTTGATAGTATTGAGACTCTTATTGTTATAATACGCGATCAATGAGAATTAAGTTGCATCACTGATTATAACTGGTGTCACACTATTTTTATAACATGTGGAAATACAACGAAAATTCGTATTGGTTGTTTCAGTCATGATAATTTGAAACGTGTGCGTGTCTCAAAATGATATCATTATTTAAAAAAATGAAAATACATACATAAATTACCCTAAATATGCGTTCTAAAATGTTAAAATATTTCAAATATGCACAACATTTCTTTAGATTATAATGAAATTCCTGATTGGACCGTCATAGCTCTACGTATCCAAGCTTTCTAATTTAGATATCCAATTTTTGTCTTCTTCATCAGTCGCAGCATACAAATTATACAATCGTTTCTCTGTACGAAGCTATAGAAGCAAATAAGGCAGTGAAAGTAGTCTTTAAGAAGACTAAGTATTTTACAAGCATGATGGTTTCCATCGGTTTTATTTCAAAGTTTTAAGAACAGGGCTGAATGTTATCAGCATAAAATATTTAATTGCTGTTTCAAGCTCAAGCTAAATCAACTAAAAGTGATAAAGAAAGGATCATCTTTAAGCTTCAGGGAAAATTTGAAGGTTTATAAAAGAGCTTATTACCATTATTTAATGCTAGCCACGCTTACATCGTTCACAGAAAATAACGAGCTCGATTAACCAAATGGTTTTTCATACAATAATTTAAACCAATCAAAATTCGTGATGATTTAGAGCACCTTAAAGCTTCAAACAAACAACACAGTGATGAAAGATACACAAATATATTTACTTAGGTCGAAAAAAACTTGCTTCTCGTTCGCTAAAAATATCAATAAAATGGCGGTTGATCTCAGGTGTTGGGCGTGCTGTTTGTAAAAAGCTCGAGAAAAAGGCTAAAAAGGACGACCGCATAGCCCAAGCTGCTGCGACGATTCTGATGACTGTTGGTGATATTACGTCACTTGCTCTTAGTGAAAGCCGAGTCTCACATGAAGAGTTTGAACAGGTTTTAAATCAAATACGGCGTTTTAACGAGCGTAAACGCGTTATCCAAGATGAATTCGACGCTCTAATGCGTAAGAAACAGGCTGCCGATGTAGCTTCTCTACTCAAAGAGATGGAAAGACGAATAAGAACTTGGAGCGTGAAAAAAAAGGAGCTGTTGCCGCCGCTGCTGAAAGCACACGCCGTGAAGGTGAAGCTTAAGCTTTCAAGAAAATCGCGGGTCTGGCTGGAGGCTCGTCATTGATTTCTCTCCAGTAATTAATAAAAAAAATTTTCTATTATATATAGTAGGTATATAAACGTCGCATCAAACTAATGGCGACTTTAGTAATCGGTGGAACTGATGATGGTTATCGATCTGGAAAACAGGGATCACCAGGGCCTAGAGGCCCAAGAGGAGCTAAGGGAGATAAAGGTGACACGGGAGCTGCGCGTGCTCAAGGAGATACGGGTCCTAGAAGACCAAAGGGAGAAAAAGGAGTGAAAGTTGATGAGGGTTCTAGAGAAGCTAAGGGAGATAAAGTTGACCCTGGGGACAGAGTGCCCAAAGGAGAGACAGGACCTCGAGGGCTTAAAGGGGATGACGGAACTGAAGGGACTAATGGAAGCGATGGTGCGCCCGGGATCACAGGAGCTTAAGGTTCTCAAGGACCCCGAGGACCTCGGGGACCTCAAGGACCTCAAGGGCAACAAAGCATTAGAGGTCTAACAGGTCCTAGAGGAGTGCCGATGTCTACAGGGGCCGCAAGAGCCACAGGGCCTCAAGGCCTAAAGGAGATACTGGAGCCACAGGGCCTCAAGGGCCTAAAGGAGATACTGGAGCCACAGGAACTCAAGGGCCTATAGAAGATACTAGAGCCACGGGGCCTCAGGGGCCGTCAGGAGGTCAAGGACCTCAAGGACAACCTGGAGCTGATGGGCTCAAAGGAGACCAAGGAGATAAACCTGCTTTGAACTCTCCTAATGGATTTTACCCCCAGGTATGAGCGGAGTAAATGTAACTTTTGTAACGTTTCCTACAGGAAAAACACTCGAAATTAATAAAATAGCATTTTTAAATATTTGGTTTGAACGGTCTCAAAACGAGTGGTTCAACATTAGATCTACTGTGTTTGAACAAAGTTGGGGGCCTCATATTAGTTTCGTGCATGATACCACTAACAAATGGATGTCATATGTTAGTACAATACCCTCTAAATGAACGCGAAGATATGAGCTACACTATTTAGAGTATTCTTAATAGACTAACAAAATTTTTTATAATATATATAGAATTACAATGTCTAACGCATCTGAGCCTTCGGTTCATGAATTTGAATCAACAAACGATCTCTTTCGCCGAGCAGTAGAAGTATACGTACGACAAAATAGAGAGAAAAATTTTGAAAAATTCCAACTAGAATGTAACTCTAGTCCTGAAAAAATAGTCATATCTTCGTGGAACTATTCAGACGTAGATAAACCTTCGCGTGAGGCTCTCGAAGCTTTGCTACGTCCGGCAAAAAACCACCACGCTCGTCGTGTAAAACATCATAGAAGACGTGAAAAACATAAAAAGCGACTAGAAATTCCAGTAGGTGTGTACACTCAAGTTGGTACTTCAGTCACAGGAAAAAGAGGTTCAGATTGGACCAATGTCGCGATGTGTGAAAAAGGTGAAGAAGATTCTTCTACAATAACCATCGAAACCGCTGGACTCTACCGAATATCACTAAGTGGAAAATGTTTTACAAGTGCAGAGGCGCTACGAGTACTTCAATCTCCTACCAAATTACTTGTCTAAAGTAAAACAAAAACACATCGTATTGGTGATATTAACTTTGAATGTAGCTATAGCTATTTTATAGATGTAGACTTACCTGCTGATGCAACATTATTTGTTCAACAGATGGGAACTGCTAAAGTAATTATCACACTCACTATAGAAAGTATAATACCCGAATCTTCAACGGTTATTTGATGAACATTTGCTACCCGAAGCTCTAGACGAATCTAAATGCTTTCCTTCATCCTCTAGAACTGAATAAGAACACTTCACATCGCCGGAGGCGTCGGAGTTTCAGTTTTTGGAGGAATTGCACTTAGAAACTGAAATGCGTTATAGCGTATTAACGCTGGGGCGCTCATAATTCCATACGCACCTTCCCAACCTACGGAATTTGTTATAACAGGTGGTCTAATTTCTATTACGTCATTAGGCTTAATAGGTCTGCGCTTACATGGTGCCGAAGGACGTTCAGGTGGAGCTGTATTGGTACGCTTTCTTGATGTATATGCTAGTGGTTGAAAAGCTTCAAGGAATGAGTTTAGAGCTTTACCACCGATAACACCCTGTTTATATAGTAACAGAATCTCTCTAAAAGTGTCCATCTCGATTTTATATACTATATAAATAATATTCTTCTAATTGTATCGTACCTGTCTGTATTAGCAGCTTGGTTTGTAATTTAAGATGTTCTTCTCTTTGTGTTATTATTATATTATTCAATTTTTTCTCTCTTTCTCTTCTTTCTTTTTGCTCTTGTCTTTTCATACGTACTCTTTTTGATTCACTATTCATCTTAGCACGTACCCTACTATACGCTACTTTTAAATAATAGACCCCAACGGCCGCGCGGACGCGGGGGGGTGGGCCGGCTGTCTTTGGCTCCTGCCGTTGTCCAGGGTTTGGCATTCTCTGTAATTATGCTAGCATACGTAGGTGAACTAGGGCTTGGGAGCTTAGATTTGTGTATACTCCTTCTCAAACTGTGAGGTGCGCCAGAATCGGTAGCCTTCAGACCGGGGGTGCGCTAGAACTGTTGCGCCAGAACCGGTATTCTCTAGACCGGGGGTGCGCCAGAACCGGTAGTCTCTAGACCGGGGGTGCGCCAGAACCAGTAGTCTCTACACCGGGGGTGCGCTAGAACGGACATTCTCCAGACCTGGGCTGCGCCAGAACCGGTAGTCTCTATACTACTCCATTTATTGCGATTATTACCACGTTCCCATATGGGATTATCGCGATTTAAGTTAATCGCTGTCGCGTTTGTCGCATTAAACTAATATTGGAAACCATGCTTTAAAATTGCATACGAGTTAGCCCAGATGTTTCAAAAAGCATTATTCCTAGTAAGTATATAATGAATTATTGAACATTGTATACAATAACTTTACTGGGTTACAACGTTGAGATCGTCTAGTTTAGTAAAGTAATATATCTTATACATGGCGATTGGGCAAAAAGCACTTGTTAATACTGTTCACCAATCTTCAGGAGGAGGTGGAGGGTCTTTTGTTGCTAGGAAAAACAATGTTCCACTACTGGTTGCTGGAGGAGGTGGTGGTTTAGAAAACCTGAAAAAACGTCTAGAAAATTGTGATGCCAGCAATGAGACATCGGGAAAAAATAATAAATGTGTCACACCTTGTGGAAACTGGGCTTGAGGAGTAAACGGACAAGGAGCAAAACAGGCAGAATCAGGAAATTCAGGTATAATATCAGATTTTACAATATCTGCTTGTATCATTGAATAAAATACATGGAACGCCATCTTAAGCAAATATTTGAAGGCAAATCTTACATCAGACACGCAATATTTTACCACAGACACGCGATATTTTACCACAGACACGCGTGTGTAGTTTTTCGAGATTTTTTTGCGGAATACTATTTGAGTAAACACGCGTGTCTGAGGTAAAATCTCGCATGTTTGGGGTAAAGTCACGGCGTTTGTGACGTCATGCTTTTCGTATAACAATGACGTTGGTGGATTTGGAGGTGGTGGCGGAGCATATGGTTTTGGTGGAGGAGCAGGTGGAGGTGGGGGCTACTCAGGTGGAGCATCCGGGGATAATGTGAATGGATCTTGTGGTGGTGGAGGTGGATCTTACAATGTTGGAAAAAATCAGGTAAACAAGCCTGGTTTTAACAACTAGGGAGACGGATATGTCGTTGTCATTCGAAAGGCGTAAAAGAAAGTCAGCTTTATGTTAAATAGTATCAATTTTTGGATTCGTTATTGTCAAAAAAAGAATCCACTATTTGTAAAAATGACAGAATTCGGGATAAAGATAAATAAAACTTCATTGTTTACAAATAGCATTTCTCTGGATATCATAAATAATTTTATTGAGCTTTCGACTCGTTGCTTCGAGCCTTCATCAGAATGATGAAATATCTATTTACATGTGCGTTTAGCATGTAGACGCTTAAAGCATCTAACTGGATTATCGAGTGGATTAATGTCATTGGATGGGGTGAAATGCGTTGTCATGGGTTTTGGTGTATTGTGAATATGATCGGTGTTAATATTATTAGAGTGTAATATTGTAGTTTTGGTTTTCTTTGTAGATTTTTTGTCCTTTTTCTTTAGTTGTGAGTATATGATGGGTATGTTGATATGTCTGTTTATTGTGTCGTTGTCTTTACTGTACCAAGCTTCTTTAAATTTGCGTGTGTGTTTAGTCTGTGCGCGTCCGAGTACTTTAGTTTCTGTCCAGTCGAATGTGTGGTTGTTTCTGTGGCTAGGTTCTGCTGGTAGTGAGTTCCATAAAACGACGAGATCCGAAATGAGCATTTTATGAACAATACTTAAATGTTTTGCCAAATATTTATGCTCATTATCATGCCAAATATAAAGCTCATTAGCATGCATAGGATCATAAAATTTACTTTACAATAATGCTATTCTAAAAAAGATATAGTTTTAAAAAATTTCAACCAAGTTGTCAGGCATAGACCCCCCCAGAGAACCCTATTCACACCTCTATATAACAAGTTAAGTTACAAATGACGTACTACAAGGGACAGTTTATAGATGTAGAAAATTTGAGACTTTAAACCATGCAAGTTTATTGTAACCCTTCACCCATTTCCACTTACAGTGCCAGGAAATTACCTTTGGAGAAAATACTCAAAATTTTTTTCTGCTAAAGGTTAGACAAAGAATATCAGATTGAAAATTTGCAATTAAGGACAGCTTAGTGTTATTGATATTTATTAGGCATTTCACTAGACTACTATCTCCTGTAAGTTTAGGCAAGGTGTGCTATATAGCAATTACCAGTAGCATTGCATTTGCCAATGCAAACAGAATGTAATGGTGTAACCAACATGCCTTTAATCATATAATTACATGAATGTTAAAATGGTTCATATGTCATGCTTACTGGTCATGATAAATATCTTTTCATCTAATCAAAACTAGTTTAAATGTAAATCTGAAATAATTTTGTTTAGAAATTATAATAAATGATCATTAGAAAAATTACCTAGTGATCACAAAAAGTACTTTACTGTTTTGCCAAATTTCAAGGTTTATCTGCACACCTAGAAACACATTTTTACTTTTTAGAAAATGCTTTTCATACATCAATAGCCCTTAAGAACTTCTGGCAGACAATCTGATCTGAGCCGTAGATCAACACACCTTGACATCTCTACATGAGGCGTTCAGTTCGAAAAGGGGACAATATGTGACATGGGACAACATTTCATGTATTTGAAATACTCAGGTTTAATACCATTCCAGTCAAATTGTCAAAATAAAAAGCTTCATGGATCAGAAGACTCAAAACCACAGGTTATAGTAAACAGCTTCTCATGTAATTAATATAGTTTTCTTAAATCTTAAACAATGTGCAGTAAAACTGTCAAATGATTGAATGATCAATGATCATAAACTGAAAAGCCTCAAACATTAGTTCATAGTATGGTAAATAATAGCATGGCACCTTATGGCTACAGATTTTTTGTCCATTGAAATACATTTAAAGGAATGTAGAATTTTGCTACCATATAACGGTCAATCTGCTTACCATACGCCACATTGACATAAATCGCATCACATACTTGCATAATTGACTTTAATACTTTACAGTCATGCATACACTTTAGTTGTCCTTTACTTACGACTTTGGATGTAAAATTCTGCTGAGAAAAATTTAAAAAGTGATGGCTTTCTTTTGAAAATCAATGACTGAAATGTCTCTTGCGAGATCGTCTTTGCCATGCATTTAATTACAATTCAAGCAAAAAAATTTTTCACCCTCTTGAAAAAATTCGCAGCCTGGACAGCAGCATTCATGTCAATATATGAATTGGTAAAAGATTTTCCTAAATTTCTATGGTGGCTCTTATTGTAGTTTCTATCATGCTTATAAAAACTACTATGAAACAATCAAACATTTAATTCAAACATTTAGTTCAGCTTATCAGTCGAAATCGGTCAAACCAATCACAGTAATAGAAAAATTTAAGCAAAACAATTATACGATAGCACTTGGACTCCTTTATCGGTCCGGCCACCCCGCTTATCGGTCAAATTTATCCCAGATCGTCCACTAATCTGGCTATTTCCCAATGGAATGGCTTAAATAAGCGTTCTTGAACTCCGTCAACGGTCGAGCCAGTCGAGGCACAGGCTTATCAAGCAGCCAGTTAATATAATTCCAAACATGTTAAAATCTACTGATCTGTTTACTAAGGTGGTATTTGTATAAGTTTTCATATATAAAACAGAATTTTGAGGATGAAATCCAAACTATTACAGAATGGGAAATTTTCACGTTTAATGATCACAAAAAATTGAATGATCACAAAAAATTGTAATCATTAAATTTGATGAATAATATTTGAACTATATGAACATCAGTCGCGTGACGGATTTGACATACACTAGATCCTCCCCTGGTTCGTGTTGTATTTCCTCAAGTACACAATTAAAAACTCAATTACCCCCAAAAAATCATAAAGATAATGAGCGGAAAACTCTTTGGCTGATACGTAAACTGCAAAGAAATCCAGATCTTCTCTCGTTGAATTGAAGTTATTGCGTCCTCTAACTACCATTGAAGATAGAAAAGTATTGCCTGAGTACATCCTTAACAGAGATTTTATCAAATTCTGAAAGAACATACCTCAGTCAGCATAATTATTGCTGTACTTAATTATTATGTACAATTGTCAATCTTAGTAAACAGTGTCCTAAGAGATACTATAATATTTCAAAACCAAAACCTTTAGCGAGATGCTTGTGTGATATCAGGACTTCACTTCCGTCTCCCCTTCCCCCCTCCCGTAAGCCGCTCCAAATATCATAGTCTTATGCCCGCTTTTAAGCCAAAACATCATGGCATCAAACCTTTACATTTGTTTCCTTATAGTTTGACTTCATTTTACTTGTTTCATGGTAGCAATAGGGGGCTTACACAGTTTGTAAAGATCGACAATCAATTCCAACAACAACCTGTTTTTCATTTTTTGGCTTTTTAATTGAAAGAGTCACAATGCCTGCAAAATGTTAATTTATTGTTCACAAACATCCCATTTGACAAATTATTTGAAATCTTCGATAAAGACATTGCTTCTAACTTTTTCACAGAGTCTTGCAGCGACACACAATCTTAAATAAAATGAAAATCAATAGACAAAGTCAACAATAATATCATACTGAAATCACTATGTGCGTGCACGCTCGTCCATAACGCAAGTCTAATTATCCATACGTGTTTCGTTTTCTCTCTATTGTTAAGTCTTCACCCGCTGGAACAATTCCTGCCACATCAATAGTAGGAATGACAATGTCTTTCAACGTCGCTTTAGTTTTGAGCGACTTAGTCAACGCAAGATTCATGTTATAGCATGAATCGTCAAAGTTGAACAAAGATGCGATGTAGCCGGAGCTTGAAAATTTGAGCGATGTTTACGGACAAAATTTCCGCACTTTCTCCGCCGTTTCAGATCTTTTTCTTTTTAGTAACAAGATACAATGATATTCTTTCAATAAATTGTGTATTGGTAGGAATTTCTAACTTTGGACCGCCAGAAAAATTCGGAAAATTCGTGGCTGTAGCACCTTAAACAAGTCACACATTGAATCACAATTTAATTGCAACCAAACTAGGTTTAATTTGTTGCAGATACTGGACGGGAAAAATCTTTTCTCTGACTAAAGTCCAGCTATCTAACTTCTCCTCATTACAGGATCCCACCGAAGCTGAAATCTAAATTATGAACTGTCAATAAATTTGGGTTCCTTCTTTCTATAAATGCAAAGCCTGCTGTTTTTGGTGACTTTGATTAAATGAAACATGCCATCATGTGTGGAGTTATTTAGTACAGACAACGAATCAATACTTGCGCACAGACATTCCATTGTTTATTTCCTATTCTGCTAGTCCTAAAGCAAACACTTATAAAATATCTGTACACGAAAAACCTGTAAAAAAATTAACAAATGCAGTAATTGTGTACAATGAGAAATGGTGGATAGCTAACATCATGTTTTCTTTAGTCATAGTGTTCATAACACTTGACATTTTATTAATCTACATACTCTATTTATCGAAAAGTATAGAAGTTTACACAATCTAATATATACAGCCATCTATAGAACTTATAGTTTTCCTGTCGTTTAAATTCAACAAATTCATTAAGAGGAAATCTATTTGATAGATTTCTATAATCAGTGACAAACACTGCGCTTGTTCTCAAAGAACTATCGTCAATTATTGGTATTAAGATTAATATAAACTCAAATCTATCTTTAATAGGTGAAGATTATAAAAAATGACATATTAAAAAAAACTTAAATAACCCACGATTTAAAAGCTAAGCGTATGTGTTTGCGTTCAGATTGACAAAAAGATTGACAAAGGTTTTATTTGTATAAACGACATTCACGATATTTTACTTCGCATATGTTTCAAATGCTTTTTAGCTCTGCCGTTTTTGTGAGCAAGATATTTTAAATTGCACTTTTAATTTAGCATGGGAGAGTAAACATAATGTCAGTGTCTATAATTGGATGCATATGAGTTTGGATTCACTTCATTCGTCGATGTTGGCGTATGCTAAATTTGACTTTTGAGACAACCCACCTTCCTCCTGTTTCGCTGTTTTTCATTATTTTTGAATTTTTATCAATGACCTGCTTCAACACAACGAAAATGCCTAATACTGTTTTTCAGCCGTTGATTGTTCTGGCAATTTTAAGTGTTTCCTTTAAGTCAACAACCTTTTACGGCATCCCCATTGGCGTCCTAGAAATCCGTTTGAGTTTTTTATACTATCGATTTATGTATTGAACACCAAATCTTATTCATGTGCAATATGTTTGTCTAACTTCAATTTTTAATGGTCTTAGCAGTCTTATATTTTGACAAAGTAGGAAACATTCAACACAAAATTACCAAACGTTAATTCAAACATTTTTAGAAAACCGTAAATATTCCATAGATAAATGACAATTAAAGCATAGAAAACAACTGCGGCACAATAATAACGTTTATTTTTACTATATTTTTGCAGTATTTTAAACATTGAAATTTGTTTCTATTGTATGAAATACATCAATGTTTTTAGGGCTTGTATCAAAAGTTTTTCAAAACGTATATAATTCAGGGCCACTTGCCTTGTCATTCGTCATGTTTTTGAATGTTCAAAGGCATCGCAGATTGGCAGCATTTAATTCAAAAACAGTACAAGCCATGCAGTCTGAATACATGCGTAAACAAACATACGTGCATGAAGTTAAACTAAATTGCGCACGTGACAAGCATTGCACATGAATCAAAGAAAGTAATTAATATTTACGCAAATCGATTGCACATAAAAAAGGTTTCAAAGCTACCTGTGGCACTCCTGTTTGTTGATCTTTTATTGATCTTGCGACACGCAATAGGACATATACCTGAGCCCAGAGTCTTAACTAGATTTTCAATTGGAGAGGTGCATATCCATGTATTCTGTTGTGCCCTACTGATTTCTTTTAAAAGTGAATTGAATTTCAAAAGAAATCAGTGGGGCAAGACAGAGCCCAGACTCTGAGCTCATCCATGGCAAATACAATTAAATTCTGGAATGTTTCGATGAAACTTAAGAAAGCCAAAAATAGTCAGCCTACAGATAAATTTACAAGAATGATCGACAGGGTATTTGACATTCTTTATTTCAGATCTACTCAGGTAAGGGGATACAAGCAACTTCTGAAAAAAAACTTGAGGAGACATGGGTGTCATGCGAAGAGAAACTAAAATCAAGAATGGACATGACATAAACTCAAGCAAAACCTACGCAGTAAAATAATCATGGAAGTCTGTCATCATTTTATCAACGTTTTAATGAAACCGTTATATTCAAAATGGACAACGAAGTTACAGATTCCAGTTAACTAAAGTGATTTTGTTAAAAAACCAACGAAACGTTATGAAGTATTAATAAAAATTACTTATCGACCGTGAACTGTACAGTGTGTAAAGTGTTTCCGAGGACCTCTTTGTGGTTTTCTGTTAGTTTGAATTATATCGCTTGAAATAGCATCGATCGTCAATTATCATTTACTTGCAATTCTTTTTTTGTTTCTTTTCCAACATCCTTATAATATGTAACAGCTCATAGAAGTAAATAAATAATACTAAAAACACACTAAAAAGAACCAAATAATTCCTTGTACGTGGAATACTTTTTGCCGTCGAACAATCACGCGGCGCACGTTGTCAGGGGGAATGTAAACGTTATTGTACTCACACTGGCTTCAACCAATCATAAATAAAGTATGGCAGTCAGCAGTCCAGGTATATTTAATTCAATGAATGGACCACAGTCCAAAATGCGTAATTTTATAGTCAAATGTAAAATATAAACAAACTTCTTGAAAAGAAAGCAAAACGAAAAAAATGAAACAAAGAGTTTAATTATGCGGACGATGCAAATTAAAAATGATTTATTTTTAGTGACAAAAACTAGAAAATGAAAGCCAACCCTTACAATACAGCAAGGAAGAGAAAGAAAGCAAGCTTTGTTTCAGGTCAAATAATGCCGTACATAATAAACATTTTAATAACCTCGCTTTCACGATCTTTACTTTACTAAGCACTCGGTTGGTGCAAAAAGAACTCGGTCCGATATTTCTCCGTAAAGACCTCGAGCTCAGTTATTTAGGGGTTAATATACATGAAAAAATTTCTCCATTCTGGCTTGCTCGTATATTACAATTCCATTGGATGTTACTTTTCATAACACCATAGCTTTCAAACACGCAGCTAGAACAAGGTAACTACTTTTGGCAATGTTCATATTTTTTTTCCAAACACGTCTTGGAAACAGTGAATTGTAAGCTCGTTCACCAAAGAAAATTTACTTAAGCTTGCGCCAGCCATTGCATTTGCTTTGCTTACTTTAATTTAACTTTCACACCTTTGAAATGTTTTATTTTGATTGTCTCTTACATCACTTCTTTGTCTGATTAACCAATCAGGAGCAAATTTTTTTTAAAATCTTTTTCCTGCCCCTGTTCCTTATTTTTTCCCACTAGTATTTGCAATAAATTGCACTGCTCTTAATTAACCCATGAGAACTGAAAAAATTTTTCATGTACTTTATTAAAACGTAAATCAATATAAACAACCTAATGCTGGCTTCTGGGTTTGACATGAAAATGGCGACTATAAAAAAATGGACAAATGACCTTTTAATTTTAGTTTAACAATATTAAGCAACATTTGCACATTTATGAAGAACGTCTTTAGCCAAACGATTTTTCTCGATCTTACGAAGAGCAGCGGCAAGTTCTTCGTACCACAACTGCTTATTTTCTCGTGATTCAAACCAACACTTTAGCATTTTAAACCCTTGCCAGACCACGTCACGATGATTTAGTTCAATTCTTTGTATTGTCGCATCTCTGACCTTCAGAAATATTGCCAATTTCTTCCATTTACCAGGAATTTCGCGGGAAATCTCTAGCAGAATTTGGTTAATTTCTCCTAAAAAACGCACATTTAAAAGCAAGTTAATAGAATTTTTTACTTTGGAAGAAAATGTTGGACATCCTACATCAACTATATAAATATACATAGCATGAGATTTGTTAAAATACATCATAGGTGTGTCATGTTGATTTCAGTACAACTATGGATAACAATATAATAGTGTTTCAGTAGTAATGTGTCAAAATGTTTGCACCAGATTTGTGTGATATACAATAGAAGTTTTATCAAAGTGCGTCTTGCTACAGTGAAATTTATTTGCAATTTTCTGCACGATTTAAACTGCATACGGTACGTAGCTATAAATTATCAGCAAACACTGATGGTTGCCCAACATAAAATTTGAAATAAAGCCATTTTTTAATAGAAATTATTTGGTATTTGTAACGTTTCGTCTTTACACAAGACATCATCAGACAGGTAATTAAAATGATCAAGTGTGCGTTTATATTTACATATTAGAAGTGTAGTTATGAGTGTTAGATTACAGTAAGGTGTGATGAACATGATATATACGTATATAAAAATATTATATCAAGTATGAGTGAAGATACTGATATGGAGTGTGAAATGGACGCAAAACGTAGTGGGTTATTTAGAAAAGTTCGAGTGGGATGGAGCTGCCTTGGTCATTCAGTGAAGGTGTTAGATTTGAGAACTGGAGGCTTTCATGGATCATTAAGTCAGGAGTGTAAGGTTAGGATAAAATGATAGTTAAGTCGTCAAAGGAAGCAGTGTGACATGATATATTCATGTGAGATAGGACGCTTGATTTGAACTTAACTTTCACTTCTGAAATCCAACAAAATACCAAATTGCCCTTTCTAGACAATGTTATCACACGTTCCGACGGAAAATACGAAACATCTATTTACCAGAAACCAACATTCACTGAACTCTTCGCCCACTTACATAGTATCATCCCTCTCACTTATAAACACTGCCTTATCTCTATCATTAGTCACCGTACTTTCAACATCTGCTAAAACTACGAAAACTTTCACAATCAACTAGAGATGGTTCGAAAACTCTTTGATTCAAATGGTTTCCCCTCTCAATTTTTTGACAACACTGTTCGCCTCTTCTTTGACAACGTTTTATCTCCCAAACCACTTATTATCACAGTGCCCAAGAAGCTCGTCTATTTATGCCTTCGCTACACAGGCTCACACTCTCTCCAAATACGCAACCAACTTAACCATCTCTGTAACGCTGCCTTCCCTCACGTTAACAGTAGATTTGTTTTCCGTCCTTCCACAAATATTTCCTCCTTTAGTCATTTCATAGAAAAGATTCCCAAGCTCCTGAAATCTGATGTTGTTTATCTTTTTAAGTGTCGACGCTGCAATGCGTCGTATGTTGGTCAAACCATACGCTATCTTTAAACCACAATCTCAGAGCATTGCAATCTTTGGTTTTTGCAAAGCATTGCAAAAACCTAATAGCATTAAATAAGGTCGGCAAACGGGAGGTTGTAGGAAAATTAGGAAAATTATACCTAGCATCTCAGGTGCCATTTATTGTCAATTTTACTATAGAGTGTTTGAAAATTGAAAAACAACAACATTAAGAAATGGCTTAGAAGTTTAAAGCTTACATAACACTTCCTGGGCATGATTGTTAAATACAGTTAAGTCGATTACAGAATGTTGAGTTTTATACCTGATTTCACATAGAAACTCAAATGCAGTAATTACTACAGTGTCATACTCACTGGACTGAGTGCGCGATATGAAAATATACAATATAAATATTTAGAATCACCAAGGCTGTGAAGATGTGCATGGGCTGTTTGATAGCAATTATTCAACAAAAGAATGTCTGTTCTACAATTCTAACCCAAAGCAACACAGCCCGTAAAAAAGTAAGGACTACTTGTTTGTCTAATTTCAAGGCAATAGACAACGTTACAACGTCTCAAAGATAGGAAAAGACATCATTATGGAATCTTTAACGCAGAGGCGTAACTAGAACGTTAATTAATAGGAGAGGGTGTATATTAATAAATTCAGTTGTGCAATACTAATTTCTATTGAAATTCATTTCACTTTTAAAAGAAAGCAGTAGGGCACAACGGAATATATGAATATGCACCTCCCCAATTAACGTTCTGGTTACGCCTCTTATTAGAGGGAAACTTATACTATATATATTTCGCTAAGTGGAAAAGAATCTACTTAAAAAGACAAAAACTAAACCAGCTTTGAAGAAATTTAAAATAATATGCGATGTTAGAAAGGTACTGACTGACTGCCTGAATTTAGTAACCATGACGTCAGATCTCTAACTGAAACAACATACACATAAGCTGGTTATGTTTCTATTTATTTATATGGGGGCAAAGGTGCTGCACAATTTATAAGTTTTATATAAAGCTGGTGCAAAATCAGAAAAACGTATTCACTGCTGGAAATAAACTAAAACACACTTGGTCGGTGCGTGTATTTGAACAAGAAATTATCTGTTAATTTGGGTCAGTTTTTATTTACGTGTTTACTAATGTAATAATATGCATTTTACAATAGGTTTCATACTATAACAACTTCGGCAAACTTTAAAAATATCATGTTTCTACGTAGTGACGTTGCTGATAAAGAGTTGGAGTTAAAAAATTCAGCAAGACATACCTTAAATTGAAGTTATAGATTTTAATTCTACGTGTCATCATGATAAGCGAAGGCATAACATGCCTTTTTATATATCTATGTAATACACAACAATAACACCCGTGCATCTTCGTATATGGTTTACGTTAAATACTGCATGTTGGATTTGTATTCTTTTCATGCTACTCTTTCTTTCCTCACTCATTGCAAGAAAGAAGTACAATCAAATTTTTCCTTAAGAAAATTTGTTCAGTTTTTAAATTAACTGCATGGAAGGAGCCTCACATATTTCACACGTAAAAAATGGCAAATAGCGAAACCTAGTGAAGATATGAAAAAGTTGGTTAAACTAAATTGTTTCAAGCGTAAATGTTGTCATGCCAGTGTTTATTGTCTTAAGATCAAAATTATGCACAGAAGTATTTTGCTCCTATGCTTTATGTATTCTAAGTTTTTATATTGTTTTTTAATTTGTTATACGTTTGATATTGTGCGTTAACAAAAAATTTGCAGCATAAAGAATGTAACGCAAACATGCTCTAGGATTTGAATCTCACTTTATGCGGGAAACTACTTTGTTTCAGCAAAGAGTTTTTTGTGGCATAGTATATCTATGTGGTCAACATGAGTATTTTCAAATTTGATTTAAAATAGTTGTGATATTAAAATTGACAATGAAGAATACAATTTATTTAATTTTCGTTTTTTCTTCCATATTTTCTCTAGAGAATTGTAATTTTTGGGAGAAGGAATAAGGAAAAGCGAGACACCTGGATGTGCTTTACGTTTGAGGTTTTGTGTATAAAATTTGTTATAATCAATGCTGGTTTTTTATAGTATATAATGTCACAAAAGTCTCATGTGTTATTTGAAATACTACAACCTAAAAATAACACCAAAATTTGCAAGGTTTTGCGTTATCTGTGATTGCAAAATGTTCTAACCGCTTAATTTTATAGCAATGAACAATCTTTATAAACATAAGTTAAAGAATATTTGAAGAATTGATAGAACCAACTTGATCTAGATTCCAAGTATTTTCACGATTTCCCTTCTTATTGACTATTAAAGAGCTCATCTAATAAAGCTTTAAATTTTGTATATTTACCTTCTAATAAAATAAGCATACCTTCTATTTTCTCCGTATGAACGTGTAAATTTAAAGAGGATTCAGCATCAGCAGTATCATCAGAATTTATTTCTTTGAAAAAGATATAAAAGTAGAGCAAGTGAACCATAGCGTAAAATAGAAGGGTGCTTTTTATAATAAATATGTTTCCATGGAAAGACTGAGTTAACTGGAGTTTATAATGTTTATTACATTAGATAAAAAAGGAAAAAAACAAGAATTCATTCTTCAAGTAAATTATTGGAATTTAGTTACACGTTCTTTCCAAGAACAAAGATATATATCAATCTAGGTTCTTAAAGTAATAAAGAAATTTTTTAAAAACCAAGTATTGTAAATCTGTTATTTTTCTTAAAATACTCAAAATATAAAAACTGAAAAATGTAAAATTTTATTTGTGTCCTAATTTTTACTTAAGTTTTTTTAATTTTTACGAAAAAAATTTAAAAGCAATTTGTAGAAAATTTTTTGACTCGTCCTGTATAGAGCAAACAACATATATTTGTAATAAATATAACTTGTCCCAGCCTTGTAGTTATGATAAAAAGGAAGAACAATTTTAAATAGAGTACTTGAGATTTTTTTAAAGCATACGTTTATATAAAGTAAAAATCATATACTTCAGAAAAGAAAAATGGTTGAACCAGGGCTAAGTCAAACAAATTGTATTTAGGCATATCAGTTTAGAAAGATTTAGGATGAAAAAGCTCTAGTCCTAAATTGCAAACCACATAATAAAGCATAAGATGGAAAGAAAAGATTTCTCTAATTTCTTAATAGCACGCTTGAGATGATGCATTTAACGTGAAAATCAACTTTTTTTCAATTTTTTATTACAAACATCTTTTGGCAAACTTATGCCATCTTCTGTGCGGTATAATGAATGAATATTTGAATGGAGTTAATATATAAGGAAATCTGATACAAGATATGTGTATAGACACAGGGGCGGATCCAGCAATTTTCGTGGCTGACGCACCACTGCGAGCGCCAAAGGTGCTAGCTCTGTAGAGGGGTCAGGGAGGATGCCCCCCGGAAAATTTTATATTTTAGACCCTCGGACATGCGATTTCCGGCATTTTGACAACAGAATTTAAAAAAAACTTGGCTTTACTTAGTTTGCAAACTTTTCGCAAAAATTTCAATGATATAAAATCGAAAATTCCACTAACCTTTAAACAATTTCATTACTATTATCAGATTTATCAAGTTTCATACCCTCTCCAAAACTTACAATCAGGAAGGTATCATTCCAATTTACGAGTGATTTTGAAAAGGTAGCGGAAGTTATTTACAATTATTTAGTGATTGAAGGTGTTAAGTATTTACAAGTTAAAGATAGTATCGACATGCTGAATTTGTTTGTTAAGATTAGGCTTGTTTTATGTAGATTTAGGCAAAAGTTTACCAAAAACAAATTTTAGTTGCATATTTCGTTGTTTCTTAGTAGTTTAATTGAGTTTAGTTTTTTTTATATATTAAAAGAGATTTAAAATATTTTTCCTCCTAAATATATAATAAAGTGCATTACATTGTTCTCAATTTGCATCAAACTTTCAGAAACAAATCTTACTTATCTATTTTAAGATAGCTCTACAAATGGACTACATATAACAGAATTTAACTAGATAAATGCTCATGGTGGTTAAACGGCCTAAAATAAGATCATTACTCCAAATGAATCCAATTTTACCTGAAACAGCTTTAACTAATTTTTTAAACATTCATGAAATTGATTTTTTCTGTTCAAGTCTAGCCAAACATAGTAGAAAAGGAATTCATAAATTGTAAACACAAAATACTAAAAAATTTTGTCTGAAATTTCAAAAACTTAAAAAGTTACACTTTAAAACGCTTATATGTGCAATAATAAACAAAAATAAATAATAACATACCAATACTGTTCGAAGATCCAGTAACAACGACATGATCGGAAGCAACTGATTTTTTTCGATTTGGCTGCGCTTTTTTATAAAATTCTCTTGCTTTGTCACTTTCTTTAGTATAATAATACAAATAACGAAGATTGTTTAAAGACGAAGCTACATCAACATGTTTAGGACCAAGTGATATTTGTTGAATTTCTAACGCTTTTTCATAACACTCTTTGGCTTTGTCATATTTGTTGGTATTATAATACATATTGCCAAGATCATTTAAAGTCGTAGCTACATCAACATGTTTAGGACCTAGTGATTTTTGTCGAATTTCTAACGCTTTTTCATAACACTCTTTGGCTTTGTCATATTTGTTGGTATTATAATACATATTGCCAAGATCATTAAAAGTCGTAGCTACATCAACATGTTCAGGACCTAGTGATTTTGTCGAATTTCCAACGTTTTTCATAACAATCTTTGGCTTTGTGATATTTGTTGGTATTATAATACACATTACCAAGATTGTTTAAAGTCGTAGCTACATCAACATGTTCAGGACCTAGTGATTTTTGTAGAATTTCTAACGCTTTTTTATAACACTCTTTGGCTTTGTCATATTTGTTGGTATTATAATACATATTGCCAAGATCATTTAAAGTCGTAGCTACATCAACATGTTCAGGACCTAGTGATTTTTGTCGAATTTCTAACGCTTTTTCATAACAATCTTTGGCTTTGTGATATTTGTTGGTATTATAATACATATTGCCAAGATCATTTAAAGTCGTAGCTACATCAACATGTTCAGGACCTAGTGATTTTTTTCGAATTTCTAACGCTTTTTTATAACACTCTTTGGCTTTGGCATATTTTGTGGTATCATAATACACATTACCAAGATCATTTAAAGTCGTAGCTACATCAACATGTTCAGGAGCAAGTAATTTTTGTTGAATTTCCAACGCTTTTTCGAGAAATTCTTTTGCTGTGTCATATTTTTTAGTGTTATAATACATCTCACCAAGTTTGTTTAATGTCCTAGCTACATCAACATGTTCAGGACCTAGTGATTTTTGTTGAATTTCCAACACTTTTTCATAACACTCTTTGGCTTTGTCAGATTTTTTCGTACGACAATACATATCACCAAGATTGTTTAAAGTCCTAGCTACATCAACATGTTCAGGACCAAGTGATTTTTGTTGAATTTCCAACGCTTTTTCATAGCACTCTTTGGCTTTGTCATATTGGTTGTTATTATAATACACAACACCAAGATTTTTTAAAGTCACAGCTACATCAACGTGTTCTGGACCAAGTGATTTTTGTCGAATTTCCAACGCTTTTTCATAACACTCTTTGGCTTTGGCATATTTCTTAGTCTCATAATACACATTACCAAGATAGTTTGAAGTCGTAGCTACATCAACATGTTCAGGACCAAGTGATTTTTGTCGAATTTCCAACGCTATTTCATAACACTCTTTGGCTTTGGCATATTTGTTGGCATCATAATGAACATTGCCAAGATTGTTTAGAGTCGTAGCTACATCAACATGCTCTGGACCAAGAGACTTTTTTTGAATTTCCAACGCTTTTTCATTACACTCTTTGGATTTGGCATAGTTGTTGGTATCAAAATGAATAAGGCCAAGATTGTTTAAAGTCGTAGCTACATGAACATGTTCAGGACCTAGTGATATTTGCTGAATTTCCAACGCTTTTTCATAACACTCTTTGGCTTCGGCATATTTGTTGGTACGATAATACACATTACCAAGACTGTTGTAAGTCGTAGCTACATCAACATGTTCAGGACCAAGTGATTTTAGTTGAATTTCCAACGCTTTTTCATAACACTCTTTGGCTTTGTCAGATTTTTTTGTACGACAATACATATCACCAAGATTGTTTAAAGTCCTAGCTACATCAACATGTTCAGGACCAAGTGATTTTTGTTGAATTTCCAACGCTTTTTCATTACACTCTTTGGATTTGGCATATTTTTTGGTATCAAAGTGAATAAGGCGAAGATTGTTTAAAGTCGTAGCTACATGAACATGTTCAGGACCTAGTGATATTTGCTGAATTTCCAACGCTTTTTCATAACACTCTTTGGCTTCGGCACATTTGTTGGTACGATAATACACATTACCAAGGCTGCTGTAAGTCGTAGCTACATCAACATGCTCTGGACCAAGAGACTTTTTTTGAATTTCCAACGCTTTTTCATTACACTCTTTGGATTTGGCATATTTTTTGGTATCAAAATGAATAAGGCCAAGATTGTTTAAAGTCGTAGCTACATGAACATGTTCAGGACCTAGTGATATTTGCTGAATTTCCAACGCTTTTTCATAACACTCTTTGGCTTCGGCACATTTGTTGGTACGATAATACACATTACCAAGACTGCTGTAAGTCGTAGCTACATCAACATGTTCAGGACCTAGTAAAGTTTTTTGAATTTCGAGACATGTCACAAAACATTTCATAGCTTTTTCGTATTTTCCCATTTTGTAATACCCCATGCCAAGTTCGTTTGATATATTAGCTTCATATTGCTTCTCTGAGTCTTTAAAATATTTGAAAATGAAATTAATTATCTTTTTGACATTTCCACCGCTAGAAAAAAATTATCAAAGTTCATGTACTTTTTATTATAAGAAAGTACACAATATTAGTTTTACTTCATTTTTATTTATGTTATTTAAATTTTTAATGTTTACCGTCTATTGCCAGACTTGACAATTCTGAAACAATTATAAAGCCAAATAACAGTTAACCCTCTGGTCTGATAATAGACTGGTTGTATAGCTTTTGTAGGTATCACAAAAGGAAAGCCCGATAATATGTTCGACGATGCAACAAATTAGATTCTTGCACAGACAGTTTTTAATAGGACACAAACGCCAATATTTTATGGCCATAAGAAGCATTTTGATGTCAAATTGAATTGAATAACTTGTTCTACCCATGACGTATATTTTTGATTATTAAAAAAGTCGTGAAACTAAAATATTCGAAAATCTACGTTGGTAAACCTTATCCGCCATCATTCCTATTTGGTCTTTGAATATTGTACTGGTGGAAAAGAAAATAATAATCTAGTACAACTTTCTTTATTCCCACGCTATTTTGAGGCAGTTAGCTCAGCATGTTCTATGTGTTAATAATACACTTTTCAGTACTTTTTAATGTGATGTTCTAGCGTTAATAGTGAGCTTTAGTAAGTGTGACTTAATACAGTTTGACTTAATTCAAGTACGAGTTCGAAGTTTGACCGTGTACTGGATTGGCACTAGGAAGATTGTTGTCGTTGTTGCTTCGTCAAAACTTTATTTTAGTTTTCAAAAAAGATTGAGTTTATTTACTTGGAAAACCACCGAGTTTTGTGAAGCATATAGCTTTAGCTACGGCTTTATTTGTTAATAATAATATCAACGAATCGGTAATAATGAGAACATAGAACTCTTTATAGACAAAAAAATCTTTACTAATTTACATTTTATGTTTTATATATTTGTACTATTTTACTGTTTGTTAACATTCCATTTGCATTTGATATGCATGGAAATATAAAAGATACACAAAGTTTTTTCGGAATTGAATGACATTTTGAAGCTGTTCTATCAAGGCATTTCTGAGTTGCAAAAATTATCCACAAAGTAAATTTTTTATATTACTAAATAAATATTTCCACTAGCTACATGGACAAAGTTCGACTTTACTGATTTAAACGTTGACAAATATTGATGGTGCTCGATATTGTTCATGGTCAACAAGGGGGTGAAGAAATTGATAAAAACTACTTTAATTGTGAATTCTATTGTTGAATTGGTTCAGTAAACATGTGTATGAATTTGCTTTGCAAATAAAGATATGATTAATTTATTAACGAAGTGGTAAAAGTTGAACAGGTTTGAAAAACAAGTTTGGTGATTGGGTCTCAAGTATTAACAATGTAACAGTGGAAGAAGAGGACTTTTAAACTTGGTAAACACATATCGCTATGAACATTTTCCATTCACTAGCTGATGCAATTTATGCAGGCAACGAAAATCAAATGTGGAAACAAAGCACACTTTAAATTCATGAGAAATATTTAGTTTAAACGTCTTTAATAAATATTTTGATGATGGATATTCAGAACCAAATATCATTCTCCTTGATATTGAGGGAAATACGTTCGTAAGCGTTCCTGAGATAACAAGAGATCTTGACGCATTTCTGTTATTACGTATTTAAATGTTAACTGGTGCTTAAATGTGTGGTGAACATCTGTTACATTACAAATATTGCTAATAATGTTAATAAAGTCAGTCTCGAACTGGAGTCATTGATTCTGTTAGTTTCTCGGTACGTTAAAATGAATACACTCTTATAGGCGTAAACTTGTATGTTTCTTAAAATGAACGGTCTCTTCACAAAAACGCCTCATGAATCATTATTGGATTCAGTGAATGTTTACTTTATCGTAAGTTTGAAAAGTTGGCATGCATGTTGCAACATGAAATATTACGACGTTTGTACAAGTACGTTTTGCACTCCGGCACTCGTTAGTATTTGTAGTAAATAATACCTTATAAGTACACCTCAATTAATTTGAATTGATATAATTTAGAAGAAACGAAAACGTAAGAGATTCTATTTTCGACTTTCGTTCACATAACAATATTTACAAATCTATACCCTACGTTGAAACGTTCGAATTTACCTAAGAACAAGCATTTACGTACGAAATTATGAGCTCTCGCTATAAATATATCTTATATATCTTTCCTGTTTTCTTACAACCTTTCGCCATCTTACCAATGTGAGATGACTAATATTCAAAAATTTTTTTTTTAATGCAATATCATAGTACACAGTCGTCAAGTTACTAGCCAGAAAAACGGTGAATTCAACGCATGCGCACGGAAAATATGCCAAACATTGCATAGTCAATGAGTGGGGCTTTGAAAGCACTTCATGCATATTCAAAGCTCAATTTCTCTCAACTGATTGCTTGATTTGAAATATCTAGGAGAAAATCTTGCCATAGATGGAGAAATGACTTTGCTGATGATTAGATAGAGTGTGATTTTTATGTCCCTCTCAATATGTGAATGTGAGTGAGCTTTTAGTATACGGGTATAGACTTCTTCAAGAATTTTTATTGCCGAAATAAATATAAATCCCAATTACGTCAAGCAACTTTGTGAATATCTCGGGAAATACATTACATTTCGGTCCAAAAGAAAAGGAACAACGGAAAATACAAAACAATTAATTCCTTCGTAAGAACGGAATTGTCTACGTTGAGTTTTAAATTGTAAGCACTCACCTACCATGAAGTAGTTTATTTAAATTATATATAATTCACATGTCGTCGTATGGAAATAAGACATTGAAAAGGCTCAGTGTAAAAGCTCAAACAAAATATTATATTTTTGAAATACATAAAATTCAGTCAAAATTAATCTATAGTGTGTCTACGCTATATACTAGTCATTCAGTGGTGTTTCAAATTTATATCAGAAGACAAATAAATACAACGCTTAATTTGGACTTATTTTGTTATAACTATAAATTCATGTTACGAATAATTTTTATTGATTTTTAAATCGTCGAATCGTCCGACTCCCTGTCTGCATTCAAAACTTAAAATCGTCCAATCATGTTTCCCTTTAATCATAACTCACTGCTTTAAAGGAACGCACGACAAATAATTGTTAAATGTTTATTGAGTACGATTAGTTTTGTAAAAATTTTAACGCTTGAGAATTAAAGCAAGCCTTGAATATATTCAAAGTACGAAATCATTAATAGTACAGACAGATAAAATAACCGATCATCTATGACGTATAGTAATTATAACTTTATTTATTTTTGGTTAACATACCTTGAACTGATAGCAACTTCAAATTTCTTAAACTCATCTCATAAAAACATCATACGCACCTTCAATTCCGTGTATAATAAATGTTTTTATGCAAAGGAATTTGAACGTTCGTAGGTGTATATTGTTATGTAAAACAAGGGTATTACACCATATGATTTTTATTGTTGTTAATCATAACATTTTTTAAATAATATAGTGAGCATTGATTTAGCAAAACATTAGATGTATATTTGTATTATAACTTCGCGATGTTTTTATCGTTGTGCATATGCACGCTTTAATATCTTGATCATTTCTCTAGTACTTATAATTAAATGTTATTTATAAATTAAGTTGCACAGAAAGAGTGTAAATGCTGATATATTTTTAGCATAATATTGAAATACCGGCTGAAAATTGCAACACACAAACTTGTTTAATTATTTAAGAAATTTGAAAGAAACATAAACAAAACAAAAATATTATGTCTTCGTTTTATTATATATAAACATGAAAAAAGCAAGCAAAACACTCACTGACGGTTTTAATTCAACAGCCTAAAATACAAATGTTTTTCAAATACTGGCAAACATTGGATATACTGACGATGAATGAACAAGATACAATTTTCCTAAAACTTTGCTAGAAGGTCAGAACGCAACCTCCCCCAGCGACTTTTCATATTATTTAGATTCGCTAATACGAAGTATGTTCTACAAACACAATGCAAACGAGAGTCTTCACGTCCTCCATAATATTTCGAACAGCTGCATCCAAGCCATTTTCCTCATCCAGGTAATTCAATAGAAATCTATGGTCATTATTAGAAGGAAATCTAGAAGCTTTCTTGCATGCGTGAGCATATTTTATAGAACTGCACAGAAGTTTTTATTCTGGTTTTTATTGTGACATGATTATTGTTTATAGATATAAGTAGTTTAACTACATTGCATGAGAACAACTTACAGGGCACAACTTATTGAGGACAATTTACGAGGCACAGCAAATTGAAGATAACTTATACGGCGGTGTAGGTTGACAAAACAACACCCTACAAGTCTTGGAGACATCAACTAAGCCTTTTTGACTTCTGTACATTTAATCTGTTTGGAAAACCTATTGTGAATCATTGTTGGAATCACGTACACTAGACTCGGGGTAGGGTTCAGACTGAGCAGATAAGTTAAACTTGTTAGCCTACCGTTTGATAGTATTGAGACTCTTATTGTTAAAATACGTAATCGATGAAAAAAGATAGCTTCACTGATTATAACTGGTGTCACACTATTTTTATAACATGTGGAAATACAACGAAAATTCGTATTGGTTATTTCAGTCATGATTATTTGAAACCTGTGCGTGTCTCAAAATGATACTATTATTTAAAAAAATTAAAATACATACATAAATTACCCTAAATATGCGTTCTAAAATGTTAAAATATGTCACATATGCACAACATTTCTTTTGATTATAATGAAATTCCTGATTGGAGCGTCGAAGCTCTACGTATCCAAGCTTTGTAATTTCGATATCCATTTCTTGGCTTCTTCCTCCGTCGCAGCATACAAATTATACAATCGTTTCTCTGTACGAAGCTATAGAAGCATATAAGACAGTGAAAATAGTCTTTAAGAAGAATAAGTATTTTACATGCATGATGGTTTCTATCGGTTTTATTTCAAAGTTTTAAGAAAAGGGTTCAATGTTATCAGCGTAAAATATTTAATTGCTTTTTCAATGTCAAGCTAAATCAACTAAAGTGGTAAAGAAAGGATCATCTTTATGCTTCAGGAAAAATTTAAAAGTTCATAAAAGAGCTTATTACCATTATTTAATGCTAGCCACGCTAACATAGTTTGCAGAAAATAGCAAGCACGATTAACCAAATGGTTTTGCATACAATAATTTAAACCAATCAAAATTCGTGATGATATAAAGCACCTTGAAGCTTCAAACAAACAACACAGCGATGAAAGATACACAAATATATTTACTTACGTCGAAAAAAACTTGCTTCTCGTTTGCTAAAAATATCAATGAAATTCGCAATTTTTATAAAAAAAAAAAACGACAATACAATAACAGCACTTTTACAATCATGTAATCATGATTACAGTTTTATCGTACAATTAAATACGTAATTGCAACTTGTTCCATACTTAAATATATTATTAATTTTTATATATAGAAATAAATATCCTTTCTACAGATACCAAAAAAAGCATAAAACTTTGCAATTCATTCAAGCTGGTGCACAAAGACATTTGCTCTTAAGGTAATATCCCAGAAGAAGTTTTAATTTGGAACACACAACACTCTCCGCAAAAAATCCAAAGTTAACAGAAAAGTCGTTTTTCTCAGTGATGCAACCAAAGTCATTAGAGCATTGTTTTAAAAGCTCATCAAAACCAAGGAAGAAGTAAGACTATAGAGCAAAATATGGAAATAAAACTTACAATTCAACTGTGACATTTCACATGAAATAATTTCAGATAAGTTGACAACACCTTGACAATGAACATCGCTTACTTCATCATAGTAACGAAGCTACAAAACCAATTAATTTGTGAAAACATAGACATCGTAAAATGTTAAAGCTAAGGACAGCAAATTGCAATGAACTAGAAATAAGTGCATCGAATAATTTGCACAGCTTAAACTTTGCGATTTTCACCATCAAAAAAGTCGGAAGCTTTAAATCATGGACCTCCCGTTCTCAGAAGTTCTTGTTAACAATTCCATGCTCTGTCAGTAATGTAACGATTTTTAAAATGCACTTTTTGTTACTCTTGCTTTTAACGTGATGTCACAAATAGAACAATGAAAATTTAACTTGAAATCACAAAAATAAGGTATCGCAAAGTATGATTTGCACTAAATCAAATAGGCACAAAGCTATGGTAAGAAACATCAAAGTTAACCTTTCTATAGTAATTTTTAACAGAAACCAGTAAACATTGACATCTGAAGCTTTATTTTACACCGTTTTTCATCTTTCATTATCACATTCCATCAAAATATCGTTCGCTAAAATAGCCAATAAAGAACATTACCTGATGTCTTTCCGTATCCAATACAAAATACCGTTGCTTCCATTGTTTGAATAAAGCACCTCGTTTCCATAGATACCCACATAAAAATTTCGAAGATTTGTTTATACTTGGAGACTATGGAATGATAAAGATTATTCAAATGACTAATTCATGATAAATCACTTCGGCTAGTGTAATTAAAGCTTAATCCGTTATAACTGAGTAATAAAAAGTGAAACTTAACAATATCTTCTTTGTTTACATATTATATAATTATAAATTTAAAAGTGAAGGAAAATGTTTGCAGTTAACAAACATCAATGGAAGTTCACTAGTGTACTATATTGTACCTCATGTAAGCTTTTGTTACTAGTTGATGGCATGCTATCATTCTGGTCTTTTAGATTCTTGTAATTAGGACACGTTTTAGGAACACGTGATAAGCATTTCTCGTGGCAGTTGTATCCACATTCTGTGCATCTGAATCCTACAAAAAACACATATTAAAATACAAAAGAATTTTTGGTGGTAGGAGACAAAATCTCTTCACAAAATATATCGTAACTACAACGCGTGGTGAACAGTTTTTGGGTATCAAGATGCCAGGACCGAGCCAAGTCATTTTAATTCATTTTGGATAGACTTGCTTGAACAAATTTCTTAAATTATTAAATTATCAACGGTACACACTCATTGAAATTTATGATGGAAAAAGCGGCGTCACAATCATCATGAAATAAATTATCAGTTGTATGACATAACAATTATCATAAATCTAGCAAAAAATATTGTCTGGCTGCGATTGTTTTACTTTGATTTCAGAATTAAATTTATACTAGGGGTATATTTAACTAACATGAACGCGCGTGCATTCTGCTATAAAGCTTTGCTAGTTGTAAAATTTTATTAGCAAAATTTCCATAGAAACTTTGCACAGTAGACAAGATAAAGAAGCGTGTTTATAGATGCAACGGAAAGTCAACTGTATGGCCATCATAGATAGATAGATACACAAGCAAACCATACCTCCTTTTCCAATATTCCATATCACTTGTAGACAGAAATCGCAGTTGGTTGGCGTAAAGAAACTGTGAGGTTCAAATGAATGAGGTCGTGAAAAACCTTGGTTACTGTAGTCTTCGATTTGAAGTTTCCCCTGAAATATAAAAGTAACATGTGTCACATAGTATGTAGCTTTAAAAGAAACTAAGTGAAATCAGTTTCTACAAGGTCATCTTATAAAAGTAACAAAGTTACTCTCTACTTCAAAGGTATAAATACGCAGCAAAAGTTGTAGAAATAATTTTGAATTACAAATTTAAGCAATTGCTGTCTATTCTTCGCAAAACACAACAATGTTAACATTTTTTTAAAGCTAAGATCATAACAGGCATGGAAAGCCTAACAAACGTAACAAAGGAATCAACGTATTATGAAAATTTAAACAAAACAAATTATTTACTGAAACCAGTACAAATGGTGTGTTGTCATGGGAAGTGAGCCGCCACATGATAGGTCACTTAACAAAACAAATTATTTACTGAAACCAGTACAAAAGGTGTGTTGTCATGTGAAGTGAGCCACCACAAGGTCACTTAACAAAACAAATTATTTACTGAAACCAGTACAAAAGGTGTGTTGTCATGTGAAGTGAGCCGCCACAAGGTAGGTCACTTAACAAAACAAATTATTTACTGAAACCAGTATAAAAGGTGTGTTGTCATGTAAAGTGAGCCACCACAAGGTAGGTCACTTAACAAAACAAATTATTTACTGAAACCAGTACAAAAGGTGTGTTGTCATGTGAAGTGAGCTGCCACAAGGTAGGTCACCTTGCAAAAGTTCCAACATTAAGATGTCAATTTAACCTCCATTTCAGTAAAAAGAAATTAAATGAAGATTAAACTAATGCGTTAGCTGACTACTTTTCAAGATTTTATCAAAAACTCACAATTCAGAGACATTAAAATTTGTACAAACTGTGTTCGAGAATCTTAAAACGGCGGCATGATACCAATCTCATATTGTGTGAAAAAAAAACTATTGAAAACACGGGTGCTGATTAGTGCAATGCTCGAAAAAACCGTGTCTATAAAACCCTTTATTGCACGAGAGCTTCAGTCTCTCAAAATTATTGAAAAACTTCCGTGGTTATGGCGGAAAGTTTCAAGGCAAAAATATAAACATGTTATTAAAATTCAAGAATTCATTGTCTTTATATTCTTCTTAAAATGTTATTTCATAAAGAAAATACAAAAAAAATATTTGCCTATTCCTATTGATTTATATAGAAACACTCGTGAAATTTTTAAAGAAAGTCGAAATTTTTTGCAAACACACGCACTTCGTGTTCCTCTTTGCCATGTAATTTATTGTTTCTCCCAATCACGTGTTTCTAAAACTCTCTAGAAACTCAGAAAGTGTTTTCTAGTTCTTAAAGAATACAACATATTGCAAGACAACATGAATACAATTTCACGGCTTAGTGCTACCAGCACAGCAAAACTAAATGTTAAAAAAGTTCATTTTTATAAGTTGCCAAACTGATACAAAAATCATTTTGTATATAGAAATTATTTTACCAAAAATCACAAAATAGAACGAGTATATTGCACGAACGAGAATATTAATTTAAGATCAGGTAATCATAAAATGGTCATTGAAGTTATAAATTATCTACAATCAATATAAAATTAATCATAAAGAAAAAGAATCATAAATACTACCTCAAGTATTATGTCCATTGTATCTCGTTTGTGTAGTACACCACTACGGACTCTAGAAATTTCTTCATTGTATGTTAAAAACTGTAAAGAAAAAATGCCAGTTAGTTATGGTGTTCATTCGTACCAGGGAAACACCACAGTCTGTGATGTATTCATACCATGCACATACTCCAGTCTAGTATTCATACAATGCATACACTCCAGTTTGTATTGGTATTCATACCATGCACACACTTCAGTCTGTAATGGTATTTATACCATGCACACACTTCAGTCTGGTATTCATACAATACATACACTCCAGTTTGTGATATTCATACATACAATGCACACACCACAATCTGCAATGGTATTCATACGTACAATGCATACACTCCAATCTGTAATGGTATTCACACCATACACACACTCCAGTAAGAAAAAAGTAGTTATGCTGCCTAAATGAGACCTAAAATATGATATTCAAAGCCATTTACAAAAGATCCAGTGGATGACCTTTACTTAATGTCTACAAAGTAAAAGTAAAACAACACGTCACAATGAAAGTATATTTGCTATAAATACCGTTTTCGTTATTTTAGGCTGTTCCAAACGCTCCCATAATTTTTTCCAACGAGTTGCGTGTTTGTCAGCCTCTTCTTCGATGCGATTATATTCGTACCAATGATATGCGCAGCTACTACTGTCGTAATGAACCGATCCACCAAATATACCACTTCGACAGCGTCTAGTAAGCAATATGAAGCGCTAGCTATTTTATTCAATAATTTATGCATGGTTGAATATTGTAAATCACTTTTTTAAACTTATAGTAAAGTTTGCAACAAAAATTAAGCATGCAAGCTACGAATGGCATTAAACTTTTTTTTTAATAGAAACATGCTAACAATGGAAGCACTACATAATGTTTAAATGGAAACATCCTGACTATTAAAGTACTCAATAATTTTCAAATGGAAACACGCTAAGTATAGTAGTACTTCACTAATTTTTAATGGAAACACGCAAATCATTGAGGTACTTTGCTACGTTTTAAATGGAACGCGCTTACTTCTCAACGCAAAAACTTATTCATACCTGTTGGCATCGTACTTGTCTTCTAACTTCTGTTGTCCTTCCTCGGCAGCAGTTTCTGTCTCATTTATGACTTCTTGATCAAACTCTGGACCAGTGGAGACATTCTCCGAAACAAAGTAACTCCATAATTTTAGATTGGAAACGTTGCAATGAGGGCGAAGCACCTGGGAATTTAGAAATAATGTATTAAATCTGGTTTAAGAGAAGAAAATCTTCTAGAGAAAATAAAGTAAACGAGTCCTTGTGAGTTAGTAAATATATTTTAGGTGCTCAATAAATTATAATTTTTGTGTTTGTGAGCGAAATTCTAGCAACAAAAATATTTTTATCGTCCAATTTATAATCAAACCTTTCCTATTTACACAAACAAATTTTGTTTAAATGTTGTTCTATCTCATTAAAAACATAGCACAATATAATTATACACAGACATAAGTATTTCTCTTCGTATTTGTCTAGAGAAGAAAAATAATCAGGTTTAACCATTCACACTACAAAATTTTACTCTCAGACACGCGTGTCTTTGGGTGAAATCCCGCTAGCTTATCACTGTAAATGGACCTTTTAGGCCGTGCGTGGAAGGATTGGGACTAGTTGAATTGGTGGCTTTAAATTTTTGGCGGGAAGTAACATTCCAGTTCTATTTAGTTCAATGGATTTTACAGTCCAATAAAGTCACTTTAAGTACAACACAACAAATCAAGGATATTCTAGGATTTACTAAATGAAGTTTATAAGTTTAACCAATACACGTATTCAATAAAAGATAAACAAGGCGTCCATTGAAAAATAAACTTAGTTAAATGCCTGTTCTTATTTGATCTTGTTTTAAATCAATTTGATGGTTATTACACAACTATATGACCGAAAAGCATTCAGGTAATTTCATTACAGTGCATACGAACTGTTGCTGCAAAGATTTGCTAAAATATGGCTGCAAATCAACAACTCACCTTTTCAGAATGTTCTTTCTAAAACTTGAAATTATAAAATAATGATGATTTTTTGTGTAGCATGTCGATGTAATCCCAAAGACTTTTTATGTGAGATTTAGAAATCTTTGCATCTTTCTTTTCAGCATCTGATAGCCAACCCATCTGCACACGTTCGTGCTCTGAATCCAGTAAAAACGTACGAAAACGCATGGAGACATGATGATAGGCGAGGAAATGTAAATAATACTCGTTGAATTCGAAAGATAGTGGATACTGACGTAATATCTGAGAACATAAAAAATATGTAGAAATGAGTAATTTTTCGAAACTTTCATGTAAAAATAAAAAAAGTAACTAAGAACACCAACAATATGAACAAATAGCTAAGTGACTTTATCAACAATTTTGTATTATAGCAATAAAAAAGATGGGAGACAATCAATGTCAAAACATTTCTCACCAAAATTCTTTAATAATATACGGTGTTTTTACTTTACGAAACGAGCGTGTTCTCCTAAGTGCGTCACTGATGGCGATGAGTAACTTATTTCTGGGCCCGAAATGACCATTTAAAAAATATTGTGCACATGTTCTTAAAATGAATTTAACTATCTAGAGAAGTTATTTTTTGAACCTGAACTATGCATCATTGAGATGTTTATTGAGTCGTACAATGCAAGAAAACTTTGAAGATAATGACCACGAAAGAGTTGCTTTTAAGTGTTAATGGTATATTTCAAATTTATAGCGAGAAAAGCACCTTAACTTCATGACTACAATTTTTGATCGAATAAAGTTTTCAAAAAAAAACCCCAACAATATGCTTAACACAAGCTTTTGTGTAATATAAAAAAAAACATTTCGCACAATACTCAGACGACGGACACCAGACCATCTTAACTCCAATTTTTTAAGACAACTTTAAGAAACAATGATAACCTGATGGACGCCATCAAGAAATTGCAAGAAAACAGGCGTGAATCCACTTGATTGCGTTGAATGTGTATGATTACAGCGATGTGAGAAACGATGTCCAAAAGACAACCATTCTTTTTCAACTAAAACTTTAAAACCATTAATTGTTCGGTAGTATGGATCTAACATTACTTGAGCAAATGACGTCACCTACAAAAAACAACATGAAGTATTTACTGTAGTTGTTCGTACGTGAAACATTGAGTTCTATAATAACTGGAGCGGCTAAGTGGACTGGGACCTGACGCCAAAAAATGGCGGCCAATGGACCTATTTCCGCTGAGATGATGGCTTTGCAGAAAAATTATATTCTCGACCTCCCCCTGATGTCTATAGCTAATTATACAGCATTATTCAAAAACAAACAAGATATCTTTTTTTGGCATTTCTTTTAAAATGCCAGCACTTCAATCATTCAATTGTTGGATATCGCAGTGTCCACAAATAGGAACATGTCTCTTTCACAGGTGAGATATTTGTTTTGTTTGTTCATCAAAAATTGAAAAGCAATTGAACTTGAAGCCTGAGCGATAAAATCCGACTGATGTTTTCCTATTTATGTTTTTAAACATCAACATACTTTTCCACTTATTTGTTAATGTGTGAAACCGTAAATCTGTTTGCAAAATAGTTTCCCTGACACGAAAAAAGATTCTGCTCATTTTACTCAGAGGGCAGATACTATGAAGTAACGATCACCCCCAAAGAGAACCCATGAAGTAGAGCAGAGTTTGTTCTGGTAAATTTGCTGACAACATAAAGAGATGATCGGATAGCGAAATGTTTCTGGAATATGCTGCAGTACCACTATTTCATAGATCACTATATTAAGACAATTAGAAGATGTTATTGACCAGAAAGAGTCTAACTGTAAAATGCTAAGGCTGAATACAAACAAAGGTAAATGATTTACCGACTTCCTGTCTAACAGCTATTTGAACTTGGACTAATTCTATGGATAAAGATAATGGATTTAATAAAGATGCCTTAAATGCTTTGAAAGTAAAGGTCAAGTACCAAATAAAGATAACAAGGTTATGTGTGTTTTGATGCTGATGAATTGTGAGATTTTCAGAAAAGCAGCCAATTTCGGTAAATCTCAGCGGTAAAGGAACAAATCCTCCATTTTTTGGCGTCAGCCACTAATTAAAGCCGTGTTAGAGATAGGCGCTCCAGTTATTATAGAACTCAATGACGTGAAGCAGAGACATTGCTAGTTCCATCATTGGAAGGAGGGGGGGAGTGGAGAATATTCATATATGCATATTAAAATGGACTGAAAAAAAAAACACATTCGATTTCAAAGGAACTGGATATGACAAAACATAATATCTTGCCCTTGAGTATTAAGGGCTTACACTATTATCGCCATTGACTATCGCAAAAATAAAAATACAGATAACAAACACACCAAGAAAGATTACACTATAATAATCTGATGTGTGAATTTTTACCACTTATGTATAACCACATTGAATTGTGTAAGACCTGGAGGGAACACGTCAACAAAATTACTATAAATTATTAGCGCACGGCACGTGGTCAAAATCATGAAAGACGCGGGCTCATGAAATAAAAATTTTATCGCCCACCCTGATTATACCACCACGATTGGGAGTATAGAAAATATCAAAACTACTTTCCTAACATAAATACTTTTTTAAAATTTTATTTATTAAACAATCCGCCAACTTCCGTGGTTTGCGGATGCTGAAATATCGACAGAAAAAGAAACATTTCATGACTCCAGTAAGTAGCACAGTAGTAGTTTTACTATTTTGTTTTTAACACGATACTTGAAGAGTGTTTCTGCGACTAAGTTTTAATTTAAAGTTATTTTGGTCCAGTCTTGTTTGCTCTTCACTTTATCGCTCGCCAGACGAGGCGAAGCAGCCAATTTTTATCGAGTTTTGCATCCATCTTGTATCATGATCAAGCGAAACTCTACTGATTTGAATTGAGTTTACCTCCCAAAAATGGGGCAGAATTTGTTCATATTTTTTTTAAAAGATGAAGGGAAAGTTTACAACGGAGTTGTGTTAAAATTGAATGCAGTGCCTTGAAAAATTAATGAGAACTATGGTATATGCCGTATAATAAAAAAAACTAAACTGCTTGTCTTCTCAATTTGACTGACTGTATAGTGTAGACAATTATAATGGATTTGGAAAGTTGGATTTATGCAAACAGTTTTAAAGTACTATTTAATGTTTCTGTAAGTGAAGTATTTATTGTTATAGTAAACAGGTTAATACTTCAAAACCAAGATAAAAGAAGTGTGCTGAACAATGTGCTAAGATTTGTTTCTATCTTGAAATTTTTGTTCAACAGTAGCTTGTGATTATATCATTAATATGCATGAAATTAAACATACTAATGTCTCATCTCACCAAATCCATACTTGGTATGATTCCAGGTGATCCACAAATTCACATTGGATGCATTGGTTACAATGAAGTTAAATGTAGAAGAAGAAAAAATAGATGGCAAAGAACTTATCTGTGGCTTATTATGAATTAGTAGAAATCAATAAAAAGAATTCTTTAAACAAATTGTAAACAAATTGAAATTGCTCATGGCCAAGCAACCTAGTCAAAGAAGCAAAGTCTGTCTTCAACATGTGACCTTTCCAATTATGTTTAGTTTCTTGGTACAAAATACTAATTTCGAGAAAATTGATTTGTATGTCTTTTATTAATATTTTTACCAAGAGATAAAAGGAACAAATTCAAAGGCTTGATGTAAAATACAAAGATTTATCAAGTTGTTTATCATTTAATTCCCAATTGTTAGTTTGTACATATAAATAATTAGTATTGGTAGCTGTAAATTGTTCAAACAGAACAGAAGAGTAGTAGTGCTCGAAGGGTTAGCATTTTGAAAAATTATATGTTCTTGACACATAATTACACAATTCCAAAAGACTCTAAGTAATGCACAATAATATCTATAGAACTTGCTAAATTTCTTCACGTACACTGTCAATTAACTATTTTGCCTTCATGGAGCAATAGACAGAGTGATTTTGTCAAAGCAAATGCACTTTCCAAGTTTCCAAACTAGTTTCCTAGTTTGTTATTTCAATGGAAAATTGATGTAGTTCTGTTCAGTAATAGACCTAAGGTTCTGCCAAGCAGTTTACAAAATACAAATTTCCAACCAACAGTATCATCTTGGTGTTTTGAATTGTTTTTCTTTTTGCAGCTCTTCTAGTTCAACATACTTTCTTTATGAGTTTTTTAGTAGATTTATCAGGTAATGACAATACACTTATGATACTTATCCATGGTAAATTTTCAGTTGACTTATGTCGTAGGACTGAAGCAAGCATTTTCTCGCTTCCTTAGGAGCATTTTAACACAGATTTATCTATTTGAGCGAGAAAAATAGTTGCATCAAACTGTTTACAGTCAAACACACAGAAGCATGAAATAATGTATAAGTTTGACATTTACAGTCTACTAAAGAATGCCGTTTGATTTTCACTTTTAAAAGGTTAAAATATCATAAAATAACTTAAATGCTACAGCCAAAATATGCGTTTCTCTACCGTCGATTTTCTTTATTTAGATGTGTGTGTTTACTGTGTTTTCACGTAATGCTAAAGAATTATTTTAACATGATATGCTGACGGTATGGCAATTTTTTCACTTGTTGTCGTTCATATAAACAGTATTAGAAATCAGGAGGGAGTTAATATTGAAAACAATTTTTAAAGTGGAAGTTTTGACTACCAAATCCGCCATGTTTTTGACAACCGGGTCCAGACACCCTTCCCCTCCAGGTCTTATAGAACTCAATGTATAACAAGAGATCAAACTCCACGCTACTAAAAGGAGATCTTACATGAAGTATGACCCAATATAAAAGATGTTTTGCAAGACCTCAATGGTTTATAGGAGCATACGTAACAAGTAACTTTTGTAAATAACATAAGGTAGGTGCTTAAATGAAGCTTTCTTGTGTAGTAATGTCCCACCCATCTTCAAACGAGACAAGAACAGATGATCCCTGGATGTCCAAAAGATCCACGACAGCACCGGATATCCGAAGTACAAGCGATAACTACAAATGAAAATAGGCATGAGATACATCAAAAAAACCCCACAAAAGTCTATGTTTCAATACATTTTTCTGCATATCTTTCAAGAACGTTCTCGTGGCAAAAAAATATACTTCGTTGGATAGAGTTACCGCATAGGTTACTGTTTAATCTTTATGGGAAAAACGTAAACTAATGTTCTTTTCTATTGACTAATGACTTTGGATCGTAACTAGTTGAGATTTAATACATTTTTTAAACAATCCAATGGTTAACAGTAGAACAAGAACGAATTTAGGATTGAGATTTTCCGAGGGTTGTGCATCCCTTCTAGCTTTGGCCACATGGAATACAGGAGGGGTGGAAATTTCCTTACAAAATACTAAGTATACCAAACAATTAAGTATGCAACCCTTCTAGCTTTGGCCAGATGGAATGCAGTAGAAGTGGAAACTTCCCAACAAAATACTATGTATACCAAACAATTAAGGAAAAGAAATTGCGATTGTAGCGTTCAATGGAACAGAGTTTGAACAATTTAACGAAAATAGCCTGACTTTCGGCAACAAGCAGCTACCAATATCTAATCAAAATTAGATACCCCATATCCAAATCAAATATCCAAAAATGAGTATAGTATAGGAGTAGACTGTAAATTACCATGCTGAAACTATACACAGCCGAATATACATAAGAAATTTGGCATTCGAATACTATTCCATCCTTTTTGACGACACAAAAATCGAAAATAATACATTGTCTAGCAACAAAAGTTTAGAATTTAGAAAAATCACACTTTAGCATGTTGAGAAACGTCGCAGTAGAGAACCTGTTGTTAAATATGAGTTAGATTATCATAATACAATTGAAACCATCAATATACATATATTATATAAAACAGCGTAAACCAGCTGATACCTGCTTCAACCAATCAGTATCTTGCAACGACTTGAAAAATGGATCACCTTGTGTTGAATCTTTAGGGGGATTGCTGGGACAGCAAACTTTGAACAACTTACGTAAGCTGGTTTTGAGATCACGTACATCCGGTATCTAGTACGACAGGAATAAAAGACCTCTGGTTAAACAGATCAATAGATCGTACATTGATGATGTGCGTTTGAAAATTTGCTTGATTGCTTTTAATTAAGTTGTTTTGAACGAAAGAATTGTGCACTCACAGCAACAGAAAATATGATATTTTTATTTCATTGTCCATTTTGAAGCTGCTCTTGTAAAATCTTAATATAGTTGCAACTATTTTCTTGGTGTTATCACATTACGTAATGGTCTCCATGTTGAATGACTTTGACAGTGCATTTTCTTTATTTACAACGCAAATTTCAACCAACATGGCGAACGTTCCATTGTTTCCTCACTCCCAGGCTGTTTTAAGGTGAAGAGGTTACACACTACATATTGTACGATAGTCAAAATGACATACCTCAATAGGAACAAAATCAATATTGGTATACGAATCTTTCTTTAAATTCTGTGAAAGATAAACGTTAAGATAAGATTTTCAATTGATTATTTTGAAAAAGAATTTCATTTTACAAGCAATTTGCTATAAATATAAAGCAATCGTTCACTAATCAAAAATAATTTATCATTATTACATATTTGCAAAAGCTCGTTTAAATAAATTATTTTTTGGTTAGTGAACGACTATACGTATGCTTTATATTAAGCCCTTAATAACCAAGCTCGAGGTCTTTACGGAGAAATAACGGTCCGAAGCATTTTTGTACAGACGAGCCCGTAGGGCGAGCGGTTAGAAAATGTTAAGTCCTAGTTTCAGCAGAGCTTCAGGAAAAAATCTCACCTTTAAATTGCTTTTGTCTCCAAAAACGTACAGTGCAGCAGGCTCCCATCCTTGCTCAGTTATTGCTTTGTCAACAGAATCCACAACAGAAACACGTTTAGATGCCTTGTCATTTGATCGTAGATTCATCGTTGCTTTAGACATGCTGACGTTGGCTGCCAGTGAACGATGTTTCGCCTCCGCTTTATTCCACGATACAGGATTTGAAGACACTTAAAATTAAAAGCATAGAAAATCACGGTTACATAATCACATAATAATGCTCAAAGCAAAACTTTAAGATTGATAAAAAAAAAGTGATAAATGCAGGTACATTTGCTAATGTTAATAAAACTTAAAGAATGGCAAACAGTCCCTAAATACTTATTTCATACATAAATATTAATCTAAATTTATATCTAAATCACTCAGTTTTAGAAAAACAATTATGCAATTCACTTTCATTAGTTCTCGTTTATTTTTCGAGGATACTTTAATTCAAAATGTGATTTTCAAAAAAAACGAGTAAAGTAATATATATTGCTGTGATAGCAAGGGTGGCGATAGATCTGTGTGTATGTGGGAGAAGGGGCGTTGCCCTGGGGGGAGGGCACTTACATGTTAGGGTAGGGGACGAGCGTTGAAACGATAAATATAAACAACTAACCTACGGCAGATAAATATTTATCTTACTCCACGTTGGATGAACGTATTGCGTCAGTGCTTCCACCACTTGCAGCTACACCAGAGCGAATGATGGATGCCACAGAGCTTCGTTCAATGGCAGAAGATCGCAATAAAACGGCGAATTTATTGACTTTATGTCTCCACGTCGCAACAGGAAAACGCATATGGCGATGGTTTTTAGACACGCGCTACAAAGAGTCATCGGTCACAAGTTGTGGCACCACTAAAACAGCCGGGTAACTGAAAGAAAAATCCACATCATATTGACTATTTTGTCGATACATGTTTATTTTCAAAGACTTGTAAATTTACCCTTTAGCAAAATAAATGCATTATACGATAGTAAATATGAGTTTTAAACACTTATGGCAATAATGAAAGGGTTAAATGCTCCTAAGTCTTATTCGGAAATTTTGAGCATAACAATTCTGTAATAAAAAATTATCTCCTCCATTTTTCCCAACTTTACCTTCGACAGGCTGCGTACGAAAGATTGACCATAGAAAGCCTCCAAGATCCACTTTTACTCCCTATACGTTCCTCAAGTACAGAGCCAAAGCCAAGTCTTTTATACTCTTCACAATACGGGGTTAAATTCAAGTTTTCAATAACCGGCGCATTTCGTACAACAAAAGATCCATCAACCTAATAGTATATGTATAACCAATAACATTGCAGAAAAGCTAACAATAAAGTAAGTAATGGTAGGTAATGGTTATTAAGGGCTTAGTAATGGCAAGTAATGGTAGGCTATAGTAGGTAATGGTAAGTAATGGTAGGCAATGGATATTAAGGGCTTAGTAATGGTAGGTAATGGTAGGTAATGGTGAGTAATGGCAAGTAATGGTAAGTAATGCTAGGTAATGGTAGGTAATGATATGTAATGGTAACTAATGGTAAATAATGGTAGGTAACGGTAAGTAATGGTAGGTAATGGTAGGTAATGGTAGGTAATGGTAGGTAATGGTAACTAATGGTAGGTAATGGTAAGTAATAGTAAGTAATGGTAACTAATGGTAGGTAATTTCTAATTAGCAGCAATTTTAAAAAACACTTGAGAAAAACGACGATTTTTTTGAGAGCAAACATGTTTCGACATTATCAGAATGCCATCTTCAGTGCAGAATGGTTAGTGTTAAGTAATATGATACGTAATATGATATGAATAAATTAATTACAATGAGTATTAAAGTGCACCTCCAGGCAAAATTTTTTATTGGTTATATCGAATCTATGTATGATGGCCAGCATATATGCGAAAAATTTTTTAAATCGGTTATATCTTTCCTTTTTTATGGCGGTTTAAAAAATGGCCTTTGAGGACCCTGTCCGTCGTATCAAGGAGTCTGTGTCTAGCGCATTTTCTGACGTCATGCAAGGTAGTCGGCTTTTTTCTTTGATTGTCTCAGATAAATGCGCTTATTAGGCATATACAATCTTGTTGCACGTGGTCGGACGAAGATGTAGTTTGTTTTTGTCAGAGCTATCATGGATAAGGATGTAATAGATTGGGAATGTGATTCGGAGGATTATCAGTCTGACGACTCCGATATTAATTTTATTCCCGGTTACATGATCGAATGTTCTGAGGTTAGAAATTCTAACAAAGATTTTAATCAAGAAAACGTGGGCCTAGCATATGCTGACGAGCCTTTGGCAGACGAAGAGTGGTTGGAAAATTACAACAGTCAGGAACAAAAACGTTTAGAACTACAAGAAAAGCTCGGCAAAAGACTGGACGGCTCTGTAAAAGTGGACGAGTGGTGTCAGTGCGGAAATTGTGATGTGACGCTACTCGTAAACAATAACGAATGCCATTGTTGTTTTGAACTTGATGGATGCCATGAAGCAATGAAAAGCGACGAAGTGATTAGCGATCTCCAAGCCGAAGGTATAATTAATGCGAAATGCATCATTTAACATACTGGATTTAACTCCGTATGCCTTGAAAAGTGGAGTTTGAAGATGGCTGCCAAAGGGTCGACGTCTTCGAAGATTCAAAGACCCGTTTTGCTTTGACGAAGTCAACCCATATTTTTCTTCTTCTCCTGGCTTCAGGTCGATTGTCATTAAAGTAGGGTATTGTGTGGAGACTTATACCGGAACTAAGACATGACTTATTCGTGCAATTTGCCGCCACAAAGCTATTAACCATGTTTTTAGTTTTCAAAAACTGCACGTAATGTATTTAGAAACAACGGCCTTACTTTGACGAGTACCTTGCGTGACGTCATAAAATTTGCTCGTTCCAGGTTCTTGTAACGACGGACATGGTCCATCAAGAAGTGCATTTTTGTCAACTTCAAACCGCCATAAAAAAGGAAAGATATAACCGATTTAAAAAATTTTTCGCATATATGCTGGCCATCATACATAGATTCGATATAACCAATAAAAAATTTTGCCTGGAGGTGCACTTTAAGTATTAAGAACTTATAACATAAGTTCTAAAAATAAGTATTAAGAACTTATAACAAAAAATATTATTATAAAGTAAATATAGTGTTGTAGTGGTGAACTTGGATATTTAAATCGGGATTAGTTTTATTAATGTGTAGAGCTTCCTTGATTTTGAGTGAGAAAGTGGATTGATCAGTGTCGATGATTTTAAACAGGAAGGTGAGAATTTGTTTTTACATGAAGGAGAGGCTTGAAGATGTTTGTAGATAGTGGAGTTTTTGTCTGTGTGAGTATGTTCCTTTATCCTGGTAGATAATTGGCGAGAAGTTTCACCAATATAGCGGGAATTACATCCCGCACATGAAAATTGATAAACTACCATAGATTAGGAAAGTTCGGGAAGTGGGTCTTTAAACGAAAATAAAGATTTTATTTTAAAAGGTGTGAAAATAAGTTTAACGTCAATGTCAGTGCAGTAGCGTTTAATGATTTGTGTGAGTTTGCGTTGTGTGTGTCGTGAGTAATCACCTATGTAAGGTAGTTTGAAATAACGTTTATTGTCAGGTTGTTGTATATCGTTAGTGTTAGTTGTGGAGTGAGATGAGTCAGTGCTTTTCTTGTTGTCCAAATAGTGTTGTATAGTGTTGTTGATGAAATGAAAAGGAAAAGAATTACGTTGGAGAGTGAATATTAGTTTCTTTAAATCACGTTGAAAGCCGATGTCTGTGTTGTTGAGTTTCCGTGCTCTGTCGGTCAGTGTTCGTATCAGTCCAATTTTGTAATTTAATGGTGTGAAACTAAAAAAGTTAGTCAGTAGTCCTGTATATGTTGGTTTGTGGTACGTAGAGGTCATACAGTTTTCATGTGATTTAGTTAGTAAGATGTCAAGAAAGGGTAACTGATTGTCTTGTTCGGTTTCGTATGTAAAGTTTATGCTTTGATGTTGTTTGTTGATGTATTCGTAAAAGAGTAATGCTTCGTCTTTGTTATGAAAAATACAAAAAATGTCGTCAACGTATCTGCGGTAAAATAAAGGTTTGTTGTTGCTGTAGTTATTTAACCAGTTTCGGTCGTGAAAACCCATGAAAATGTTGGCTAGAATGGGTGCCAAGGGTGAGCCCATACTTACCCCGTCAATTTGGTCGTAGTACTTACCGTTAAATAAAAAATGAGTCTCGGCCGTAGTGATATTAAACAATAGTTTTAGTTCTGTTCTGCTCATTTTGAATGTAGGGTTGTTGGTAAAAATTAAATCAGTTATCTCCAATAATCTACCAGGATAAAGGAGCATACTCACACAGACAAAAACTCCACTATCTACAAACATCTTCAAGCCTCTCCTTCATGTAAAAACAAATTCTCACCTTCCTGTTTTAAAATCATCGACACTGATCAATCCACTTTCTCACTCAAAATCAAGGAAGCTCTACACATTAATAAAACTAATCCCGATTTAAATATCCAAGTTCACCACTACAACACTATATTTACTTTATAATAATATTTTTTGTTATAAGTTCTTAATACTTGATACTCATTGTAATTAATTTATTCATATCATATTACGTATCATATTACTTAACACTAACCATTCTGCACTGAAGATGGCATTCTGATAATGTCGAAACATGTTTGCTCTCAAAAAAATCGTCGTTTTTCTCAAGTGTTTTTTTTATAATGGTAGGTAATGGTAAGTAATGATAAGTAATGGTAACTAATGGTAAATAATGATAGGTAATGGTAAGTAATGGTAGGTAATGGTAAGTAATTATAAGTAATGGTAAGTAATGATAACTAATAGTAGGTAATGGTAAGTAATGGTAGGTAATGGTAAGTAATGGTAAGTAATGGTAAGTAATGGTAAGTAATGGTAAGTAATGGTAGGTAATGGTAAGTAATCAGGCAATGGTAAGTAATGGTAAGTAATCAGGCAATCAGGTAATGGTAACTAATGGTAGGTAATGGTAACTAATGGTAGGTAATGGTAACTAATGGTAACTAATGGTAGGTAATGGTAATTAAGGGCTTAGTAATAGTAAGTAATGGTAGGTAATGGTAGATAACGGTTAGGTATGGCAAGTAATAGTAGGTAATGGTAGGTAATGGTAAGTAATGGTAAGTAATGGTATCTAATGGTAACTAATGGTAGGTAATGGTAACTAATGGTAGGTAATGGTAAGTAATGGTAAGTAATGGTAACTAATGTGCTCATCAGTTTGAAAAACTTGACAAACTCCGAAGTTTGCATTAAGCATGTACAAACAGGAAAATAAACTTAAAACAACGCCATAGAATAGAGAATAATAGAAGGGCAACTCGCAGGTGAAACGCGTGGCATATTTTCTGTGCGCATGCGTTACGTCCGCCATTACTCTGGCCAGTAACTTGACGCTGGCGTACTATAAAATAATATTGGAAAAGTGCGATTTTGGGATAATAATCGCCTAAAACGCAAACTGTTTTGGAAGATCATGGAATTTTGTGACAAAACGTGAAAGAAATAAGGTGAGAGACCATTATTTAATTGCTAGCAAGTCCGTAAAGGTTTTTTATTGGTAAAAATTACATGTTTCAATGTAGGGTGTTCATGTTACTGCTATAGAGTTGTCAGTATGTTAGGTGAATAGAAGTCCAGAAGTAAAATCTCTTGCGTTTTCGTCCTTTCTGAATTATAAATTTCAAACTTTTGAGGTGTTATTATAAATGTATTATTTAAAACACAAACTTGTCAGAGTTTTACTTTTACCAACGCTGTAATATTTCAGGTTGCAACTTGCCAACTTGCTAAGCTATAAATCAAGTTAATCAACCAGTTAACCAAGTAATCCAATAATGATTCAAGATGCTTGTGTGTGAATTATAACTGATAATAATTTGCAACATTCAGTTTCAAACCATGGAGGGTTTGTTTATCATTTTAAGCATGAGTGAAATGTTAGTATGTTAATAGTTGGGCATTTTTAATACCAAATGTAGTTTTAGTGAGGTATACACTCTGTTTGCCTTATTTATAAATTTTGCCTTGTTGTGATTTGTGCTCTATTAAATTTATCACAAATAGTTATGATTTATTTTCTTATATTTTTTTCTAGTTGTTATTTTGGCATTCGGTTCTCAAGTGAGGATTATGCTGCAAGTGTCTTGTGTTATGTAGTTTTAGTATGTTGGATTAGATTTTAGTGGCTACTTGTTGCAGTAGCATGTTAAACTTTGTTTGTTAAATTCTATTACGTTTTTATTATGATTGGGTGGTTTTTGTAAGGGTGCTTGATCACAATTTCTTCAGCTTAATTCTTTAGTATACCAATATTTATAGAGAAATTAGCATTTCTTCTGCACCCCCATCTAGCTTAAGCTAGTAGGGCTGCACACCCCTCTCTTATATCCATCTCTGAATAAAGTTGTCATTAAATTTTTTAAATGTAAATATGTGTACTGAATTGCTGTATTTTGTTCTGTATATTCTATTGCACGAAATCCACACATTCTAAATTTAAATTATTTTGTGTTAAAGATTTTTGTGCACCATGTAAATCTTTAATGACAAAGGCATGTGTTTAGCGTTGTAACCATTAAGAAAATATAATATTTATTATATTGCTGTTATTTTGTACATATTTTTCACTCAGAAATGTCTTTATCAAAATAAGTTTCCAATGTTATTCAATTCTCAAATCGCCCAAAGCATTGTATATTGGGTTTGCTGTGGATCTTTGGATCTTTCTCACGTGTGCGTCTCTACTGCAACTTTTTGATTCGAGATTATAAAGCTGTACTTTTTCCAAAGCTATTTTTAACTGTTTTCGAATTACAAGGAGCCAAATGTTGCTAGTAACATAATGAGGAAAAATGCCATTGCATATGTGTCTGGTTTTCTTCTAATGAAGAGTCTCAAACTCCACTCTTGTCTGAAATGCACCAATGCTCTTTCATCTACAGAACTGGATGATAGCAGAAAGTTCTTCTGCCACTTTAAAGCATTCGATGAAAAGAAATCTGATTTAGGAGGACTACAATCACCATCTTCTCCTTATCTGCAATACATCATCAAACTTGAAGACACATTTATTAAGACGTTTTCTGTCTACACAAAGAGCGAAGGTCCATACCAAAGGAATTTGATTGCTGTACGGAATTCCCATTTGAGTTCTTGCAGAAACTTTTTGTAAGAATGCGTATTTATTACGCCATAAAATTTGCGAACCGCATATTCGCAACAACTAAAAAGAAAGACAGAAAGTACATTAAAGTCACACACCTTTGAGGGCTTTGTGCATGCAATTTTTTGTCCTTTATAAAACTAAATTGAAAACAAAAGCTTTTTATATCACAATAATATATTTAACATGTAATACATCCAAGTTCATTTAAGTCCTCACGACTTGTGAACCTCAGAACCTGTTCAAGTTTCCGACTGAATTTCGCTATAAATATATTAAATAAATGCATTTGTTATATGATATATACAAAATACTTGCCTTTTTATTTCAATTTCTTTCAAAAAGATGCCAAAAACAGCCAACAGCTCAAAAAATCTACATTTTAACCCACTTTACGGCTTCCACTCCATATATTTTCATAGTAAAAGTTGTACACTTTACTGGCCAGAGTAATGGCGGCCGTCACATTTCCGGTATGCGCGAAACAAACTGCGCGCCACGCCTACATCAAAGGTTACCGACGCGAGTTGCCCTTCTATTATTCTCTATTCTATGACAACGCTTTAATTTTTCCTTCAACATGATTAATTTGCGAATTCTCTTTGCGAATCCTCATTCATGATTGATTTGCGAATTCTCTTTGATTTATTTAACTGGTTGACCTCAGATTGTTTTGCGAAGGCCAATACAAGCTGAGTTACTAACCAATCAACGCGCGCGTTGTATTGTTTTTATTTTATAAATGCATGTAAAAAAACACCGTTGGCTTTATGGAGATGTTTTTGTTCCCTTTCCTTCAATAGTGGGTCATTGCCTACTTATATGAACAAGATTTGTTATTGGCTCGAAGTAAAAAATAGAACAAACCACGGAAATTATTCGTTCAAACAACGAGTCGTCTATTGTCACCTTCACCCAGGTATATTTACTATCAACACTTACTAACCACTCACCTGTTCGCCGCTCATACTTTCTACAGAACCATCAGATGAAAAATTATTCCTAGGTAATCTAGGAGATGATATGTCATTTCGAGTTTGGACTCGTTTTATCGATCCTCTCGCTTGCTTTGCTTCCTTTCGAATGTCACTAACAGCCCGAGGTATCCTAGCGCCAGTATTGCGCGGTTGACTTTCTGCGGGTGGGATTTGCAGGCGGACAACTTTTGCAGGCGGTTTCTTGTCCGCTTCTTTAAACGAGAACGTGTCTAAGACCGATGAAGGATATCGTAATCGTGTTAACGTTTTACGAAACAGTTCAGTTTTCTCGGCACCGACCTCCTCATCAAAACAAAGCTTTAACATCTATAACAAATAAATTATTTTTACCAAAAGAGGGCGATAAACATTCCTCAAAGTATAATCAAGTTTTTCTCATTAGCGATGTGATTCATCCAGCATGGGTACATGCATGTGCTTATTGGGAGTATTTAAATTTGAAACATCCTCAAAAACTATTCTCAAAGAAGCCTTCCTCACGGGTGGTACCTGTCTCTACCCGCAAATTTTTGGGCTTTGAAAACTTTACTGACGAAAGTCAGAATCCTATTAACGCCTGGGAGAATTCAATCAACTCTACGTTTTCAATGCATGGAGTCAAAAACCTGAAACGTCGCAGATCGCAATTGAACACATTCTTGCAACCAAGATCTAAGATGTCGCAAATACTGAGCTGGGAGTTTCTTATCTCTCACTAAGGATCCAATTGGAAAACTTCTCGTCACGATCATTTCTGAAGCTGAAATTTAAATTACATTGTTAAATACCCATTTTCAAAGTTCATTTTTCCCACTGTTTCATTTGTGGAGAGTGTATCACACAAGAAAAAAAAACTGTTTCCTTAAAAGTAACTCAAAAGTACGTAAGATAGATAATACATTATCTACTGTTAGATGATAAAAAGTCACGTTTGTAATATCGTAAAAGCGCGAACTTTGCCCGACTTTGGTTAGCGTCTTATCTCGATCAAAAAAGAGCGGGAATTTTTTAAAGTATTTTTTTACTATTTTATTTAAATATTCTTTTGGGAAAGTAAGCATTTCGTTTATGTACGTTGTTCTCTGTTTTCTCATGGGTATATAACAAAAAGACTTATTGACTAAAATTTCGAAAATCAGTGTTTTTCGTTTACACTCGACCGGCATAATTTTCCTCGGCGAACTGGGTTCCTTCTAAAGTAAAAAACAATGCCCGTTCTTCAGATCTTGATATTTTGGCTTAAATGACACAAGCCAATTGGAACTGTCGGTATTTATTTAGAAACAAAGAAAGAATACTTTGGACAAAAATAGTTATTTGCTCATGTCATATACTCATAGTCCTATAGCAACCACTGGTAAAATATCTGAGCACACGAAACTCCAAAGAACAAACTTTAAAAAACAAACAACAAATATAAAGTGTAAAAAAAGGCATGATAACATGAAGTATTGACATAGATAAAACTTTATTGTAAAAACTGCGAGCCTCCACCAATCAAGCAAAAACGAAACACCAATACAATCTACGTATACATAATATCCATGAACCGAAATTAGTTTTGATAACGTTTAAACTCACCAAATTCATCAAGAGGAGTTCCTTTGAATATAATCCGATAGTTAGTAACAAATACAGCGCCTTCCGCAGGGAACATAACAGGACCGCCATAATGCACACCAGTGCCAGTCTCCCGACCATCCGGAATTAAATAACAGCGAAGTCCATCCATTTGCATTTCTTCAAGAGGCAACATGGCGGGTCGGATTATTTTAGCCTATTGATATAGCAAAGGATGAAAAATTACATTTTCATAATTATACATCCTTATCTACATCAAACAAAACCAGACAAGTTTGCCATCGATGCAACGAAATTTGTGCATTGTTTTTGCAAATGTCATTTTACAATATGCATATAACTTGTTGACAATTTTCAAAGAGTAAATACTCTAAGATTATTGTTCTTTCACAGTCCTCAACAATGTTTTTAAAATTACGTATAAATACGTTTCTGTATCGTAGTTGTACCTTTCGAATGGGAGCAAGTTGCTTATATTCTCTGTAAACTGGTTCCAGTGATTCTGTGTGCATAGTCACCACACCTAAAATACAATAATAAAAGCTACGGCATCACAAGATAGCATTTCTCTCGTTTATAACCCGTCTTACACTTTTAACGGAGAGTATTTCAAAAATATTAACGAAAATTTAAACTATTGTAGTGGACATTATAGAAACTATAATATGGGCATAAAAACGCAATACAATGTCATTTTTTTCGATATCAGGCCCATAGCAGACTTTTGAATCAGTCGATCAAGGTTTCACTTCGAAAGAAAGACTTTGGCTGCTTACTGGACAGCCTCAAACATAAATTTCAATCAAGGTTTCACTTCGAAAGACTATGGCTGCTTACTGGACAGCCTCAAACATAAATTTCAATCAAGGTTTCACTTCGAAAGACTATGGCTGCTTACTGGACAGTCTCAAACATAAATTTTAATCAAGGTTTCACTTCGAAAGAAAGACTTTGGCTGCTTACTGGACAGCTTCAAACATAAATTTCAATCAAGGTTTCACTTCGAAAGAAAGACTTTGGCTGCTTACTGGACAGCCTCAAACATAAATTTCAATCAGTGTTTCACTTCGAAAGAAAGACTTTGGCTGCTTACTGGACAGCCTCAAACATAAATTTCTAATTTTTTCACATGCTTCCCGAATTGATCTTGCGATCGTAAAATGTTTTTTGAATCCTAAAGTAAAAATCAAAAAGATGCAGTATTTCGCTGAAGTTAAGACAACAAATTTCTATTGTAAATGTGTTCAAAACACACACAAAAAAATATCCCTTCTTGGCACCAAGCTGTAAAGAGACTTCAAATGGTCGGTTGAAATTCCTGCAACTGTACCAACTCTATCCACAAAGCGAATAACAAATCTCGTCACTTCATCAATAATTGTGTCCGTTTCATCATCTTCCCAGTGGTCACCAGCATGGACGTCCCCATACACACTACCCACCCCTAAAACATAAAACATATCCCATGGCAACCTTTGTTCACATGATCCATTCTTTGGGTAGACCACGTACACATTTCCTATTTTTAGAAAGTAGATCCTTTCAAATTTTCGGAAAATAATGTAGTAAAACCGTAATTGTTTGTGTTAACTCTTTGAACATGGGAATTTTTTTCGGTACCTATTTTCCCTAAGAATGAATGAAGAAACTTATCAAATAATTCTATCTGATTGTAATAAGTACAAAAGAAGACAAAACATCCAAAGTCCTGGACCCGAGGAATATACTTTCAACAACAGTATATTATCATCAATTTACAGTAGAATCAACCTCACCAGTATTTTCTAGAATGACATCGTTTTGACGTCTCTTCTTTGGTTTAACCATTTGAGAGACACTGAGGGGTATCATGAGATACACCATACGATTGACGAAGTGGATGGCTTGGCTGAACACGATGCTTTCCTCGTTTGTTACGTATGTCTTGTGTGAATCTTTTGAAAATGTTTCCCACATGCCAAGCTAAATGAAATAAAGAAAACATTAAAACTTGATTTGAAAACTTCAGACAAAACATTAGAGCTCGGTTTATATTAAGTTTATAGTAAGTAACATTTGTAACATAGAACTATACAGTTTAATCACCCGATACAAACGTTGTAAGCAATAAGTTTTTTGTTCTACCACCTATTGACCTTAATAAAGTAAATCGTTTGAACCCGGGAGTATCGTAACATGTTTGTACATGAAGATCGTTCAGGTTAGTATAGTCCTGAGAAGGACTGTTGGTATTGATGTAGACTGACGTTTTGACAACCGTAGCGGTAGTCATCTTCAGAAGAGACAACCTTAGCTGTAGTCATTTTCAGAAGAGACAACCTTAGCGGTAGTCATCTTCAGAAGAGACAACCTTAGCTGTAGTCATCTTCAGAAGAGACAACAATAGCGGTAGTCATCTTCAGAAGTGACAACCTTAGGGGTGGTCATCTTCAGAAGAGACAACCTTAGCGGTAGTCATCTTCAGAAGAGACAACCTTAGCGGTAGTCATGTTCAGAAGAGACAACCTTAGCGGTAGTCATCTTCAGAAGAGACAACCTTAGCAGTAGTCATCTTCAAAAGAGACAACCTTAGCTGTAGTCATCTTCAGAAGAGACAACCTTAGCGGTAGTTACCTTCAGAAGAGACAACCTTACCGGTAGTTATCTTCAGAAGAAACAATCTTAGTGGTAGTCATCTTCGTCATCTGAAGATGACTACCGCTTAGGTTGCCGAAACGTCAGTTTACATCAGTACCAACAGTCATTCTCAAGACTATACTAACCAGGACGATCTTCATCTACAAACATATTTACTATAAGTTGACCACTACAGACTGTGTTATCAGTTGACTAATAATTGGCCGCTTGCTATGCCGATTTTATACTGAAATGATGCTTCATTTTTAAATCTTATAAAACAATTTTAAAGTTCCGAGTCACTACAGCACATCTAGTTCGTGGTCGAAGGATTTAATAAATCTTCCATCATGCTCTCTATTCTCGCTGTCAAGAAATGCAGCGTTTTCAGCAGTTCATGCTGTGCATCAACGAATGTGTCAGTGGCCTTATGTACGTATTCTGTCCTTAGTTAAGTCTTTTTTACTTAATGAGCGCACGTTTTTGCATCTGCATTTGCAACTTGTCCAAAAAAAACATATAGGTATCATTTTGATAACAAGAGGATAACAAAAGTGTGATTTACAAAAGAAAAAGGAAAGAAATCTGTATTAGCTAAAAGAAACCGACACAAAAATTGCAAAAATAAAAAACAGAATGAGTCATGACAACCGAACTTGTGTCTTAAGGCAAAGCATCAAGAACAAACATGTTCAACAAGACACGCACTACTTTTTCTTCATTGCTAACTCACGCAGCACGTTTCAGCCAATCGCATTTAGCCTATTTAAGTAAGGCTTCGACAAAATGGTTTCTCTCGTCATTAAGATAAGAAGACAAATAATCTTTATGTAAAAACACATTCGAGAGAAAAAGTAAGCCTCACCTGCTTAGCAGCAATATCTAACGCTTCATCATTCACTATCAGATCAGAATCAGATACATCCTGCGGGTAGATACCAGATTTTGTGATCACAATGAGGTCTTGTTTTGGTACTAATGACGGAGGCGTTGCTTGCGTGAGGCTGTTCCGTGAGTTTCGTGGAGTGGATAGGCGTTCAAAAATGCCAGAACTATGGGCTAACACTGCAACAAATAATGTTCAACTTTTTTCCCTTATCAGGTCTACAATGCCAGTGTGGAAATACCTGAACTTGCCTTTGACAGGGAAAAGAGTGGGTTGAAATGGGGACACGAAAACACTTATAGAACCTAAGAGTTTTATTCAAAACTTAGCGACAAAAACTTCTCATGAAATGAATCCTCACATGATTATTGGAACCGTTTTCTACGTAAATCCCATAAGCTACAACAAAAAATGTTAACGAAGAGTGAAAAATATGTAGGAAGACAAACTGTCGCCAATACTGCTTGCATTCGAAAAACTATTATAACAAAGGACAGACGAAGTACTTTCAATATACCCTGAACACTTTGTGTAGAGGGACTAAGAAATTATATGTTTGTTACAAGCTTAAAACAATAACTCGATGTCAGTTAGTGCACTAATGGGTGTTATAATTTATTAGAAAAAAAAAACTCAACAAAACCCGTGCAATGATTGGTCTATGGCTGAGTTTGCATCTGATTGGTCTATGGCTGAGTTTGCATCTGATTGGTCTATGGCTGAGTTTGCATCTGATTGGTCTATGGCTGAGTTTGCATTTGATTGGTCTATGGCTGAGTTTGCATTAGTCTTTGCAAACAGATACGAGCTCAATCAATTAAATCGATGAAAGAAAATTTGCAAATAAATTGTTCTTCAATTGATCTGCACGAGAGTTAACCTGAGTAAACACGAAAAACATATTATTTCTTGACAGAACTTAATAAAGTGGTAATTCATGGACGAGAATTAGTAATTTGCTTACGTTTATCGGTGGATAGCCTCTTTTTAGTGCTTGTTCCATCGTATAAATGCTTTATATCCGTTTGAACATCGCTAAAGAACGTTTCTTCCCAAAACTGCGGATTTTGCCAAATGGGATGTTCTTGAACGCATTTTTTACAGTTTTTACAATTCTTCTTGCTAACTCACTCAAACTTCTTCGCAGTTTTTACAACCTATACAGAACGGCAGTTTTTACAACCTATACAGAACAACAGTTTTTACAACCTATACAGAACGACAGTTTTTACAACCTATACAGAACGACAGTTTTTACAACCTATAAAGAACGACAGTTTTTACAACCTATACAGAACGACAGTTTTTATAACCTATACAGAACGACAGTTTTTACAACCTATACAGAACGACAGTTTTTACAACCTATAAAGAACGACAGTTTTTACAACCTATACAGAACGACAGTTTTTACAACCTATAAAAGCGACAGTTTTTACAACCTATACAGAACGACAGTTTTACAACCTATAAAGAACGACAGTTTTTACAACCTATACAGAACGACAGTTTTTACAACCTATACAGAACGGCAGTTTTTACAACCTATACAGAACGACAGTTTTTACAACCTATAAAGAACGACAGTTTTTACAACCTATACAGAACGACAGTTTTTACAACCTATAAAGAACGACAGTTTTTACAACCTATACAGAACGACAGTTTTTACAACCTATACAGAACGACAGTTTTTACAACCTATAGCTACAGAACGGCAGTTTTACAACCTATACAGAACGACAGTTTTTACAACCTATACAGAACGACAGTTTTTACAACCTATAAAGAACGACAGTTTTTACAACCTATACAGAACGACAGTTTTTACAACCTATACAGAACGACAGTTTTTACAACCTATAAAGAACGACAGTTTTACAACCTATAAAGAACGACAGTTTTTACAACCTATACAGAACGACAGTTTTACAACCTATAAAGAACGACAGTTTTACAACCTATACAGAACGACAGTTTTTACAACCTATACAGAACGGCAGTTTTTACAACCTATACAGAACGACAGTTTTTACAACCTATAAAGAACGACAGTTTTTACAACCTATACAGAACGACAGTTTTTACAACCTATACAGAACGACAGTTTTTACAACCTATATACAGAACGGCAGTTTTACAACCTATACAGAACGACAGTTTTTACAACCTATACAGAACGACAGTTTTTACAACCTATAAAGAACGACAGTTTTTACAACCTATACAGAACGACAGTTTTTACAACCTATACAGAACGACAGTTTTTACAACCTATAAAGAACGACAGTTTTTACAACCTATACAGAACGACAGTTTTTACAACCTATAAAAAGCGACAGTTTTTACAACCTATACAGAACGACAGTTTTTACAACCTATAAAGAACGACAGTTTTTACAACCTATACAGAACGACAGTTTTTACAACATATACAGAACGGCAGTTTTTACAACCTATACAGAACGACAGTTTTTACAACCTATAAAGAACGACAGTTTACAACCTATACAGAACGACAGTTTTTACAACCTATAAAGAACGACAGTTTTTACAACCTATACAGAACGACAGTTTTTACAACCTATACAGAACGACAGTTTTTACAACCTATAGCTACAGAACGGCAGTTTTTACAACCTATACAGAACGACAGTTTTTACAACCTATACAGAACGACAGTTTTTACAACCTATAAAGAACGACAGTTTTTACAACCTATACAGAACGACAGTTTTTACAACCTATACAGAACGACAGTTTTTACAACCTATAAAGAACGACAGTTTTTACAACCTATAAAGAACGACAGTTTTTACAACCTATACAGAACGACAATTTTTACAACCTATAAAGAACGACAGTTTTTACAACCTATACAGAACGACAGTTTTTACAACCTATACAGAACGACAGTTTAAACATCTTGCTACAAGACTAGACGTGTGCAACTTGATAGCAAACAGTTCGGACAAAGCCATATTTAGCTAAACGTAACAAGTAAGGAGCTTCGTAGACTTTAATACAGGTTAGTATTGTGAGGAAATGTCTCCACTTGGGTGAGCTCGCGTCACATGATGGCAACTCTTCAAGGGTAACGAACTTACAGCGAAAAATATCTGCTATTGCATGTTATTTTTGGACTTGTGCACCTTGCAAACCATTTTGTCTCTAGTTGTGCGCATCAGTTTTGTAATTTCGCAGTTGAACGGTTTAGTACTTCAGCCATCTTGTTTTCTAAAACTAATAACTTGTGCGCATAATTTAGCTAATCTGTCGTTATGTTGTCCGTGATTTCTAACCATGAAACTGGTTTAGATATTTGTTTAGTTACAGTTTAACGAAAGCAATTGCCATAAACAAATATGTAATTTTTATTCAGAGATATTTCAATAAAAAAATGCAAATTTGTTACACGCAGATGTCGAATTCACCACTTTAAGGGGACAGTGAAACGAAAATTTTGCTATTTAAAATAAATTGTTATTAAAGACAACTCTAAAAAGGACAGTAGACTTCTAAAACTGTTTATTCATATCTTTTTTATTATCGAAATACTGAAGTTTTTGTAATATCCGATTTACACCACCTGTGACGTCATATTGACGTCATAATGATGGCTGCAAATTTACAAATTCCTTCAGTTTCTGGAAACTGTTGGATAAAATACCATGTACAATCCTACAGCACTAGAATTTCAAAACAACGGACTCCATACGGTTAAAGTAACATAACAGGTTATTCTGGATTATCCATTTCTCATTATGACACCTGTGGTTTGAAAAATCGGATACTAGCAAACCTCGACATTAGCAAACCTCGACATTAGCAAACCTCGACATTAGCAAACCTCGACATTAGCAAACCTCGACATTAGCAAACCTCGACATTAGCAAACCTCGATATTAGCAAACCTCGACATTAGCAAACCTCGACATTAGCAAACCTCGACATTAGCAAACCCCGACATTAGCAAACCTCGACATTAGCAAACCTCGACATTAGCAAACCCCGACATTAGCAAACCTCGACATTAGCAAACCTGGACATTAGCAAACCTGGACATTAGCAAACCTCGACATTAGCAAACCTGGACATTAGCAAACCTCGACATTAGCAAACCTCGACATTAGCAAACCTCGACATCAGCAAACCTCGACATTAGCAAACCTCGACATTAGCAAACCTCTACATTAGCAAACCTCGACTTTAGCAAACCCCGACTTTAGCAAACCTCGACATTAGCAAACCTCGACATTAGCAAACCTCGACATTAGCAAACCTCGACATTAGCAAGCCTCGACATTAGCAAACCTCGACATTAACAAACCTCGACACTAGCAAACCTCGACATTAGCAAACCTCGACATTAGCAAACCTCGACATTAGCAAACCTCGACATTAGCAAACCTCGACATTAGCAAACCTCGACATTAGCAAACCTCGACATTAGCAAACCTCGACATTAGCAAACTTCGACATTAGCAAGCCTCGACATTGCAAATCTCGACTTTAGCAAACCTCGACATTAGCAAACCTCGACATTAGCAAACCTCGACATTAGCAACCTCGACATTAGCAAACTTCGACATTAGCAAACCTCGATTTTAGCAAACCTCGACATTAGCAAACTTCGACATTAGCAAACCTCGATTTTAGCTAACCTCGACATTAACAAACCTCGACATTAGCAAACCTCGACATTAGCAAACCTCGATATTTTCAAAATGGACAGAGATACGTAAGACTAAACTGTTTTGGGGGTTCAATAAAAACATAATTTAAATCACCAAAATTTAATTTTTTCCTTTTACTTGCCCTTAACATCATGTAGTGTACCTAAGGTGCAAAGGTGTTCCTAACATGAACAAAGTTTTAGAGTTCAATGAAAACATAATTTAAAACACCAAAATTTAATTTTTTCCTTTTACATGCCCTTTAACATGATGTAGTGTACCTAAAGTGCAAAGGTGTCCTAACATGAACAAAGTTTTAGAGTTCAACAAAAACATAATTAAAAACACCAAAATTTAATTTTTTCCTTTTACATGCCCTTTAACATCATGTAGTGTACCTAAAGTGCAAAGGTGTCCTAATATGAACAAAGTTTTAGGGTTCAATGAAAACATAATTTAAATCACCAAAATTAATTTTTTTCCTTTTACATGCCCTTTAACATCATGTAGTGTACCCAAAGTGCAAAGGTGTCCCTAACATGAACAAAGTTTTAGGGTTTAATGAAAACATAATTTAAATCACAAAAATTTAACTTTTTCCTTTTACATGCCCTTTAACATCATGTAGTGTACCTAGAGTGCAAAGGTGTCCTAACATGAACAAAGTTTTAGGGTTTAATGAAAACATAATTTCAATCACCAAAATTAATTTTTTTCCTTTTACATGCCCTTTAACATCATGTAGTGTACCTAAAGTGCAAAGGTGTCCCTAACATGAACAAAGTTTTAGGGTTTAATGAAAACATAATTTAAATCACAAAAATTTAACTTTTCCTTTTACATGCCCTTTAACATCATGTAGTGTACCTAGAGTGCAAAGGTGTCCTAACATGAACAAAGTTTTAGGGTTTAATGAAAACATAATTTCAATCACAAAAATTTAATTTTTTCCTTTTACATGCCCTTTAACATCATGTAGTGTACCTAAAGTGCAAAGGTGTCCTAACATGAACAAAGTTTTAGGGTTCAATGAAAACATAATTTAAATTATCAAAATTCAATTTTTTCCTTTTACATGCCCTTTAATATCATGTAGTGTACCTAAAGTGCAAAGGTGTCCTTACATGAACAAAGGATGGTTGTCCGCTATCATCCATCGACAACTCCCAAACAGATACGACGTAACAATCTTAAATACGTAATGACTTAAAATATCATTCTGTGTACATACTTACCCTGCAAAACTCTGACGTCAAAGGAAGTAAGGCTGATGCAACAGCACCATCGCTCAAACTCGCATCATCCTGTATAAAAGCAGTAGATGGTTTTAACAAGATACAAATGTTGCTTGAATTTACGATGATTGTTCAATGCGTGCTTTTAAAGACGAGAAAGTAGAAAAAATTTCAGAGGAGATAAAGGAGGGGAAGACTCAAGTTTGTCGCCGTGAAAAATCAAGAGTATTTTTTGTTAAACTTCAGATAACCCCCGCCCTCTCTCTCTCTTCGCAACCCAAGTAAATCTATCCCAGTAAGTACACATCAGAAAATTATCTATAATTCAAAATTTCTCAAGCATTTATAACATACCTTCAAAATTTATCAAGCATTTATAACATACCTTCAAAATTTCTCAAGCATTTATAACATACCTGCAATGCACAGTTCATCAATGTGATAACCAAAACAAACTGATCATGTTCAAGAACAGCTCTATGTTGTTCAGAACGTGCAGCAAGCTCTTGACATAACGCCAGTTGTGCTCCACGTGACTTCAACGCCCTTTGAAGGGAGGGTAATGCCTGAAAAAACACACGCAGTAATCGTCTGGAAAGTTTGATTATGCCAATGTACCAGCAACTGATGTGCAGACATGAAAACTTGGAAGAAAAACTGCTCTTCAGAGCAATATATTTGTTAGAATGTTAGAAGGTGTTGATCATGCATGTTGTTGCATTCCTAAAGGCTGATTACATGAGCCCGTGTAGGCGGGAGTCAGCGGAGCGTTAAATCATTTTGGCAAGTGGAAAAGATTAAATACTTCACAACGAAACATATTAGAGCAATTCCTCTAAGCTCTGACTTTGCAAATTCACAAAACCTTTAAAATGAAAACAAGTAATTAAGCCTGACTTGAAAATTAAAACTAAAATGACTTATGACGCTTTAGAAAAGGTTATAAGTTTTGCGCTTAAAGTTTTTACTCCCTTCAATGACTCAAAATCATTTCACCCTCGTTGAATCCCGGCTAATGGGCTCATGTAAACTGCCCCTAGAGAATTGCTCAATGACGTATCAAAACTCTAAAACTGTAGTCATCTTCAAAGTCAAGTGAATACAAACACAAAAAGTCCTCAAGATTGAACTGCACTAACTTCTACATTCAACACCTACACATGTTAAGATACTTCTGGGTTCAATTTACACTTGGAAAAAAACAACTTAAGAGGTTAAGAGCCGGTTGCACGAAGCCTGGATAGCGCTATCCACTGAATAGCGAAAATTTTAAACTTGTAAAAAGGGCGGTTGTGTTTTTCTCATGACAAAGAAATTTTGTAATCTTCGAAACAATATTTTATTTCAGCGATTGCACAGTTCAAATCATACATTTTTCTCTTTTAAGAGATTTTATGAACGTTCAGAAAAATTCGCTGTCAAGTTGATAACGCTATCCAGGCTTCGCCAAACCGGCCCCAGGACAAAAACTCGATCTAACCGACAATGAATTCATCTCTTTTTCAAATAGCAACACAATCGCGAGTTTCGTCAATGTGTGAGAAAAAATTCTACGGGAAAGAAGAAAGCTACGGGCCCAAACAATTTCATACCTTTCTGGCTTCCGAAATCTTATTTTCAAATATGTAAGCGACGCAGCCACGAAGAACGTCCAGCTTGCGAACGTTAATATAGTGTTTTGTTTGAAAACTAAATTCTCCTGATCCATACGGGTCCTTGCCAAATGATTGAACACGATTCGCAGTAGGATCACCTGCACTGGCATCGTAATCAGCAAGTTGTTTATTGATGATAGACGAGTCGAGTAACGGGAAAACGGTGGGCTGATTTTCTTTGAGTGGCGCAAGAAAATTGTGAATATCATCTTCGGCGCAATTACTTGATTCTTGCAAATACCGAACAAAAGTCCGGAGTGAAAAAGAGATGTTAAAACAATCAACAAAGATAAAAATAAACAAGATATGTGTTTCTTGATCAAATTACGAAAAGCGTACAAAGTGGACATACATTATCGTAAAGTTTCCTGGCGATTTGTTTAATATTTCCGCAGATCTCTGCATCAAGATTCATTTCGTTCGTCAATACCTCGTTGATGTTGGCCACGAGCTTTAAATATCGACAAAAAAATTAGTTGCAATATTTTGAAATGACGAGTGTATTATATATAGTTTGAAAACATTACTTTGAGTTGTTTCCACTTGAAAATTTGTAATTTGAAATTTTCGTTTTCTTAATTTTTCATTTTATTTGTTTTTTCATGATTACTTAATGAAATGAAATTTTGGTCGTGATATTAAATAACAAAAATCGTAGCGATTCACAGAATTGAAAGTCCTTGATCTTTCCATAACAAAATATTGCAAATATTTTGATCAATAAAACATAAAAAATAACTTCGTACAATCATTTCCGACATTTCATTCTAAACGAAATAATTCATGATTTCGTTTATAATCAAAACTTCTCCATAAAATGAAACTTACGTCATCATATAGATCACATGTTCTATGTGGAGGACCACGTTCCGTAATAAATTGGTTAAAACGTATACTATCTAAAAGCTATAGGGGGGGAAAACAAGCAATTTGTCAGAGTGTAGACTAATATTTTGCAAAAACAAAAGAACTGTGTGCATTCAAAAGAAAAGAATGACACAAAGAACAAATGCAGATGCACAAAAGTAGAGTTTTAACATTTGTTTTTCCCGTGTATAAATAAAGTTGTATTGTATTTTATTTCTTTGATACACCGCAACTGTATACAAATAAAAGAACTGATTGTATGTAGAAATGTACATGTGTGTACTCAGCTGCACATACATGGATACACTTCTCTGATACATCCCCAAATGTATATTAAGTGGAAATGTAAGCACCCCGCTTCTCAGTAAAAGATGCCTACAATTATAGAGATCACAGTAGTAATGATTATAGTAGAATCATACAAGTATTCAGTAAATACGTTAATTTGATTGGCTACGATACTCGCTATATAATTTTTCATGTAGAGCAAGTAGCAAAAAAAACATGGCTGCCGTCTCTTGTTTTAAACAGGTTTCTAACGATAATCAGGTTTCTAATCAGGTTTCTCACGATTACTTTATAAGGCAATAACAGAAAATTGTTGGAGCAAACACATAAAACAACGAATTAAGGAAAAGTATACTTGCACTAAACACACTAAATACGTAGATAAACACGTGATCACCGCATTGTCTTTTTAAATACACACCGTCAATGTGGTTATAACGAATGGTGCCTTTGGACGAAGAAAAATAAAGCTTTAGGAACACAATCCCCCCCCCCCTTAATTGTATTGATAGAAGTTTCCATAATTTCGTGAGAGCACAATGGTTATAAGACATTTAAAATAGACGACAAATTTCTTTATAGCAAACATGTTTCTGCATACTTTATGCCATCTTCAGTGCGAAGTGAATCCAATGTTCGGAAATCATAAAGTGTGCCGAAACATGTTTTCTATAAAGAAATTTGTCGTCTACTTTATATGTCTTATAACCATTGTGCTCTCGCGAAATTAAGGAAACGTTATTTAGGGCTTGGCACAGAAATATGAAGGAAAGGTTTCCTTAGCTGATTTCCGAACATTGGGTTCGCTTCGCACTGAAGATGGCATAAAGTTTGCCGAAACATGTTTGCTATACAAAGAAATTTGTCGTCTATTTTAAATGATTGATTGAAGTGTTGTGAATTTTCGTTTTCATTTACCTTATGAAATGTGATGACTGGTTTTGGATGAATTCTTATTACTTTGCAGAGCTAAGGTTTAGGATGAATTCTTGTTACTGTTCAATGGCAGAAGATCGCAATAAAACGGCGAATTTATTGACTTTATGTCTCAACATCGAAACAGGAAAACGGATATGGCGATGGTTTTTAGACACGCGCAACAAAGAGTCATCGGTCACGTGTTGTGGCACCACTAAAACAGCTAGGTAACTGAAAGAAAAATCCACAATATGATGACTATTTTTTTGAAACATGTTAATTTTTTAAAGACTTGTAAAGCTTACCCTTTCGCAAAATAATTGTATTACACAATAGTAAATATGAGTTTTAAAACACTTATGATAATAAAGAAAGGGTTAAATACTCCTAAGTCTTATTCGGAAATTTTGAGCATAACAATTCTGTAATTGAAAATCATCTCCTCCATTTTTCTTATTACTTTACCTTTGACAGGCTGCGTACGAAAGATTGACCATAGAAAGCCTCCAAGGTCCACTTTTACTCCCTATACGTTCCTCAAGTACAGAGCCAAAGCCAAGTCTTTTATACTCTTCACAATACGGGGTTAAATTCAAGTTTTCAATAACCGTCGCATTTCGTACCACAAAAGATCCATCAACCTAACAGAATATATATAACCAATAACATTGCAGAAAAGCTAACAATAAAGTAAGTAAGGGTAGACAATGGTAAGTAATGGTAACTATAATGGTAAATAATGGTAATTATTATATGGCCAGCGTCATTTCCGGCTAAATGGCGTTCTTTCATTGGCTCAGAAACATTTTTGCCTGTCCATTATTTTCCCGTAATCGACCACGGTCCAAAACGCGTAATTTTACAGTCAAATGTAAACAAACTTCGTAAAGCAAACAGCAAAACGCAAAATAAACGAAACAAAAAACATTTACGAATGTGATTTGAAGGAAAAACACATGGAAAACAGTTAAACTATCCAGACGATACAATTTAAAACGATTTTTTTATGGACGAAAACTAGTAAAGTGAAAATCAACACGTAAAAACATCAAGGACGAGAAAGAAATCAAGCTTCGTTTCAGGTCAAATAATGCCATATAATAATCCTTTTAATAACCTCACTTTCTTGGTCTTTACTGAGAAATAAAGGGGGTGCTTAGCATAGTATGAAGCATTTTCATATAACTCAATGCTGGTGAGACACCACAGTATGGTGGAAAGATTTTCATTTTCAATCAAGACAGTAGAACAAACATTGTAAAGACAATTTCCATCAGCCAAAGTACTAAAACAAGTTGAGTAGAAAATATTACTATATAGTTATATAGTTGAGGTACATAAATTATTTCTTAAATATTAGAGAATGATCATGTCCAAAGCAATGAGCTTCAGCTATACAACAAATTAGCAAGCTTAATGTTATGTATCGAGGAAGAGGCTGATTATTTATTTATCTATAGGGTACAAAGCAGCCAGCTTGGAGAATTACTTGCAACTTTATAGCAAACTTTATAAATTGAGAAGGATAATTATTATTTATATAACAATAGGGTACAAAGCAAACATCTTAGAGTTCTAACAGAGTTGCAGTGTTATAGAAAGTTCTAAGAGCTGAGGAGGTGGCTTATTTCTATAACTATATGGTCAAAGCAACCCAATTTGAGGAATGCAGTTCCAGTGTTATGGCAAGCATTAAAAATTGAGAAGTAGGATAATTATTTATAGACATCTTTCAGCACAAAGCAAACATTGTCAGGGACACAGCTGCATTCTTATAGCAAGCTTTAATAATTAAGGAGATGGCTTTTTTGTACATATATCTATATGGTAGTGTTACAAAGTACCAGCTTTTGAGAATAAAGAACTTTGCCTTTATATAGCAAGCTTAAGTATTGAGGAGGAGGCTTATTATTTATATGATCTATATGGTACAAAGCAACCAGTGAGTTTCGAGAATACAGTTGCAGTGTTATAGCAGGCATTAAAAATTGAGAAGTAGCATTATTTTATATACATATATATCAATAGGGTACAAATCAAACAGCTTCAAGCACACAGCTGTAGTGTTATAGTAAGCTTTAATAATTAAGGAGATGGCTTATTTTCAATGAAAATACGAGGTCATTTTAATGAACTTTGAGTGACTGACCACCATATTAATTCCATTTGATACATACATCATTAAGGGCCATAAGCATAATTGAGTGATTTTTATCATCTATAGCAAGTAACTACGTCAGAATCTTACCTTACTGGTGCACAAAGCACTATATGTCATTCTGACTCTGCAGAAAAGGCAATTCTGAAAATTCACAAGATCATACTCGTCGTCGTTATTCCAATTTTGCTTGTTCAAGCTGTCTCTTGCACCAAAAAGCGTTCACAAGCTTCTTCAGCTTAAAAATCTCGATGGAAATACCTTCTTGAATATTAAAAAAACTGAAACTTCGACTAAGTATAGCGCAGAATATCAATACTCGCAGTGTAAGAGACCATGGTAGATATAATATGTATCAATCACTGGTATCAATATCATTGATTTTGGCAAGCTGTTTTACTACTATTTCCCATCTGCAACGATGTCACAGTCATTGCGTAACAAAATTATGGCTAGGGTGTCGATCCAGATTTCATGGTGTCACTCACACAAAATGCTTACGCTGTGATTGGCTTGACACTTGACACCCTTTCCACGGTTTCAAAAGATAGCAAATTGCGCAATATTCCAACAGCCGACCATTTAGATATTATTTCAGACAAAATTTGTACAATAACCAACAAGAAAAACCAAGGCGTGGGGACTAAGCTTAGCTGGTCTGGCAAGGCCTGGCCGCTATGCAACACAATAAATCTTATCCGACAGGAAAAACTATGGAAAACACACACAAAAAAAGAAATTGTGGTACAGTTTGAAACGCAATATCATTTCAAAACAATTTATTAAAATTGAAGCATGGAAAAAGCAGATATTCTTGTATAGAAGACAAAGAAAAGCAAGCAGTTGGGGAGTGAACTGGGTGACTCATTAGCTCACTGAGCTGAGCTTATAGATGACTTTAATACTCAGACTAAGCTTGTTTACAGTTTGCTGACAGACAGATTTATCCCAAGGGAGGTTAACCATTGTTTCCAGTGTTGTCTAAAGGCACACGATTAAACCTGCCTCTTAGCAAAACGTAAACAAGTCACGTTATCTATAAAATAATGTTGGTATCATTTACACACAGATATATCTATTTCTATGACCCTGACTTGTTAGAAATTTATTTATATTGGCCAGTAAAAAAGAATGTTCTTCTAGAGCACTTTGATTGTTATTCTAAAGCATGTTTAATCTTGTGACCCTTGTCTATTTCAAATTTTTACCCTATTGCTGGGGTTGGCTAAAATAAAACAAATTTTGTACTTATTTCACCAACTCTGTTTTAGTGACGAAAAATTAAGTTTAGGATGCAAAAACACGTATCACTATTTTTACGATGTTTTTGTAATCGGTAAGAAAGCTGCTTAAATATGTACAAAATTTTTCTTTTTTTACCCCACTCCGTTTTAGCGATGAAAAATTGAGTTTAGGATGCAAAAATATGTATTATGTACTAGGTCTACGAAATTTTTGCGATTAAAAAGAGAGTTGGTTAAACAGGTAAAAATTTCTCGTTTTTTAACCAACCCCGTTTTAGTAAAGAAAAACGGAGTTTAAATGCATAAACATATATCATGCACCATTTTTGCCATGTTTTGGCCATTAGAAAAGAGAGTTGGTTAAATATGTACAAAATTTGTCTTATTTTAACCAACCCCCATTTAATGAAGAAAAACTGTGTTTAAGATGCAAAAACATGTATTATGTACTAGTTCTATGATGTATTTGCGATTAAAACGATTGCTGGTTAAATATGTACAAAATTTGCTTTATTTTAATTAACTTCGTTTTAGTGAAGAAGAACTGAATTTAAGATGTAAAAACATGTATCATGCACTATTTTTGCGATGTTTTTGTAGCTAATTAAAAAGAGAGTTGGTCAAATATGTACAAAATTTGTCTCTTTGTTTTTCAAACTTAACCAAGTGTTGGTCAACATAAATGGTTGTCAAATGTTTATGGTTACATCACCACCTTGAGGTAACCATAAACATTTGATAACCTCAGTTATGTTTACTTTGTTTATGTCTGCACAAAACTTTATATGGAGTTTCCACAAAAAACTTGTTTGTCATTAGAGAGATTGCATAAGAATAGATAAGACTCGTCATCTTGTCCAAGTGTTCTCATCACATTGCAACTTGGGAGTATTTTTCACGATAATAAAAGCTAATAACATTGCGTTTTTTCTTGTGTGTGTGAGAGGGGGGGAATTTATTCCATTACGCAAAATCGATGTAATTAAGTGCCACAATTATGTTATAGAGAGCGTCTTTAAGGCAACATGGACTTCAATCATCTTCATGTAAACACTTGCATAAGTGCTACTTCACTGTCGACAGGGCATATAAGTATATGCATTTTGCATGAATTTTTATTTATAATGTGAAAAAAATACTTTCTTATCTTCAATTACTTTAATCTTTGTTGTTCCTTTTAAATACATGACAAGTCATAACTTACTTGTTACTGCTCAATACAACCTGGTGAAGACAAACTAAAACCTACGACTCCCAAAAAACGTACTCCCAAAAAACTCGCTACGTACTTCCAACGTACTCCCTACGTACTCTCAAAAAAGTCGCAACTGAATTGTGTCTTAAAATTCGATTTTTCAGTCAAAAGAATCCAGAATTAAATAAGCGTATACTTTTGTGAATTGAGTGTTCATAATATATGTTTGTGTGATGTCAACAATAATAGGGATGTAAAATTTATCAACATAAAATAGAATATGGGAAGTTAAATAACAAAAACAAGGGAAGTATTATTCTCTTGCTGAAAGCAAAAACATTACTGAAGACATAACAGGATGGTAAAACGGGAACTATTTACGTTAAACTATACGCACATGCATTTGTCATGGGAAGTTCAAAACACTCAGTTCCTGAGGAAGACCTTCTTTCCAATGGTGGGAATGAGGAAACTTTGTAATTTTATCTTGTAGCATGTTTAGTATACATAGAGGCTGCAAATGTTTCGATACGCATTTTTTTTGAACGCATTAACGCATAGTAGCGCTTTGAGTTTAAGTCATGAAGAGACGTAATGGATACGCATTTTTGATATTAGCTAATATTCGTGGTAACAAACCAACGTTTAAAATATGATCTTCGCACTTTGCTGGACAATTTAAGCAATCGTCTCAGGACCTGAAAAAATCAGGTGACTCAACGGGATTCGAACCCATGACCTCTGCGGTGCCGGTGCAGTGCTCTGACCAACTGAGCTATGAAGTCACACAGTGGTGAGAAGGTCAATATTGTTGGAATGTTTTTATGCAGTGCGGTAATTGAAAACCTGCTCACCACTGTGTGACTTCATAGCTCAGTTGGTCAGAGCACTGCACCGGCACCGCAGAGGTCATGGGTTCGAATCCCGTTGAGTCACCTGATTTTTTCAGGTCCTGAGACGATTGCTTAAATTGTCCAGCAAAGTGCGAAGATCATATTTTCATTTAATTTCAATTACCGCACGGCATAAAAACATTCAAACCACCGTTTGTCATCAAAAGTTGCGACATTGTAAATGATAAATATTAAACGAACTCGATCAAAAGAATTTTCAAAGTCGATAGTCTAATTTTCGCAATATTGTTTATAGTAAATTTCACTCACTTTACTAACCAAGAATACGAGGGCGATCACCTAAGGTAATTGCCAACGTGACGAAAAACTTCAAAGGAGTATCATTTGTGGTTTATTACATATTCTGTGTTCAAAGTATTACGTTATTTGGGTTAACACAATAAGGACTTTTATTTTGAAGTTGCGACTTTTTTGAGAGTCCGTAGGGAGTACGTAGGTTTTAATTTGTCTTTACCAGGTTGTATTGAGCAGTAACAAATAAGGTATCTCTTGTCATGTATTTAAAAGGAACAACCAAAGCTTAATGTAACTGAAGATACGAAAGTATTTTTTTCACATTGTAAATAAAAATTCATGCAAAATACATATACTTATACGCCATGTCGACAGTGAAGCTCGCCGCACAGTGGTAAACTTGCCGCGCGTACTTGTTATTCGTGACAAGTGCGATCGACAGAATTTCCTAGTGTGCGCGGACGTTTTCAACAACATTTGTCATTCGTGACAGATGAGTCAAATATCAAACGCGTTTGTTAGAAACACGCGCGGCAAGTTCACAAGTGTGCGGCAGGCTTGAAGTAGCACTTATGCAAGTGTTTACATGAAGATGATTAAAGTCCATGTTGCCTTAAAGACGCTCTGTGTAACATAAATTTCCATACAGGATGCTTACTGAAAGTTTGCTGGATGTTTTGCGGATGCTTATGTCGTGAAAAACGTGCATTTTGTTCCAAAAATAAATGACAAAAACGGAAAAGATTAACAAATACGAAGAACTGTGAAGATCAGTCTAATTTATTAGGAGATTTGGAAAATAGAACCAAATGCACGTTTTGGCATGAACTCAAACCCGGTCCTTCTAGTCTGGAATAAAATGACGAAAACGGACGTTGAATTCGTAAACAATTCTCTACGGAAATGCATTTTTTCAATTTTAATGAGAACAAATGTTTAATTAACAGGATTAACGTAATTGTCGCATTTACTCATTAGCCAACGTGTTTTGCCATTTTTACAAGGCACAGCTTCTAACAATCTGTAGAATTTCAGACTGTTATTTTTACATACACCAATGGTCAGCGTTATTTAAAGTACAAATCAAACATTTACTTTTGTTATATGACGAGGATAGCTTCTATCTGCTTCGTAGTAAAAAATCATACAAAGAAAGCAATTGACATTTGAGCTTATATTTTTAAATACCGCATCACAATTACTCATACGGAGCAAAATGCACCGATTTTATGGTAACATCACAATCCTAAAACCCCTAAAAAAGCTTTGATGTTATGAAATGAGGGTGTCACTCATACCTCTGTGACAGTCTTCCATGCACTTAGTTTATACTTTATAAAACAGAAACTATTGCCACAAAGAAAGGGTAGTGCTGCTCCTGCAAACTTGTCAGTAAAAAATTGTTAGGTACAGACTTCAATAAGACCACCACTTGATGTAGAACATATCTCGATGGATTTGTTTGCTCGCGTATCACATTAATATTTTCCATTGCATTGCCAAGGTTTATTTCACAATGGTAATCAATAATTACAAATAAAATAAATAAATGCTTACACAACATTTTCCTCGCTGGAGCTCTGTGGCCTAAGTCCAACTCCCAAATTAAACAATGTAAATAAGGCCATTTTCAAACGTAGCTTTTTACATGAGTCAAATGCATTTAAAACAAAAGATAATAAGGAATTTTTCTTATTTTCTTTTGTTTTAGTTGCATTCGACGCATCTAAAATGCGACGTTTGAAACGGTGGAAATATGGCAACGTTAATCCAACTTTACTTGTTTTTCAAGGATTTCCAGACCTCCATTCTAATCACTATGCTCACATAAAGCCCAGGGGCGGATACAAGTAGTGTCAAGGGTGTCAAAGGACACCGTCAGAATTTTATAAATAGTGCAATATCGCATTACAGAGATCGAATATAGAAGATCTTTAATATTATGGTAATATGAAAGGCTCCAACACTTTATTCAAACGTAGATAAATTTGCAATGTCTTAATATACACAAAATTATTTCAACACAATCCTCATAAAACACAAATAAATTTTCTCGTAAATAACTAAATAATAACGTCAACCAGGCGCTCGCTAGATAATAAAATATCAAGAACAAATTATGACGTATAAAATTTTGAACGATCTATGGATTTAACGGCATTTCTTTAAAATTGACCTCGTAATTACACGTAAACGAGCCTGCAGTTTTAAAATAAAGCATTGTTGACAAAAAGGAAAAAGCTAGGCGTGGGGACTAAGCTAACTGGCCTGGCAAGGCCTGGCCACTATGCCACACGAGAAATCTCATCCAGCATAGCAAATAAAACAACAACAGTGAAAACTATGGGAAAAAACACAAAAAAAATAAATTGTGGTACAGTTTGAAACGCAATATGATTTCAAAATAATTTCTTAAAATCGAAGCATGGAAAAGGCAGATATTCTTGTATGGAAGACAAAGAAAAAGCAAGCAGTTGGGGGGTGAACCAGGTGACTCATTAGCTCACCGAGCTAAGCTTATAGATGACTTTAATACTCAGAGTAAGCTTGTTTGCAGTTCACTGGCAGACATATTTATCCCAAGGGGAGATTAACCATTAATTCCAGTGTTGTCTAAAACACTCGATTAAGCCTGCCTCTTAGCAAAACGTTAACAAGTCACGTCATCTATAAAATAATGTTGGTATCATTTACACACAGATATATCTATTTCTAAGGCGCTGATTTGCTGGAAATTTATTTCTAATGGCCAGTAAAAAAGGATGTCCTTCTACAGCACTTTGATTCTTATACGAAAACATGTTAAATCTTGTGACTCTTGTCTATTTCAAATTTTTACATTCACCCTGTTGCAGTTTTAAAAAACAGTTCATTTCAGCTTTGATAAAAGATAGGTTGCATAGTTTAAGTAGTTAATGTAATAATACATATGTGCTGGTAATGAAGTTGATTATTCAGCAAGATCCGGGTTTTTAAAACTTGTGAAATTTCTGAAAGTCGCTTTTTATTAAAAGTAAAAAGTACAGTTTCAATTATATTTAATTATTTCTTTAAAATGTGCAGTTTTGAAAGCAATATCATAGATCTATACATCGTTACAACAATTAAATACTTGCACGAGTGATTGAGTATTAATTCAAAAACCCACTTTTACGTGTTAAGGAATGAGGGAATGAGCGTAAAACGTTCATTAAATATTCTTTATCAAAGGCTGATATATCAAATTAAGATAAAGAAGCAAAAAGGAAAATACTTATCTTGTTATTCAAATATTTCCTCATAACCATGAGTTCGGGTTTGTGCTGTAATAAAATCAAAACAATGAACAATATTTATAAACAAAAACTAAAGAGTATTTGAAGAATCATTGGAATCAACTTGATATAGATTCCAGGTATTTTCACGATTTCACCTCTTTTTTACTATTAAAGAATTCATCTAACAAAGCTCTTAATTTTGTATATTTACCTTCAAATAAAATAAGCTTACCTTTTCTTTTCTTCGTACGAGCTTGTAAATTTGAAGAGGGTTTAGCATTAGCCGTATCATCAGAATTTCTTTCTTTGAAAAAGATATAAAAGTAGAGCAAGTGAACCATAGCGTAAAATAGAAGGGTACTTTTTTATAAAAAAATATGTTTCTAAGGAAAGCCTGATTTAAGTGGAGTTTATAAAGTTAACTGGATTAAATAAAAAAGAAAGATCCATGAATCAATTCTTCAAGTAAATTATTAAATTTTAGCTACACGTTCTTTCCAAGAACAAAGAACATATCAATCTTGGTTTTTAAAGTAATAAATAATTTTTTTAATTCAAATTATTGTAAATCTAGTATTTTTATTAAAATAATCAAAATAAAAAAAAATGAAAAAATGTAAAACTTTATTTATGTTCTAATTTTTACTTAAGTTTCTTCAATTTTTCTAATTTTTACGAAAAAATGTTAAAAGAAACTAGTAGATATTTTTTAACTCATCCTATAGAGAACCAACAAAGTATATTTGTAATAAAAATAACTTGCCCCAGCCTTGTAGCTATGATAAAAAGCAAGAATAATTTTAAATATAGTACTTGAGATTTTTTTTAAGCATCCGTTTATATTAAGTAAAAAACAGATATATCAAAAGAGAAAAATAATTGAACCATGGCAAAACCAAACAAATTTTACTTAGGTAAATGAGCTTAGAAAAGTTTAGGATGAAAAGGCTCTCAGTAGTTTCTAGCCATAAATTGCAAGCCACATAATAAAGCATAAAATGGAAGGAAAACATGGAAAAATTTACCAAAAACAAATTTTCGTTGCATACGTCGTTGTTTCTTAGTAGTTTAATTTAGTTTAGCTTTATTTATATGTTAAAAGAGATTTAAAATATTTTTGTTCCTAAATATATAATGAAGTGCATTACATTGTTCTCAGTTTGCATCAAACTTTAAGAAACAAATCCTTTTTATCTTTTTAAATATAGCTCTACAAATGAACTCTATATAAGAGAACTTAAATAGATAAATGTTAAGGATGGTCAAACGACCTAAAATAAGATCATTACTCCAAATGAATCCAAATTTCACCAGAAACATCTTTAACTAATTTTGTAAATATTCCTGAATTTGTTTTTTCCTGTTCAGATCCAGCCAAACATAAGGTAAGAAGAATTCATGATTTTTAAACACAAAAAACTAAAAAAATTTTGTCTGAAATTTCAAAAACCTCAAAAGTTATACTAAAAAACGCTCATAGATGCTATAATATACAAAAATAAAAAATAACATACCAATACTGTTCGAAGATTCAATAACAACACGATACCGAGGTGCCGGTGGTTTTTGTAGAATTGGCTTCCTTATTATAGGAAGTGGTTTTATTTTGTCATTTTCTTTACTATAACGGTACACATTATCAAGCATGCTTAAAGTCGTTGCCACATGTTCAGGACCAATTGATTTTTTTCGACCGTCTATTGCCAGCTCCGACAATTCTGAAACAGTTATAAAACCAAATAAATCTTAATTGACAAAAACTGGGCCCATTGACTTAGTTAACCCTCTTATCTGATAATAGACTGGTTATAAACTTCTATAGGTATCACAAAGGTGGAGCCTGATAATATGTGCAGCGATACGAGAAATTAGATTCTTGCACGGACTGTTTTCAAATGGACACAAAAGCCAATATTTCATGGCAATGGGGAGCATTTTGATGTCAAATTGAATTAAAAAACTTGTTCTACCCATGACTCTTTTTTTAACTAAAATATTCAGAAAATTTACGTTGGTAAATGTTATCCGCCATCATTCTTATTTGGTCTTTGAATCTTGTACTAGTGGAAACGAAAATGATAATCTGGTACAACTTTATTTATTCCCACTCTGCTATATTAAGGCATTTCTCAGTTGCAAAAAAATCCACAAACTAAAACTTTTTCTTTGCTAAATAAATATTTATTCTTGCTACATGGACAAGGTTTACTTTACTGATTTAAATGTTGACAAACATTGGTGGTTGTTCATGGTCAACAAGGGGACGAAGAAATTGATAAAAACTATTTTGATTGTGAATTCTATTGTTGAATTAGTTCAGTGAACCTGTGTATGCCTTTTCTTTGCAAATAAAGATAAGATTAATTTTATAACAAAGTCGTGAATGTTGAACAGGTCTGAAAAACGAGTTTGGTGATTGAGTCTCAAGTATTGACAATGTACAGTAGAACAAGAGGACTTTTAAACTAGGTAAACATATATTGCTATGAACATTTTCCATTCGCTAGAATGAAAAATGATTCAGCCTTGGAAAAGTAACGATTCAAGTTGACGCAATTTCGTCAGGCAATGAAAATCAAATGTGGAAACAAAGCACACTTAAATTTCATGAGGACTATTTAGTTTAAACGTCTCCAATAAATATATTGATGATGGATATTTAGAACAAAATATTATTCTCCTTGATATTAAGGGAAATACATCCGTAAACGTTCTTGTGATAACAAAAGATACCGACGCAACTCTGTTATTACGTATTTAAATGTTAACTGGTGCCTAAATAATGTGTGGCTAACATTTGTTACATCACAAATATAGCTAATTACGTAAAAAAGTCAGTTTAGAACTGGAGTCATTAATTCTGTTATTTTCTCGATACGCCAAAATGAATACACTCTTATTGGCATAAACTTGTATGTTTCTTAAAGTGAACGGTCATTTAAAAAAACTCCTCATCAATCATTATTGGATCCATTGAATGGTTACTTTAACATAAGTTTAGAAAGTTGACATGCATGTTGCAACATGTAATATTACGACGTTTCTACAAGTACGTTTTGCACTCCGGCACTCGTTAGTCTTTGTAGTAAATAATACCTCATAATTACACTTCAATTAATTTGAATTTATATAATTTAGAAGAAACGAAAACGTAAGAGATTCCCTTTTAGACTTTCGTTAACATAACCATTTTTACAACCCTATACCCTACGTTGAAACGTTCGACTTTTCCACTGAACAAGCATTTACGTACTTGTTAGCAATGAAATTATGAGCTCTCTTAATATATAAATATATATCAAATAATCTATGGTCCCAATGTTCTTTAAAAGGCAGAAAGTGAAAACGACCATTTCAACACCTTGCCCTCCACAAAGTTATTACAAGTAAGCACAGTTAGACGATAATGATTGCTGCAGCAGTACCATGTTTTGTCTTTTTTTCTCCTTCATGAATTGGAAAAGCAGCCATTTATGTTGCTCCTTGGCATAAGGAATATTGTTGGAAGTTTTAAAAGCTAATACATTAAACTAATTTGCATATGTCACTATAATGAATTGTTGTCTATCATTCAGCTTACGAAAATGAGTTAGTGTTGTATCTATGCAGTGTATTTAAAATGTGTCTTTTTATTTCGTTTCACTTGTTAGAAGCCTGCCTCAAAGCTCATAAAGGATGCAGCGAGGCCAATGTTGAATAGCAAACTGCCGAAGTTCTAATATGCTCCAGGCAAGCAAGGTGGTTCCAGATTTGAAAAAACATGTAATTATCATAGAGTGCTGGTTAAAGTATATAGATGCCATTTTTTCTTTGTTCTATTTCCTCAATTTAGACAGGGAGAACTCAACTTATTGTACTCTGTAATGTTTTAGTTAACATATTTAGATTTATATGTTTAATGATGTCAGTTAAAGTCCTGAGGATGTTTGATGTTGATTGACGACAACCTTAGCGGTAGTCATCTTCAGAGTCAAAATTTTTTGAGTCATTTTTTGACTCTGAAGATGACTACCGCTAAGGTTGTCGAAACGTCAGTCAACAACATCAAAAACAGTCCTTCTCAGGACTTTATTAACCTGGACGATCATCATTTACAAACATATAACGATACTCCCGGGTTCAAACCATTTACTTTATATTTGTATTTTCTTGTTTGTGTAAGTTAAGAAGAATACACAAGAACATTATTGCCATGTGTTGTAATATTGCTTTGTTGGTATTGGTCTCCTGTGCCACTATCTGCGGTACTTTATGACCAGCGGTACTCACTCTTATGTTTATCCGCCATATTATTGTTTGTAGCAATTAAGTTGTTTTTTAAAGTTAAATAAAGCCTAAAGAATGGTAAATTACAACAATTTATTTAACTTTACTTTGGTGCGTCTTCGGTTGTCAAGCATGAAGGCGACTGACTGCTGATTTGTTTTGAGTATAAAATGTCTGCCTGCAAGAAAATGTTACCACTTCCTGACAGCTTCAATTATGGTCATTGCTTCCTTCTCTACCGCATGATAGTGGAGCTCACTCCCTTGGAGGGTCTTGGACATAAACGCTACAGGTCTGCCTCCTTGATTTAGTGTAGCAGACAGGGCAGTTTCTGAAGCATCAGTCTCTACAACGAAGGGGAGGTTCTCGTATATAGAGTGTAATGCTAGCTTTCTGCAGCTCGTCCTTTAGCATTGTGAATGCATTCAGGGCATCGCCATGAAGTGGAAATGAGGTTGTTTGTAGTAGCGGTTGTACTTTGTCAGAATAGTTTGGTATTCATTTTGCGTAGTATGCAAACATATCGATAACTCTTTTCAAGGATTTGGAATTTTTGGGAGGAGGGAAGCTTTTAAGTGGACGAAGCCTTTTCTGGTGTGGGGCGATGACATCATTCCCTATACAGTAACCAAGTAGATTGATAGAAGACTTGGACTGTACTGTCTTGTTTTCATTCAAAGTGAGGTTTCGGAGCTTTACAGCCTCTCTGAATTTCCTCACATTTTCGTCGTGTCCGTGCTGATCGCAGCCTGCAACAGTTATATTATCGAGGTAAGGAAATGTATCTTTCAGGCCCTCCTCTTCTACGAACTTGTCCATCGCTCTTTGGAAAACTGCGACGCCGTTGGTTACTCCAAAGGGGATGCGACAGAACTGGTAAAGCTTACCATTGTCGTCGAAACCGGTAAATTTTCGGTCGGCTTTCTTGATCGGTACTTGGTGATAGGCACTCCTTAAGTCGAACGTTGAGAAGACTCTATATGAAACTAGGTTGTTGACCATGTTGTCGATACGGGGTAGCGGGTATGCATCGAGTTCCGTGTAAAGGTTGGCGGTTTGAGAATAATCAATGCAAAGCCGCTTCTTGTGTCGTTGTAGTGGTTCCTTTGATACGACGACTTGAGCCCTCAACGGCAAGGTGCTAGGTTTGATTATGCCTTCAACGAGTAGGTGGTTAATTTCTTGTTTGATAAATTCCTGGTCTTCCTTGCTGAATTTCAGCGACTTGCTTGCGATAGGCTTACATTCAGGGAGAAGGTTGGCGAAGAGGGATGGTTCCTTAATAGATGCTGCTGCAAGAGCACATACAGGTACCCCATTGGGTACTTTAAGTTCGGGCTTTTCACGACCAAACTCAATGACAACACTTTTATGTTCCCTTTGAAAGTCCTGGCTAAGGATGATATCACTACAGAGATCCTTCAGTACCCCTAGACGTACAGATGAATAACACTGGTGGCCTAGTTGGATGTCAACAAAGACATGGCCAAGAACTTTGGCTTTAATTGATGTGAGAGCCATATATAAACTGTCATCTGACTTGAGTAATTTGAGGTTGAGCTGGTTAGCTACCTTGTCGTTGATGTAGCTATCTGAACTCCCAGAGTCAACAAGGGCAGTAAGAACAGTACTATTGACACTGACTTTGGTGGATGCTTGCATAAGGCTCTTTGGACAGGCGGCACTTATGGAGCAGAGTGAGGCAGATCTTATTGATGCTGTAGTCTTATTCTCTTTTACAGCCTGAGACTGGCAAACTTTAGTGTAATGGCCAGTTTTACCACAATTGTTGCAGACACAACTGCGTGTAGCGCACTCCTTTCTATTGTGAATAGGGCCACCACAGAAATAACGATTTCTTTGGGGTTTGACTGCTGCTGACTCATGGTTATCACTTGGTAAAGAATCCTCACAACCACCTTCAGTAGAAATAGAAGCTGCCGAGTTTTCGGTTGGAGCATAGGCTTCAGAGTTTTTCTGGGCTAAGTCTAACGCGTTGGCCTGATTAAACGCCGTCTTCAAGTCGAGTGGCCTGTTCTCCAGAAGTCGTTGGCGGATCAGTGGTAATAGAAGACCATTAATAAATGAGTCATGGACTAATTCCTCCCTATACTGTTCTGCAATCACATTTCTGACGTTACAATCCTTGCTTAACTTTTTAAGTTCCTGTAAGAACTCTGGAAGCGACTCACCAGGCTTTTGGCACTTGTAGCAAGTAGATGACGTGCAAATATTTCATTTGGAGGCTTGATATACAGATTATTTAGTGCTTCAATAGACGAGTCGAAGTCCTGACAATCTTTGATGTAATCGTAAACGTTGTGAGAGACATAATTGATGAGAGTACAGTGTTTGTTTGGGGCTTTATCCCCGCATTCTTGAATGAAGTTGTTGAACGTTCGGAGCCAATGTTTCCACTCTTTCGCGGCTGACGGCGAATTTGGGTCCAAGTCGAGACGTTGCGGTTTCAATATCGTTGCCATATTGAAGAATTTAAATAAATTTAAATAACTTGTTGTAATTTACCATTCTTTAGGCATATGCACTTAAAGAAAGTGAGCATGTGTCTTTCATTGTCCTTCAATTATAAGTAAAACAAAAAGGAATGGACACATATACATGATGTGTACCGTTAAAAACGTTCATTTTAGTGCAGCTATTAGATTTGTGCAAGCTTAAATTTTGTTAACTCAAACTGCATGATTAGATTTATTATAAACAATTTCCTTAGCGTGATATTAAACAATTATTGAATGAATTAGTATATGAATTAAGATTATGAAGGCCAAGGTTTGTTCAATCTACCAACGCTGAGGCAAACAATATGTGTTCTATAGAACACATTGATGCATTGATAATTCTTTATATTACGTGAAAACCCAATTCAATAATTGTTTTATTATTTATATAAAAAAGCAAGTGTTGCTTAAATGTGAGCTTAGTTATTAATGTATATTAAATACATGAAAACATTTCTCAATTCTGGCTGGCACGTATATTACAATTTCATTGGATATTACTTTTCATAACACCATAGTTTTCACACACGCAGCTAGAACAAGGTAACTACTTTTGGCAGTGTTCGTATTTTTTTCCAAACACGTCTTGCAAACGGTGAATTGTAAGCTCGTTCACTAAAGAAAATTTACTTAAACTTGCGCTAGCCATTGCATTTGCTTTGCTTACTTTAATTTATGTTTCACGCCTTTGAAATGTTTTATTTTGATTGGCTTTTAGATCAGTTCTTTGTTTGATTAACCAATCAGGAGAAAATTTTTTTTAAAAAAAATTTCACTGTATTTCCTTTTTTTTTGCACTGTGTTTCTTATTTTCTTCCACTGGTATTTACAATAAATTGCACTGCTCTTAATTAACCAATAAAAACTGAGAAATATTTTCATGTATATTATTAAAGCGTAAATCAATAAAACCAATCCAATGATAGCTTTTAAGTTTTACATGAAAATGGCGATTATAAAAAATGGACAAATGACCTTTTAATTTCAGTTTAACAATATTTAGCAACATTTGCACCTTTTTGAAGAACGTCTTCAGCCAAATTATATTTCTCGATCTTGCGAAGAGCAGCGGCAAGTTCTTCGTACCACAACTGCTTATTTTCTCGTGATTCAAACCAAAACTTTAGCATTTCAAACCCTTGCCAGACCACGTCACGATGATTTAGTTCAATATCTTTTATTTTCGCATCTTTGACATTCAGAAATATTGCCAAATTTTTCCATTTATCAGAAATTTTTCGGGCAAACTCTAGCAGAATTTTGTTAATTTCTGCAAAAAAACAACACGAATATTTAAAAGCAAGCTAATAGCATTTTATTACTTTGGAAGAAAATAATTGAAGAAAATGTTGGACATCCCACATCAACTATATAGATATATATAGCATTGTTAAATTTAACACCAAAGGTGTGTCATGTTGATTTCAGTAAAACTATGGATAACATTAAAATAGTGTTAAAGTAGTAATGTGTCAAAATGCTAGCACCAAATTTGGGTGATATACATTTGAAGTTTTATCAAAGTGCTTTTTGCCACAGTGAAATTGATTCGTAATTTATGCATCATTTAAACTGCATACGGTACGTAGTTATAAATTATCAGCCAACACTGATGATTGCCCAACATAAAATTCAAAATAAAGCCATTTTTTGAGAAACTATTTATTATTTGTAACGTATCGTCATAAACAAGACATCATCAGACAGGTAATTAAAATGATCAAGTGTGCGTTTATATTTACAAATTAGAAGTGTAGTTAAAACTGTTAGATTAAAGTGAGGTGATATGGAGTGTGAAATGGACGCAAAACGTAGTGGGATATTTATAAAAGTTCGAGTGAGATGGAACTGCCTTGGACATTCAGTGTAGGTGTTAGATGTCAGATCAGGACGCTTTCATCGATCATTAAGTCAGGATGGCTAGGTGAGGATGAGATGATAGTGAAGTCGTCAAAGGAAGGCTGTGTGACCTGATATGTTGATATGAGATAGGTTGCTGGATTTGGTAGGGCATGATGACTGTTTTCCTGTCAGGGGCGAAATTCCCAGGTGCTCTAAGATTCTGGTTTAAAGATAGCGTGTGGTTTCACCACGATAGGACGCATTGCAGCGTCGACACTTAAAGAGATAAACAGCACCAGATTTCAGGAACTTGGTAATCTTATCCTTGAAAGGAAAGAAGGAGCAAACGTGTGTAGAAGTACGGAAAACAAATCTCATTGTAACGTAAGGCAAGGCAGCGTTGCAGAGGCGATTAAGTTGAGTGCGTATTTGGAGAGAAGGTAAGGAAGGCAGAAATAGACGAGCCTCTTGGACACGGTGATAATAGGTGGTTTGGGAGAAAAAATGTGGTCAAAAATTTGATAGGGGATGCCATTTAAATCAAAGAGTTTTCGAATCATCTTTAGTTGATTGTGGAAAATTTCGTAGCTCGAGCAGATGTTGAAAGTATGGTGAATAATGGTAGAGATAAGGCAGCGTTTATAAGTGAGGAGGGTGAAGCTATGGAAGTGGTTGAAGAGTCTAGTGAATATGGGTTTCCAGTAAACGGATGTTGCGAATTTTTCGTTAGAACGTGTAATATCAATGTCTAGAAAGAGGAGGTTGTTATTTTATTGGGTTTCAGAAGTGAAAGTTAGGTTAGGATGTTGTTGGTTGAGAAAATTGAAGACATCGCCCTGTCTGGCCCTCGTAGCTACAAAGGACTAAACTTTCTACATGCACAAGATGAAATTGACTGTCTCAACGACCTGAAAAATGACACCACCATCGTCATCATGAAACCCAACAAAGGTAACGTTATAATAATACTTAATAAAGAACACTACAAATTAAAATGGATGATATTTTTTCCAATTTTCCAACGAAACTAAAGTCGAACTACTCAACGAAGATCTGATTAAAACCACCCTACAACGCGAAGCACAGTTATCGTCAAACACTATTAACAAAAACACGTATCTGGAATTATATACCACATTGGATCCCGAATAGGTATTCTATACGCACTGCAAAAATTCATAAATTGACCTTACCCCTCAGACACATGCTCTTATCCATCAACCATTATTCTTATAACATCGCTAAATTCTTTGTCCCAATAATCACTCCACTTACAACACGCACTCTAATCATCAAAGACACTTTTTTATTCGTTCAAGAACTCTTAGACAGCAACATCAACTCAAAGAGTGTTGTTATGGCAAACTTTGACGTAAAGTCACTCTTTACTAACATACCTGTGGACAAAACAATTGACATCATTCTTAAAATCTTATTCTCTAACACGTCCTCATTCAAACAATTTTCACGTTCCCAACTACATAACCTACTCATATTAGCTATAAAAGGCAGTCATTTCATCTTTGACGGTCAAGTCTACCAACAAGTTGACGGTGTTGCAATTGGTAGCCCGTTAGGACCACTTTTTGCCAACATTTTTATGTCACATCACAAACCAAAATGGTTAAATAACTTCCCTTATTATTCAAACCCCTCCTGTACAGACGATACGTTGATGACTGCTTTCTTCTTTTCATTTTCCTGATCACATACCTCTGTTCCTTAATTTTCTCAACCAACAACATCGTAACATAACTTTCACTTCTAAAATCGAACAAATAACAGTCTCCCCTTTCTATACATTGATATCATACGTTCTGACGTGTGTTCGAAAAAAGTTGACATTATTGGTGTAAGAACTGGTCATACAAATTTGATAAATTAGAGTCGTATTGCAGAAGGCAATAAAGTTCGAAAACGCAGTTTCAGGATTGACGGTTGTCTGTAATCTTAACGATATGTATTTACTTATTCCGTATTGCGAAGAATCAACGCTTAGAGCATAAAAATCGTGCACAACCACTGTAAATATCCCATCGAAGTGTTAAATATTATCTTCAAAACACAGTCCCATCGTTAGAGTGAGGTTTGAGAACAGTGAACCAGCACTTTGCACAGATTGTGCGAAACTACCTAATTGGTTGAGAACAAGATTGTCTTTGCGTTAAAACATAACATTGATTTCACCTTCCTCTGATCTGATCATATATTCAAGATAAAATAATCGATTTTTTCTTTAATGTGCAAGTTAATTATAAAATTGACATACATCCTCAAGTTGATTAGTACTACTACAGCAACACGAAGGTTAAAAAACTTTTTGTTCTTCAATAGGCGAATAAAACAATCACAATTTTCTAAGTTGGCCCATGGCCATTTCGTTTCTGATTCATTACAAGAAAGAATGAAGTAAGAACCAATGACTTAAGCTAAGTCTTGTTCAGTTTTCAAATTAACATCAATAACCTTTACACAATCCACGTACATAAAACATGAAGCGTAACCTAATACATCGATAGGAAAGTTGGTAAAATAAATTGTTCACACGTCAATGTTTTCATCCCTTTTATGAGTTTAGGATCAAAATTAAGGAACCGAAATATTTTGTCCCCACGATTTATATCTCTTCAGTTTTTACATATTTTTAATTTTTGCATTTTTAATAATGCTTGTGAGTTAATAAAAAATATTTCAACATAAAGAAGAAAAGGCGCACATGCTCTAAGATTTGTTTCTATAGCTTGGATGATGTAAACAATTATTCATTTTTGTATAAAGAATGTGTCATTATGTACTTTGCAGCGAGAAAACTCCTTAGCTTTTTAAAGAACAAGTTTTTACTCCTGTCTGTTCTCTGTAGAATCTCTTAACTTTTCGTATTGATGATTTTACACCACAACTAAACATATTCTAACCATACTAAATTGAGAAATTATCGTGCAGCAATCTGATTTGTCAGCTACGTGTATTTAGAATCAACCCAATGAAAAACTGATCATCCATGGAAATCTCCCTATTTTAGAAAAGCCACTAATTTTGCAAAGCACTCCAAAAACTTAATAGCATTAAATAAGGTCTGCAAACGGGAGGTTGCAAGAATATTAGGAAATTAATACCTATCATGCCAGGTGTCATTTATTGTCAATTTTACTATAGACTGTTTGAAAAGTGAAAAACAGCAAAAATAAGAAATTGCTTGGAAATTTAATGCTTATATAACACTGCCTGGTCATGATTCTAAAATATAGTTGAGTCGTTGTTACATAATGTTAAGTCTTATATCTCATTTCACATAGAAACTCAAATGCAGTAATTTACTACAGTGTCTTAATCACTAGACTGAGTGCGAGATTTGAAAATGAATCTAATCTCACAATGTAAATATTTAGAATGAGTAAGGCTGTGAAGATGTGCATGGGCTGTTTGATAGCATTTATCCAACAAAGGAATGCCCCGTTCTACATATCTAACACAAAATAACGCAGCCCGTATAAATATAAGGACTACTTGCTAGTCCATTTTCAAGGCAAATATAGAACGTTACAACATCTCAACGATAGGAAAAGACATCATTATGGGTCTTAGAAGCAGAGGCGTAACTAGAACGTTAATCAAGGTAGGGAGGGTATATATTTTTATATATTCAATTGTGCCATGCTGATTTCTTCTAAAATTCAATTCACTTTTAAAAGAAATCAGTAGGGCTCAACAGACTACGCCTCTTTTTAGAGGGAATCTCATACTATATATATTTTGCTAAGAGGAAGAGAATCTGCATAAAAAGACAGAAATTAAACCTGCTTTGCCGAAATGTAAAGTAATATGAGATGTTAGAAAGGTACTGACTGCCAGAATTTAGTAACCCTGACGTCAGAACTCTAACTGAAACAACATACACATAAACTGTTTATGCATCTGTTTTCTTATATGGGGGCAAAGATGCTACACCATTAATAAGTTTTATATAGAACTTGTGCAAAATCATGAAAAACGTATTCAATGCTGGCAACAAATTAAAACACACTTGGTCGGTGCGTGTATCGGAACAAGAAATTTTCTGTTAATTTGACTCAGTTTTTATTTACGTGCTTACTAAATAATGTTGTAATACGCCTTTTACAATAGGTTTCATACTATAGCAAATTCTGCAAACTTTAAAAATATCATGTTTCTACGTAGTGACGTAGTTGATGAAGAGTTGGAGTTAAAAAATTGAGCAAGACATACCTTAAATTGAAGTTATACAAATTAATTCTACTCTTCATCATGATAAGCGAAGCCATAACATGCCTTTTCATGCCTTTTTTATTGTATTTTAGATATTAGATATTATTTGTTATTATAACTTTACTAATTTAGATATTTGTAATTCAGCCGCAAGGCTGCAATTAATATTTTAATAAACAACTTACTTACTTACTTACTTACTTATGTCGTTGTAATACAACAGCAATAACACCCGTGCATCTTTGTATATGGTTTGCGTTAAATAGTACATGTTGAATTTGTATTCTTTTCATGCTAGTCGTCTGTCCCTCACTCATGGCAAGAAAGAAATACAATCAAATTTGGCCGTAAGAAAATTTGCTCGGTTTTTAACTTAACTGCACGCAAGTGCTTCACATATTTCACACGTAATAACGGCAAACAGTGCAACATAGTGAAGATATGAAAAAGCTGGTTACACTAAATTGTTTCAAGTGTAAATGTTGCCATGCCAGTATTTATTGTTTTAAGATCAAAATTCTGCACGGAAGTATTTTTCTCCCAAGCTTTATGTCTTCTAAGTTTTTATATTTTTTTAAATTTTTTATACGTTTGATATTGTGCGTTAACAAAAATTGCAGCATAAAGAATGTAACGCAAACATGTTCTAAGATTTGAAATTCACTTTATGCGTGAAACTATTTGGTTTCAGCGAAGAGTTATTTGTGGGATAGATTATTTATGTAGACAAAATGGTTATTTTTAAATTTGATTTAAAATAGTTGTGATAGTAAATTTGTCAATGAAGAATACCATTTAATCGATTTTGGTTCTTGTCTTCAACATTTTTCCCTATGGAACTGTATCTTTTTTTGGGAAGGAATATAGAAAAATTAGACACCTGGCTGTGCTTATGTTTGAGGTTTTATGTATAAAATTTGTTATAATCAATGCTGGTTTTCAAACTACCTTAATGTCACAAAAGTGACATGTGTTATTTGAAATACTACAACCTAAAAATAACACCAAAATTTGCAACGTTTCGCGTTATCTGTGATTGGAAAATGTTCTAACCACCTAGTTTCATAACAATGAACAATATTTATAAACAAAAACTAAAGAATATTTGAAGAATCAATTTTATCAAATTGATACAGATTCCAAGTATTTTCACGATTTTCCCTCTTTTTGACTATTAAAGAGTTCATCTAACAAAGCTCTAAATTTTGTATATTTACTTTCAAATAAAATAAGCTTACCTTTTCTTTTCTCCGTATGAGCTTGTAAATTGGAAGAGGGTTTACCATCTACAGTATCATCAGAATTTGTTTCTTTGAAAAAGATATAAAAGTAGAGCAAGTGAACCATAACGTAAAATAGAAGGGTACATTTTATAAAAAATATGTTTCTAAGGAAGGCCTGATTTAAGTGGAGTTTATAAAGTTTAACGGATTAAATAAAAAAGAAAAAACCATGAATCAATTCTTTAAGTAAATTATTAAATTTTAGCTACACTTTCTTTCCAAGAACAAAGATACATATCAATCTTGGTTTTTAAAGTAATAAATAATTTTTTTTAAGTCAAATTATTGTAAATCTCCTATTTTTATTAAAATATTCAAAATAAAAAAACTGAAAAAATGTAAAACTTTATTTATGTTCTAATTTTTACTTAAGTTTTTTCAATTTTTCTAATTTTTAGGAACAAAAGTTAAAAGAAACTAGTAGATATTTTTTAACTCGTCCTATAGAGAACCAACAAAATATATTTGTAATAAAAATAACTTGCCCCAGCCTTGTAGCTATAATAAAAAGCAAGAACAATTTTAAATGGAGTACTTGAGATTTTTTTAAAGCATACGTTTATATTAAGTAAAAAACAGATATATAAAAAGAGAAAAATAACTGAACCATGGCAAACCAAACAAATTTTACTAAGGTATATCAGTTTAGAATAGCTTAGGATGAAAAAGCTCTCAGGAGTTTCTAGCCATAAATTGCAAGCCACATAATAAAATATAAGATGGAAAGAAAACATGGAAAAATTTACCAAAAACCAATTTTCGTTGCATATGTCGTTGTCTCTTTGTAGTTTAATTTAGTTTAGTTTTATTTATATGTTAAAAGAGATTTAAAATATTTTTGTTCCTAAATATATATTGAAGTGCATTACATTGTTCTCAATTTGCATCAAACTTTAAGAAACAAATCCTTTTTATTTTTTTTAAGATAGCTCAACAAACGGACTCTATATAAGAGAACTTAAATTGGTAAATGCTAAGGATGGTTAAACGGCCTAAAATAAGATCATTAGTCCAAATGAATCCAAATTTCACCAGAAACATCTTTAACTAAATTTGTAAGTATTCCTGAATTTGTTTTTTCCTGTTCAGATCTAGCCAAACATAATGTAAGAACAATTCATGATTTGTAAACACAAAAAACTTAAAAAAATTTGTCTGAAATTTCAAAAACATTAAAAGTTACACTAAAAAACGCTCATAGATGCTATAATATACAAAAATAAGAAATAACATACCAATACTGTTCAAAGATTCAGTACCAACACGATACCGACGACGTGGTCTTATTAGAATTGGCTTCTCAAATGACAAATCATTTTCTTTACTATAACGGTTCACTTTTCTACACTTGCTTAAAGTCGTTGCCAGATGTTCAGGACCAACTGATTTTTTTCGACCGTCTATTGTCAGCTCCGACAATTCTGAAACAGTTATAAAACCAAATAAATCTTAAATGACAAAAACTGGGCCCATTGACTTAGTTAACCCTCTTATCTGATAATAGACTGGTTATAAAGCTTCTATAGGTATCACAAAAGTGAAACCAGATAATATATGCAGCGATACGACAAATTAGATTCTTTCACGGACAGTTTTCAAATGGACACAAAAGCCAATATTTCATGGCCATAGGGAGCATTTTGATATCAAATTGAAATAAACAGCTTGCTCGACCCACGACTTTTTTTTAACTAAAATATTCGGAAAATTTACAATGGTAAACGTTATCCACCATCATTCTTATTTGGTCTTTGAATCTTGTACTAGTGAAAACGAAAATTATAATCTGGTACAACTTTGTTTATTCCCACTTTGCTATATTAAGGCATTTCTGAGTTGCATAACAATCCAAAAACTAAAATTTTATATTGCCAAATAAATATTTACTCTGGCTACATGGACAAAGTTCGACTTTACTGATTTAAACGTTGACAAATATTGGTGGTTCTTGAAACGTATATTGTTCATGGTCAACAAGGGGATGAAGAAATTGATATAAACTATTTTAATTGTGAATTCTATTGTTCAATTGGTTCAGTGAACCTGTGTATGCCTTTCCTTTGCGAATAAAGATATGATTAATTTTTTAACGAAGTCGTAAAAGTTGAACAGGTTCGAAAAACGAGTTTGGTGATTGTGTCATAAGTATTGACAATGTATAGTGGAACATAAGGACTTTTTAACTTTGTAAACACATATTGCTATGAACATTTTCCATTCACTAGAATGAAAAATGATTCAGCCTTGGAAAAGTAACGATTCAAGCTGACACAATTTCGTCAGGCAATGAAAATCAAATGTGGAAACAAAGCACACTTAAGTTTTATGAGGATTATTTAGTTTAAACGTCGCCAATAAATATATTGATGATGGATGTTTAGAATCAATTATCGTTTTCCTCGATACTGAGGGAAATACGTCCGTAAACGTTCCTGTTATGACAAAGATTCCGACGCAACTCAGCTATTACGTATTTAAATGTTAACTGGTGCTTATATAATGTGTGGCGAACATCTGTTACATTATAAATATTACTAATAACGTTCAAAAAGTCAGTCTCGAACTGGAGTCATTAATTCTGTTATTTTCTCGGTACGCTAAAGTGAATACACTCTTATTCGCATGAACTCTCGCATGAACTTGTATGTTTCTTAAAGTGAACTGAACTTCTTAAAGTGAACATGTTGCAACATGAAATATTACGACGCTTGTGCAAGTACGTTTTGCACTCCGGCACTCGTTAGTCTTTGTAGTAAATAATACCTCATATTTACACCTCAATTAATTTGAATTTATATAATTTAGAAGAAACGAAAACGTAAGAGATTCTATTTTAGACTTTCGTTAACATAATCATATTTACAACCCTATACCCTACGTTGAAACGTTCGAATTTGCCAATGAACAAGCATTTACGTACTTGTTAGCTATGAAATTATGAGCTCTCACTATATATATATATCCAGATTTAAAGTAACATGTCATTATCATAGAGTGCTGGTGAAAGTATATAGATGGCATTTTTTCTTTGTTTTATTTCCTCAATTTAGACAGGAAGAAGTCAATTTATTTTACTCTGTAATCTTTTAGTTAACGAATTTGTATTTTCTTGTTTGTGTAAGATAAGAAAAATACACAAGAACATTATTGGCATATGCACTTAAAGAAAGTGAACATGTGTCTTTCATTGTCCTCAATTATAAGTATATTTGTATTATAAACATCTTCAATTATAAGTAAAGCAAAAAGGAATGGACACATATACATGATGTGTACCTTCAAAAACGATCATTTTAGTGCAGGTATTAGATTTGTGCAAGTTTTAAATATTGTTAACTCAAACTGCATGATTAGATTTATTATAAACAATTTCCTTAGCGTGATATTAAACAATTATTGAATGAAATAGTATATGAATTAAGACTTATGAAGGCCAAGGTTTGTTCAATCTACCAACGATGAGGCAAATAATATGTTCTATAGAACACATTGATACATTGATAATTCTTTATATTACGTGAAAACACAATTCAATAATTGTTTTATTATTTATATAAAGAAGCAAGTGTTGCTTAAATGTGAAAAAGGTGCAGTAGTGATTAAAGTTTTGTTCACTTTTTTTGCTTCTCGTGCGTATGAGATGACGTTGTAGCGCGAGATAATTTCTTATATCTGACGTACGTACGTAGTGGCAATCATATAAGTGGATTTATTCCATTGCTTTTAAGTGAATGAACTAAAAAATACTTTGATCCATATGTTTATATAAAGTAAATTAAGAAGCTATACATACAGCAGACGATTCAGTTTTCTATTTAAATGGTATCTCTTACAGACAAATATGTCAATGTTGTTGTAGGTGGTAAGACATATAAAAATGGTATATAGACTACCATTTTCTAATAATAATATATGTTATTTTCTTGCAGGTCCAAAAAGGCAACTTATTGGAATCGGCTTAATTAGCATTTTTTTAAATATGTATATTAAAACACGCACAGCAAAATAGATGAATTAAAAGTTGATTATGTGGAAATTAAACTTTACTTCGTATCATTGGAAAGGCTATTTTATGATTTTACAAATAATGCATCATTAATTGAATGTTAAATGAACGTCGGATAAACGTCAGGTAAACGTTGTATGAACGTCGGATAGATATTGTATGAACGTTGAATAAACCCCCCTTTCTGGACATTGATATCACACGTTCTGACGGAAAATTCGTAATATCCGTTTACCAGAAACCCACATTCACAGGACTCTTCACCCACTTCCATAGCTTTATTCCCCTCACTTATAAACGCTGCCTTATCTCTACCATTATTCACCGTATTTTCAACATCTGCTCAAGCTATGAAAACTTCCACAATCAACTAGAGATGGTTCGAAATCTCTTTGATTCAAATGGTTTCCACTCTAATTTTTTTGACAACACTGTTTGCCTCTTCCTCGACAATGTCTTTTCCCCCAAACCACCTATTATCACCGTGCCCAAGAAGCTCGTCTATTTCTGCCTTCGCCACACAGGCTCACACTCTCTCCAAATACGCACCCAACTTAACCGCCTTTGCAACACTGCCTTGCCTCACGTTAACATTAGGTTTGTTTTCATCCTTCTACACACGTTTGCTCCTTCTTTCCTTTCAAAGATAAGATTCCTAAGTTCCTGAAATCTGGTGCTGTTCATCTCTTTAAGTGTCGACCCCGCAACGCGTCCTATGTTGGTCAAACCACACGCTATCTTTAAACCAGAATCTCAGTCAATCGACAGTCATCATGCCATACCAAATCCAGCGTCCTGTCTCATATCAATACATCAGGTTACACAGCTTTCTTTGATGACTTCACTATCATCTCACACTCCTGACTTAATGATCTATGAAAGCCTCCTGTTCTCCAATCAAAAACCTGCACTGAATGTCCAAGGCAGTTCCATCCCACTCAAACTTTTCTAAATAACCCAGTACCTTTTGCGTCCATTTCACAATCCATATAACCTCACTGTAATCTGACACTCATAACAACACTTCTAATATGTAAATATAAACGCACACTTGATTATTTTAATTATCCACCTCATGATGTCTTGTGTAAAGATGATACGTTACAAATAATAAATAATTTCTTATAAAAAATGGCTTTATTTCGAATTTTTTCTTTGGCAATCATCAGTGTTCGCTGATAATTTATAACTAAGTACTGTATGCAGTTTAAATGATGCAAAAAATTACGAATCAATTTCACTGTAGCAAAAGGTACTTTGATAAAACTTCCAATATAGATCACACAAATTTGGTGCTAGCATTTTAAAACATTACTACTGTAAGCACTATTATATTGTTATCCATAGTTGTACTGAAATCAGCATGACACACCTTTGATGTTACTTTAACATCCCCTCTCCCACCCCACTAAAAGTTATAGTTTTGTCCCTTTATAGAGCAGTCCGTGCTGCAAATTTTAGAAAACATGATCGAATCGTTGAGTTCTGTAAGCGATATTTCAGCAGCAGAGTTATTAAACACCCCTCCCCCACCCCACTAAAATTTATAGTTTCGGCCCTTTATACAGTGGTCCGTGCTACAATACCTAAAAAAAGAGGTTACAGCCATTGAGTTCTGTAACAGATATTTCAACAGCAGCATTATTAAATACCCCCTCTCTCACCCACTAAAAGTTTTAGGTTTGGCCCTCTGTACAGTGGTCCGTGCAACAGTATCTGAGAAAACTTGATATAGCCATTGAGTTCTGTAAGCGACATTTCAGGATCAGTGTTATTCTTGCTCAATTGGCTGGCTTAAGTCGTAAGTGGCCTGGTCTGATTCACGTGCACGTTTTTATAGAGGTCATCAAGCCAGTTGAAAATCATTAATTAAGACACAGTTTGAATCATAAATGAGATTCTTGGACTCATTTGCTCTTCTAGTATAGTCCAAATAATTACATTTATTTATTTTGAGATCAGTGGGAGTAATTTATTGAAATCAATGAATAAAGTCGTTGTTTTTATGTTTTGCAATTAGTAACGTTATTTGCTTATTTATTTTGGGAAATTTTCTAGTGGAAAAAACTGATACAGCAACTTTTATGCTCTATGCAACTTTCAAAATGCAATTCTAAGTAAAAAGTGTTCAAAATTTAATTCTAAGCTAGAAAATGATCTTTGTGGACTTTTGAATGATGTTCAAATTGAAATGGTAATCTTCAGTATACTTAGCAAGGAGAGAGCTCAAAAAATCTTGTAATTTTCTTAAATTTATAATTTAGAAGGTCGTTTAATAAATGTGGAATTTAATGCTACATTTGTCATAATGAAAATTGTACTTAGCCTACTTTTTATTGTGGAACTTTGAGAATTCACATCGTCAAATTGGTTCATTTTTACAATCTGTAAACTTTTTACAAAATATACTTTTGGTAGTAATGAATATTTTTCTCATAATATTTTTTCTCTTCGAATTTAAGTATATAAAGACTGATGAGCAACGAAATGATGTCACTATCAAGTAAAAATAATATGTAATCAAATTGCTATTGTACAACGATCACATATCTAAAGTGTAAAAAAAAATGAGAAAATTACAGCTAGTATGCTTACCTTTCAATTCATTATTTGACCTGACAGCTGCATGAATCCAAACAGGGAGAGTGGGGAATGTTTTAACAAAATAAGCCCTGTAATCGCCAATCTTATAATATGGTTCTGGTTGTGGTAGAGGTCGTGGCCGATCGTTCCAATGCATGCCAATATTTTGAATGAGCTTTAAGCATTCTGTCCATGAAGATCCATACTTTCTTCCATTTACCAAATATTCATAAACATCGTTATCTATTTGACTTTTCCAATTTGAAGATTCAATATTTATTTGTTGGACGATACTAGATTGGGGATCATTTCTTTTAATCGACAGTAAGTCACCAACTTTACATAAAAAGTGAAATTTCTCGTCATCCGACAGAAGAAATGGATGTTTTAAGGCTTCGTTGGCAGATGGTCTTTCTTCTGGTTGTAGTTTTAACATCCATGACAGAAGGTCTTTTAATGTTGCATCCTTGATTTCGGCCAAACCAACAGGTTTCCCATTCAACATGTTGTCCAGTCTAAACCGTTTAGTTCCAAAAGGATGTTTCCCTTTTGTTGCAACATAATAAGCCCCCATTCCTGCATTCTAAGATAATGAAAAATGTAACATTAACAGCAAAACTAAACTTTCACAAAACTAAATTTCCCTATGAGTTTTGTAAATGTTAACATTTTTACACTTACATATACATCAGACTCTTTTTTGTAACGTGCTTTATTTGGATCTTCATTACGTGCTTCATTTGAATCTTCGTCTTCACAATATGATTCAGGAGCATTCCAATATTCAGTTCCCCTGTTAAAATTGCTTTTGTATGTTTTAGATCCATTCTTCAACATTCGACTAATGCCAAAGTCAGCTATCAGAAAATTGCCGTCTACGTCACGGAGAACATTGGACGGTTTCAAATCCCGATGAAGAATAGAATCTGGGCCCCTATGAAGATCATCTAATCCATTCAAAATTTGTCTAAGAATATCGGGAAGAGCTTTTTGAAGATAATGCAGAGTAGAATCATTCACAAACTTCTCCAGTGATTCCTCACATAAGTCTAAGATCAAATAAACATACTCTGTTCCAGTATCTTCCTCTAAGAAGTAATAATTCACAACATATTTCGACTTTTTTGCATTGAATTCATTTAAAATTTTCTTTTCATGCTGTGCAGGCTGGAGGTAGTTATCTCTACGCATTTGCTTCACTGCTTTACCGTAGCCATTATTTGTCAGTCCAAGATAAACACGGGTTTCATTACTTCCTTCGCCAAGCTTAAACTTCTCCGAGAAAATTACGCGTACATTGCCCACATGTTTAATGTCTGCTCCGGGATAACACAATTCTGACAACAGACTTCTATGCTGAACTGAATGACCAAGATATTCCCACTCTTGCAAACGCCATTCTTCAAATGACATAAAAGTATTACATTCTTAGGTGAGTGCAACAAAACTAATCCAATTCATAAGAATAGGTAGCTCAAATTTACTCAAATACACTAAAAATTTGGATAACGACTTTAAATTTTTGCAAAATCTTAGGACCAATCATTAAAATTGTCAAAAATTAATCAATTATGCAAACATATATCGGTTAAGATTAAAGGCAAGCGATTTAGGAAAATGTTGGTTTTAATTTAATATAGCACTTTCGTTTAAACAGCGCAATGCTTACAAAATGATTTTTAGTGTAGAAAAATGAAAGTTTTTGAAGGATGTAACTATTTCTTAAGCTTAAGTATATATTTCATAGTGGAATATATAACAAAACGGCTTTGTTTTAACCAAAGATTTTTTCACTCTTTTGCCTTTTAGATAAAGTTTCTAACCTTTACTACTAAACTTTTTATAAAATTACAGATTAAAGAGTCTTTACTTGCCCAACCTCCATGCTCTGTCAACTGTCTTATTTCCATTGCCACTATCTCAAAACCATACAACAATGTTGGATTTGTACAGTATTGTAAACCTTTCTTTTCATGTTAGTGGAAGCTATTTTGCCATTTAACACAAAGGACTCATTTCTCCAACCCATCCACATACACTCTACATCAATCTAAACTTCTACTTCGTGTAACCACATTACTCTTTCCTCTACATTCTAGAGCATGATTCCTCTTCTCCATTACATGGAAACATTTGGCCTGTGGTTAATTTACACTAATGAAAACCGTATGAATAGATAGTGTTAGTATGAAAATTTCTAAAAATGAGCACCTTCCTAACTAAAGCTAAGACTTCGTCATTCAGGATGATAAACAAGTAGAGGTTCCCCTTGTCTTCCTTCAGTGTATTCATACATATCCTATTCTTTGGTTTTCCTCTACGCTTCTTACTGTGTACGTAACTGATAATTCCCTTCACCCTATCTACGTAGGCCTTGCTTACATGAGACCGGAACAAAGTCAAACCGGGATGAAAATCAGAATTTGTTGCATGTTTACATGGACCTGCAGGAAGTCACGAAAAATCTTTATTTGCGTAATGCCTTCTTTGCAGGCTAATTTTATGTTTATATATATTGGAATATATTGTTATGTAAAACAAGGGCATTACGCCATACGATTTTTATTGTTGTTAATCACAACATTTTTTAAATAATATAGTGAACATTGATTGAGCGAAACATTAGATGCATATTTGAATTATAACTTTGCGATGTTTTCATCGTAGTGCATATGCTCGCTTTAATAATTTGACCATTTCTCTAGTACTTATAATTAAATGTTATTTATAAATTAAATTGCACAGAAAGAGTGTAAATGCTTGTATATTTTAGCATAACATTGAAATACCGGCTGAAATTTGCAACACACAAACTCGTTTAATTAATCATCAAATCTGAAAGAAACATAAACAAAACAAAAATATGTCTTCGTTTTATTATATATTTAACATAAAAATTGTTGTAAATTACACTCAACATTCTTAACTACGTTGTTATGAAGTATTAACTATGTTTAAGGTTTTATCGTGGACGCATGTGTACGTTCGGGCAAAGTTCGTTGTTTTTCTTTTATCTTAATAAAACATTCCTTTATGTTCAAAGTGTTTTCTCTTCTAAAAAAAATCGTAATACGAGCAAAAATAGCAAGCAAAACAGGCTTGAAAAACGAGTTTTAGTGATTGGGTCTCAAGTATTGACAATGTAACAGTGGAACAAGAGGACTTTTAATCTTGATAAACACATATTGCTATGAACATTTTCCATTCAAAAGAATGAAAATTGATTCAGCCTTGGAAAAGTAACGATTCAAAAACTATATTGATGATGGATATTTAGAAACCAATATCATTCTCCTTGATATTGAGGAAAATACGTCCGTAAACAATCCTGTGATAACAAAAGATCCCGAAGCAACTCTGTTATTACGTATTTAAATGTTAACTGGTACTTATTTAATGGGTGGCAAACATCTGTTACATTACATTACAATTATTGCTAATAACGTTAATAAAGTCGGTCTCGAACTGGAGTCATTAATTCTGTTATTTTCTTGGTACACTAAAATCAATACACTCTCATTGGCGTAAATTTGTATGTTTTTTAAAATGAACGGTATCTTCACAAAAACGCTTCATGAATCATTATTGGATTTATTGAATGGTTACTTTATCGTAAGTTTGGAAAGTTGACATGCATGTTGCAACTAAAATATTACGACGCAACTACATTGCTATTTATCGGGGAACTCCTCTCTGATAGAGGCATTTCACCAGAAACTTCTCAAATCATCCAGCAGTCTTGGCAGACCGGTACAAAGAAACAATATTCTAAATACCTTCACCGTTAGCGATACTAATGCAACGCAAACAATATCGATCCTGTCGCGTCCTCCGTAGAAGAGGGCAATAATTTTCTTACAAAATTATACACGGAAGGTTTATCCTACAGCGGTATTAATAGTGCAAGGAGCGCCTTATCTACCATCCTAATACTACCAAGTAGCATCTCGTGTTGTACACATCCACTTGTTGCTAGGTTTGCTAAAGGTGTATTTGTTGCAAGATCAGCTCTTCCTAGATATGCCATGGTCTGTGAATTTTCAGTCTTATTCAAACATCTTCGAAATCTCCACCCTCCAAAAGATCTCAATTTGAAATCATTAACATTGAAAACAGAAATGCTTTTAGCTTTATTATCTGGTAAGCGATACCAAACACTTCATGCATTGGATATTTCTCATATCGAGAAGAAAAAAGATCAAATAGATTTTAATGTACACCAACTGCTTAAAACATCTAAACATGGTAAGCATGCTGCTCCTTTAGAATTTCGGGCTTATCCACCAGAGTTTGGGTTTTATGTATTCAATTACTTGTCTCATTATCTAAATACCACTTCACCAATACGAAATGGTGCAAGACAACTCCTATTGTGCTATAAAAACCTTATCATTCAGTCACTTAAGCGATCATTTCCCGTTGGTTAAAATACGTGTCAAAGGATGCTGGTATAAATACTAAGGTTTACAGTGCACACAGTGCTAGAACTGCATTAACTTCGGAGGCAAACGCATTGAATATTTGAACTTTATTATGAATGCAGCTACATGGAGTAATGAACAAAATTTGCAAATATTTATAATAAACCAATTGAGGCGAAAAACTTTGGCAATGATCTATTTTCTGCCATTTGTGATTCATAAAATGTGAAATTTCAATTATATAATTTTGTTATTAGTTATTGCGCATTTTCACATTGCTTTAAAATCTCACTTGACTTCCGAGTGACGTACAACAGTGACGAAATAGAATTAGAAAATTAAACGAGACTTACCTGAAGTCGAAGTCTGATTGAAATTCTATGAGTTACAATTCAGAAAAGTAGTCACCCACTGAACTACTAACTTATTCTTTTCAAATGATGTTAAATACTACTTGCCTTCCAATATATATAAGGATGTTTGCAAATTTTTTAAAAACTGATCTTGATAATGCGCGCTCTATCTTAGATGACTTCCTAGTTCCTGAACAGTAACTCATAGAATTTCAATGAAACTTCGACTTCAGATAAGTCTCGTTCAATTTTAAACTTTCGTATGTTTTAGACTATCGTTAACATAACCATATTTACAATCCTATAAGCTACATTGAAACGTTCGAATTTACCTATGAACAAGCATTTACGTACTTGTTAGCAATATAATTATGACGAATATTCCAAAATCACTTTTTTTTTAATACAACTTCATAGTATACAATCGTCAAGTTACTAGCCAGAAAAACGGTGGACTTAACGCATGCGCACAAAAAATATGCCAAGCATTACGCAGTCAATAAGTGGGGATTTGAGATCACTTTATACGTATTCAAAGCCTCAGTTTCTCTCAACTGATTCTATGATTTGAAATATCTAGAAGAGAATGTTTCTATAGATGTAGAAATGACTTTACTGATGATTAGATAGAGTGTGATTTTTATGTCGCTCTCAATATGTGTGAATGTGAGTGAGCTTTTAGTATACGGGCATAGACTTCTTCAAGGATTTTTATTGCCGAAATAAATATAAATCTCAGAGCATCGACGACATTTCCGTCAAGCAACTTCGTGAATATCTCAAGAAATATATTAGATTTTGGTACGAAAGAGAAAGAACAACGGAAAATACAAAACAATTATGTTCCTTCGTAAGAAAGGGTTTGTCTACGTTGAATTTTAAATCGTACGCACTCACCTACCAAGAAGTAGTTTATTTAAATTATATATAATATACATGTCGTCGTATAGATGGCTTAGAGGCAAATCAAACATTGTAAAGGCTTAGTGCAAAAGCTCAAACAAAATATTTCACTTTTAAAATGCATAAAATTCAGTCAAAATTCATCTATAGCGTGTCTACGCTATATACTAGTCATTCAGTGGTGGATTTAAATTTATATTAGAAGATTAATAAATACAACGCTTTATATGGCCTCATTTTGTTATAACAATAAAATCATGTTATGAATATTATTTATTGATTTTTAAATCGTCGAATCGTCCGACTCCCAGTCTGCATTTAAACTTAACATCGTCCAATCATGTTTCCCATTAATCATAACTCACTACTTTAAGGGGGTGTTTACATGAATCCGGAATGACTTTCAATCCCGATCGAAACGTGATGTCAATCCGTGTTTACATGAAACTAATTGTTGTTTTTCTTCGCACTCATTTTAACCCATTTAGCCTCTTTATTTGCTTACGAGCTTCAATTTGCCGGAAGACAATACCCATGGCACATGCGTGCTTCGTCATTAATCACAATATCATTCCAGAATGAAACTCAATTCGCGTTTACATGAGATAACAAGTAAATTTCGATCCGGAATGAAATTTCGATCCGGAATGAAACTAGGAATGAACTCGATCCGGATCGAGTTGTGACTCATTCCGGATTCATGTAAACATTTAATAGGATTTCATTTAAAGTGGAATGAGTTCATTCCGGATCGAAACTCATTCCGGATTCATGTAAACACCCCCTAAGGGAACGCACGACAAATAATTGTTAAATGTTTGTTGAATACTATTGGTTTTGTGAAAATTTTAACGCTTGACAAACAAAGCAAGCTAAGAATATATTTAAAGTACGAAATCATTAATATAACAGATAAAATAACTGATCATCTATGACGTATAGTAATTATAACTTTATTTATTTTTTGTGTATTATACCTTGAACTGATAACGATTTCAACTTTCTTGAACTCATCTCATAAAAACATCATACGCATCCTCTAATTCCGTGTATAATAAATGTTTTTATGCAAAGGAATTTGAACCATCGTAGGAATATATTGTTATGTAAAGCAAGGGTATTACACCATATGATTTTTATTGTTGTTAATCATAACATTTTTAAATAATATAGTGAACATTGATTGAGCAAAACATTAGATGTATATTTGAATTATAACTTTGCGATGTTTTTATCGTAGTGCATATGCTCGCTTTAATACTTTGATCATTTCTCTAGTACTTATAACTAAATGTTATTTATAAATTAAATTGCACAGAAAAAGTGTAAATGCTGATATATTTTTAGCATAATGTTGAAATACCGGCTGAAAATTGCAACACACAAACTTGTTTAAATATTCAAGAAATTTGAAAGAAACATAAACAAAACAAAAGTATTATGTCTTCGTTTTATTATATATGAACATGAAAATAGCAAGCAAAACACTCACTGACGGTTTTAATTAAACAACCTAAAATCCAAATGTTCTTCAAATAGAGGCAAACATTGGATATACTTACTATATACGAGCAATATACAGTTTTCCTAAAACGTTGTTAAAAGGTCAGAACGCTACCTCCCCCAGCGACTTTTCATATTATTTAGCTTCCCTAATACGAAGTATGTTCTACAACCACAATGCAAACGAGAGTCTTCACGTCCTCCATCATATTTTGACCTGCTGCATCCAAGCCATTTTCCTCATCAAGGTAATTCAATAGAAATCTATGGTCATTATTAGAAGGAAATCTAGAAGCTTTCTTGCATGCGTGAGCATATTTTATAGAACTTCACAGAAGTTTTTATTCTGGTATCTATTGTGGCATGATTATTATATATATATATAAGTAGCTTAACTATATTGCATGAGAACAACTTACAGGGTACAACTTATTGAGGACAATTTACGAGGCACAGCAAACTGAAGACAACATATACGGCGGTGTACGTTGACAAAACAACACCCTACAAGTCTTGGAGACAGCAACTAAGCCTTTTTGGATTCTGTGCCTTTAATCTGTTTGGAAAAACTATTGTGAATCATTGTTGGAATCACGTACTCTAGACTCGGGATAGTGTTTAGACAGAGAAGATAAGTTGAGCTTGTTAGCCTACCATTTGATAGTAATGAGACTCTTATTGTCACAATACGTGATCGATGAGAAATATATGTCTTCAGTGATTATAACTGATGTCACATTATTTTTGTAACATGTGGAAATCCAACAAAATTCGTATTGGTTATTTCAGTCATGATGATTTGAAACCTGTGCGTGTCTCAAAATGATACTATTATTTAAAAAAATTAAAATACATACATAAATTACCCTAAATATGCATTCTAAAATGTTAAAATATTTCACATATGCACAACATTTCTTTTGATTATAATGAAATTCATGATTGGACCGTGGAAGCTCTACGTATCCAAGCTTTGTAATTTAGATATCCCTTTCTTGGCTTCTTCCTCCGTCGCAGCATACAAATTATACAATCGTTTCTCTGTACGAAGCTATAGAAGCATATAAGGCAGTGAAAGTAGTCTTTAAGAAGAATAAGTATTTTACATGCATGATGGCTTCCATCAGTTTTATTTAAAGTTGTAAAAACAGGGTTCAATGTTATCAGCGTAAAATGTTAGATTGCTTTTTCAATGTCAAGCTAAATCAACTAAAAGTGGAAAGAAAGGATCATCTTTAAGCTTCAGGGAAAGTTTAAAAGTTGATAAAAGAGCTTATTACCATTATTTAATGCTAGCCACGCTTACATCGTTCACAGAAAATAACAAGCACGATTAACCAAATGGTTTTTCATACAATAATTTAAACCAATCAAAATTCGTGATGATTTAGTGCACCTTGAAGCTTCAAACAAACAACACTGCGATGAAAGATACACAAATATATTTACTTACATCGAAAAAAACTTGCTTCTCGTTTGCTAAAAATATCAATGAAATTCAAAATTTTTATAAAAAAAAAACACGACAATACAATAACAGCACTTTTACAATCATGTAATCGTGTTTACAGTTTTATCGTACAATTAAATAAGTAATTGCAACTTGTTCTATACTTAAATATATTATTAATTTTTATATACAGAAATAAATATCCTTTAAAAGATACCAAAAAAGCATAAAACTTTTCAATTCATTCAAGCTGGTGCACAAAGACATTTGCTCTTAAGGAAATATCACAGGAGAAGTTTTAATTTGGAACAGACAACACCCACTCCAAAAAATCCAAAGTTAACAGAAAAGTCGTTTTTCTCAGTGATGCAACCAAGTCAATTGAGCATTGTTTTAAAAGCTCGTCAAAACCATGGAAGAAATAAGACTATAGAGCAAAATATTGAAATAAAACTTACAATTCAACTGTGACATTTCACATGAAATAATTTTAGATAAGTTTAAAACACCTTGACAATGAACATCGCTTACTTCATCATAGTAACGAAGCTACAAAACCAATTAATTTGTGAAAACATAGACATCGTAAAATGTTAATGCTAAGGACAGCAAATTGCAATGAACTAGAAATAAGTGCATCGAATAATTTGCACAGCATAAACTTTGCGATTTTCACCATCAAAAAAGTCGCAAGCTTTAAATCATGCGCCTCCCGTTCCCAGAAGTTCTTTTAACAATTCCATGCTCTGTCAGTAATGTAACGATTTTTAAAATGCACTTTTTGTTACTCTTGCTTTTAACGTGATGTCACAAAAAGAACAATGAAAATTTAACGTGAAATCGCAAAAAGAAGGTATCGCAAAGTATGATTTGGACTAAATCAAATAGGCACAAATCTATGGTAAGAAACAACAAAGTTGACCTTTCTATAGTAATTTTTAACAGAAACCAGTAGACATTGACAATCTGAAGCTTTATTTTACACCGTTTTCCATCTTTCATTATCACATTCCATCAAAATATCGTTCGCTAAAACAGCCAATAAAGAACATTACCTGATGTCTTTCCGTATCCAATACAAAATACCGTTGCTTCCATTGTTTGAATAAAGCACCTCGTTTCCATAGATACCCACACAAAAATTTCGAAAATTTGTTGATACTTGGAGACTATAGAATGATAAAGAATATTTAAATGACTAATTCAAGATAAATCACTTTGGCTTGTGTAACTAAACCTTAATCCGGTATAACTGAGTAATATAAAGTGAAACTTAACAATATCTTCTTTGTTTACATATTATATAATTATAAATTTAAAAGTGAAGGAAAATGTTTACATGTAAAAAAACATCAATAGAAGTTCACTAGTGTACTATATTGTACCTCATGTAAGCTTTTGTTACTAGTTGATGGTATGCTATCGTTCTGGTCTTTCAGATTCTTGTAATTAGGACACGTTTTAAGAACACGTGATAAGCATTTCTCGTGACAGTTGTATCCACATTCTGTGCATCTGAATCCTACAAAAAACACATTTTAAAATAAAAAAGAATTTTTGGTGGTAGGAAACAAAATCTCTCCACAAAATATATCGTAACTACAACGCGTGGTGAACGGTTTTGGGTATCGAGATGCCAGGATCGAGCCAAGTCATTTTAATTCATTTTGGATAGACTTACTTGAATAAATTTCTTAAATTATTAAATAATCAACGGTACACACTCATTGAAATTCATGATAGACAATAGCGGCGTCACAATCATCATGAAATAAATTATCAGTTGTATGACATAACAATTATCATAAATCTAGCACAAAAATATTGTCTGGCTGCCATTGTTTCACTTTCATTTCAGAATTAAATTAATACTAGGGATGTATTTAACTAACATGAACGCGCGTGCATTCTGCTATAAAGCTTTGTTAGTTGTAAAATTTTATTAGCAAAATTTCCATAGAAACTTTGCACAGTAGACAAGATAAAGAAGCGTGTTTATAGATGCAACGGAAAGTCAACTGTATGGCCATCATAGATAGATAGATACACAAGCAAACCATACCTCCTTTTCCAATATTCCATATCACTTGTAGACAGAAATCGCAGTTGGTTGGCGTAAAGAAACTGTGAGGTTCAAATGAATGAGGTCGTGAAAAACCTTGATTACTGTAGTCTTCGATTTGAAGTTTCCCCTGAAATATAAAAGTAACATCTGTCACATAGTATGTAGCTTTAAAAGAAACTAAGTGAAATCAGTTTCTACAAGGTCATCTTATAAAAGTAACAAAGTTACTCTCTACTTCAAAGGTATAAATACACAGCAAAAGTTGTAAAAATAATTTTGAACTACAAATTTAAGCAATTGCTGTCTATTCTTCACAAAACACAACAATGTTGACATTTTTTAAAGCTAAGATCATAACAGGGATGGAAAGCCTAACTAACGTAACAAAGGAATCAACGTATTATGAAAATTTAAACAAAACAAATTATTTACTGAAACCAGTACAAAAGGTGTGCTGTCATGTGAAGTGAGCCACCACAAGGTAGGTCACTTAACAAAACAAACTATTTACTGAAACCAGTACAAAAGGTGTGTTGTCATGTGAAGTGAGCCACCACAAGGTAGGTCATTTAACAAAACAAATTATTTACTGAAACCAGTACAAATGGTGAGTTGTCATGTGAAGTGAGCCACCACAAGGTAGGTCACTTACAAAAGTTCCAACATTAAGATGTCAATTTTACCTCCATTTCAGTAAAAAGAAATTAAATGAAGATTAAACTAATGCGTTAACTGACTACTTTTCAAGATTTTATCAAAAAATCAGAATTCAGAGACATTAAAATTTTGTACAAAATTCGAGAATCTTTCAAAATGACGGCATGATACCAATCTCATATTGTGTAAAAAAAAAAACAACTTATAAAAACACGGATACTGATTAGTGCAATGCTCAAAAAACCGTGTCTATAAAACTCTTTATTGCACGAGAGCTTCAGTCTCTCAAAATTATTGAAAAACTTGCGTGGTTATGGCGGAAAGTTTCAATGCAAAAATATAAACAACATGTTATTAAAATTCAAGAATTCATTGTCTTTATATTCTTCTTAAAACGTTATTTCATAAAGAAAATACAAAAAAATATTTGCCTATTCCTATAGATTTATATAGAAACACTCGTGAAATTTTTAAAGAAACTCGAAATTTTTTCCAAACACACGCACTTCGTGTTCCTCTTTGCCATGTAATTTATTGCTTCCCCCAATCACGAGTTTCTAAAACTCTCTAGAAACTGAGAAAGTGTTTTCTAGTTCTTAAACAATAAAACATATTCCAAGACAACATGAATACAATTTCACGGTTTAGTGCTACCAGCACAGCTAGACTAAATGTTAAAAAAGTTCATTTTAATAAGTTGCCAAACTAATACAAAAAACTTTTGTATATAGAGACTATTTTACCAAAAATCACAAAATAGAACGAGTATATTGCACGAACGAGAATGTTAATTAACGATCAGGTAATCATAAAATGGTCATTGAAGTTATAAATTATCTACAATCAATATAAAATTAATCATAAAGAAAAAGAATCATAAATACTACCTCAAGTATTATGTCCATTGTATCTCGTTTGTGTAGTACACCACTACGGACTCTAGAAATTTCTTCATTGTATGTTAAAAACTGTAAAGAAAAAATGCCAGTCAGTTATGGTGTTCATTCGTACCAGGGAAACACCACAGTCTGTGATGGTATTCATACCATGCACATACTCCAGTCTAGTATTCATACAATGCATACACTCCAGTCTGTATTGGTATTCATACCATGCACACACTTCAGTCTGTAATGGTATTTATACCATGCACACACTTCAGTCTGGTATTCATACAATGTATACACTCCAGTTTGTGATGGTATTCATACATACAATGCACACACCACAATCTGCAACGGTATTCATACGTACAATGCATACACTCCAATCTGTAATGGTATTCACACCATACACACACTCAAGTAAGAAAAAAGTAGTTATGCTGCCTAAATGAGACCTAAAATATGATATTCAAAAGCAATTTACAAAAGATCCAGTGAATGACCTTTACTTAATGTCTACAAAGTAAAAGTAAAACAACACGTCACAATGAAAGTATATTTGCTATAAATACCGTTTTCGTTATTTTAGGCTGTTCCAAACGCTCCCATAATTTTTTCCAACGAGTTGCGTGTTTGTCAGCCTCTTCTTCGATGCGATTATATTCGTACAAATGATATGCGCAGCTACTACTGTCGTAATGAACCGATCCACCAAATATACCACTTCGACAGCGTCTAGTAAACAATATGAAGCGTTAGCTATTTTAATCAATAATTTATGCATGGTTGAATATTGTAAATCACTTTTTTAAACTTATAGTAAAGTTTGCAACAAAAATTAAGCATGCAAGCTACGAATGGCATTAAACTTATTTTTTAATAGAAACATGCTAACAATGGAAGCACTACATAATGTTTAAATGGAAACATCCTGACTATTAAAGTACTCAATAATTTTCAGATGGAAACACGCTAAGTATAGTAGTACTTCACTAATTTTTAATGGAAACACGCAAATCGTAGAGGTACTTTGCTACGTTTTAAATGGAACGCGCTTACTTCTTAACGCAATAACTTATTCATACCTGTTGGCATCGTACTTGTCTTCTAACTTCTGTTGTCCTTCCTCGGCAGCAGTTTCTGTTTCATTTATGACTTCTTGATCAAACTCTGGACCAGTGGAGACATTCTCCGAAACAAAATAACTCCATAATTTTAGATTGGAACGTTGCAATGAGGACAAGCACCTGGGAATTTAGAGATAATGTATTAAATCTGGTTTAAGAGAAGAAAATCTTCTACAGAAAATAAAGGAAACGAGTCGTTGTGACTTAGTAAATGTATTTTAGATGCTGAATAAATTATAATTATTGTGTTTTTGAGCGAAATTCAAGCAACAAAAATATATTTTCGTTCCAATTTATAATCAAACCTTTCCTATTTACACTAACAAAATTTGTTCAAATTTTGTTCTATCTCATTAAAAACATCGCACAATATAAATATACACAGACATACGTATTTCTCTTCGTATTTTTCTAGAGAAGAAAATCACAGTTACATAAGCACATAATAATGCTTAAAGCAAAACTTTAGGATTGATACGAAAAAAGTGATAAATGAACATATATTTGCTAATGCTAATAAAACTTAAAGAACGGAAAATAGTCCCTACATACTTATATTGTAATACATAAATATTTTACAAAAATCCACAGTATTCATAAATTTATAGCGTAGAAAATCAAGCTACATCTAAATCACTCAGTTTTAGAAAAACAATTATACAATTCATTTTCATTAGTTCTCGTTTATTTTTCGAGGATACTTTAATTCAAAATGTGATTTCCAAAAAAACGAGAATCAACAAAACCGTACCCATAGTTATATTAAAGCAAAATACATTGCTGTGATACCAAGGGTGGCAATAGATCTATGTGTATGGGGGGAAGGGGAATTGTGATGGGGGAGGGCACTTACATGTTAGGGAAGGGGACGAGCGTTGAAACGATAAATATAAACAACTAACCAACGGCAGATAAATATTTATCTTGCTCCACGTTGGATGAACGTATTGCGTCAGTGCTTCCACCACTTGCAGCTACACCAGAGCGAATGATGGATGCCACAGAGCTTCGTTCAATGGCAGAAGATCGCAATAAAACGGCGAATTTATTGACTTTATGTCTCCACGTCGCAACAGGAAAACGTATATGGCGATGGTTTTTAGAAACGCGCAACAAAGAGTCATCGGTCACGTGTGGTGGCACCACTAAAACAGCCGGGTAAGTGAAAGAAAAATCAACAATATGATGACTATTTTGTCGAAACATGTTAATTTTTTAAAGACTTGCAAAGCTTACCCTTTCGCAAAATAAATATATTACATGATAGTAAATATGAGTTTTAAAACACTTATGGCAATAAAGAAAGTGTTAAATGCTCCTAAGTCTTATTCAGAAATTTTGAGCATAACAATTCTGTAAATTGAAAATTATCTCCACCATTTTTCTTATAACTTTACCTTCGACAGGCTGCGTACGAAAGATTGACCATAGAAAGCCTCCAAGATCCACTTTTACTCCCTATACGTTCCTCAAGTACAGAGCCAAAGCCAAGTCTTTTATACTCTTCACAATAAAGGGTTAAATTCAAGTTTTCAATAACCGGCGCATTTCGTACCACAAAAGATCCATCAACCTAACAGAATGTATATAACCAATAACATTGCAGAAAAGCTAACAATAAAGTAAGTAATGGTAAGTAATTGTAACTATAAGGGTAAATAATGGTAATTTTATATGGCAAGCGTCACTTCCGGCTAAATGGCGCGCTTTGATTGGCTCAGAAACATTTTTGTCGGTTCATTATTTTCCCGTAATCGACCACGGTCCAAAAGGCTTAACTTTACAGTCAACATTAAACAAACTTCGTAAAGCAAACATCAAAACGCAAAATAAACGAAACAAAAAAAACATTTACGAATGTGATTCGAAGGAAAAACACTTGGAAAACAGTTAAACTATCCAGACGATACAATTTGAAACGATTTATTTTTTATGGACTAAAACTAGAAAAGTAAATATCCATTCGTAAAAACATCAAGGACGAGAAAGAAATCAAGCTTCGTTTCAGGTCAAATGCCATATAATAATCCTTTTAATAACCTCGTTTTCTCGGTTTTACTGAGAAATAAAGGATGTTTTTAATATAGTATGAAGTATTTTCATATAACTCAATGCTGGTGAGGCACCACAGTATGTTGGAAAGATTATAATTTGCAATCAAGACAACAGAACAAACATTGTAAAGACATTTTCCATCAGCCAATGTGCTAAAACAAGTTGAGTAGAAAATATTACTATATAGTTATGTAGTTGAGGTACATAAGTTATTTTTTTAATGTTAGAGAATGATCATGTCCAAAGCAATGAGCTTCAGCTATACAACAAATTAGCATGCTTAATGTTATGTATCGAGGAAGAGGCTCATTATTTATTTATCTATAGGGCACAAAGCAGCCAGCTTGGAGAATTAGTTGCAATTTTACGGCAAACTTTATAAATTGAGAAGGATAATTATTATTTATATAAATCAGAAGCTTTATTTTACACCGTTTTCCATTTTTCATTATCACATTCCATCATAATATCATTCGCTAAAATAGCCAATAAAGAATATTACCTGATGTCTTCCCGTATCCAATACAAAATACCGTTGCTTCCATTGTTTGAATAAAGCACCTCGTTTCCATAGATACCCACACAAAAATTTCGAAGATTTGTTTATACCTGGAGACTATGGAATGATAAAGATTATTCAAATGACTAATTTATGATAAATCACTTTGGCCAGTGTAACTAAAGCTTAATCCGGTATAACTGAGTAATATAAAGCGAAACTTAACAATATCTTCTTTGTTTACATATTATATAATTATAAACTTAAAAGGGAAGGAAAATGCTTGCAGTTAACAAACATCAATAATAAAAGTTCACAAGTGTACTATATTGTACCTCATGTAAGTTACTAGTAGATGGCATGCTATCATTCTGGTCTTTTAGATTCTTGTAATTAGGACACGTTTTAGGAACACGTGATAAGCATTTCTCGTGGCAGTTGTATCCACATTCTGTGCATCTGAATCCTACAAAAAACACATATTAAAATACAAAAGAATTTTTGGTGGTAGGACACAAAATCTCTTCACAAAATGTATCGTAACTAAAAGGCGTGGTGAACAGTTTTGGGGTATCAAGATGCCAGGACCGAGCCAAGTCATTTTAATTTATTTTGGATAGACTTACTTGAATAAATTTCTTAAATTATTAAATTATCAACGGTACACACTCATTGAAATTTATGATAGACAAAAGCGGCGTCACAATTATCATGAAATAAATTATCAGTTGTATGACATAACAATTATCATAAATCTAGCACAAAAATATTGTCTGGCTGCGATTGTTTCACTTTTATTTTAGAATTAAATTTATACTAGGGGTATATTTAACTAACATAAACGCGCGTGCATTCTGCTATAAAGCTTTGCTAGTTGTAAAATTTTATTTGCAGAATTTCCATAGAAACTTTGCACAGTAGACAAGATAAAGAAGTGTGCTTATAGATGCAACGGAAGGTCAACTGTATGGCCATCATAGATAGATAGATACACAGCAAACCATACCTCCTTTTCCAATATTCCATATCACTTGTAGACAGAAATCGCTGTTGGTTGGCGTAAAAAAACTGTGAGGTTCAAATGAATGAGGTCGTGAAAAACCTTGGTTACTGTAGTCTTCGATTTGAAGTTTCCCCTGAAATATAAAAGCAGCATCTGTCACATAGTATGTAGCTGTAAAAGAAACTAAGTGAAATCAGTTTCTACAAGGTCATCTTATAAAAGTAACAAAGTTAATCTCTACTTCAAATGTATAAATACGCAGCAAAAGTTGTAAAAATAATTTTCAATTACAAATTTTAGCAATTGCTGTCTGTTCTTTGCAAAACACAACAATGTTGACATTTTTTTAAAGCTAAGATCTTAACAGGCATGGAAAGCCTAACAAACGTAACAAAGGAATCAACGTATTATGAAAATTTAAACAAAACAAATTATTTACTGAAACCAGTACAAAAGGTGTGTTGTCATGTGAAGTGAGCCGCCATATGATAGGTCACTTAACAAACAAATTATTTACTGAAACCAGTACAAAAGGTGTGTTGTCATGTGAAGTGAGCCACCACAAGGTAGGTCACTTAACAAGACAAATTATTTACTGAAACCAGTACAGAAGGTGTGTTGTCATGTGAAGTGAGCCGCCACAAGGTAGGTCACACTTTACCTCCATTTCAGTAAAAAGAAATTAAATGAAGATTAAACTAATGCGTTAACTGACTACTTTTCAAGATTTTATCAAAAATTCAGAATTCAGAGACATTAAAATTTTGTACAAACTGTGTTCGAGAATCTTTCAAAATGGCGGCATGATACCAATCTCATATTGTGTGAAAAAAAACCTTTTAAAACACGGGTGCTGATTAGTGCCATGCTGAAAGAGCCGTGTCTATAAAACCCTTTATTGCACGAGAGCTTCAGTCTCCCAAAATTATTGAAAAACTTCCGTGGTTATTGCGGAAAGTTTCAAGGCAAAAATATAAACAACATGTTATTAAAATTCAAGAAATCATTGTCTTTATATTCTTCTTAAAACGTTATTTCATAAAGAAAATACAGAAAAATATCTTCCTATTCCTATTGATTTATATAGAAACACTCGTGAGATTTTTAAAGAAACTCGAAATTTTTTGCAAACACACGCACTTCGTGCTCCTCTTTGCCATGTAGTTTATTGTTTCTCCCAATCACGTGTTTCTAAACTCTCTAGAAACTCAGAAAGTGTTTTCTAGTTCTTAAAGAATACAACATATTTCAAGAAACCACGAATACAATTTCACAGTTTGTGCTACCAGTACAGCAAAACAAAATGTTAAAAAAGTGCATTTTTATATATTGCCAAACTAATACAAAAATCCTTTTGTATATAGAAATTATTTTACCAAAAATCACACAATAGAACGAGTATATTGCATGAACGAGAATAGTTATTCAAAATCACGTAATCACAAAATGGTCATTGAAGTTATAAATGATCTACAATCAATATAAAATTGATCATAAAGAAAAAGAATCAAAAATGCTACCTCAAGTATTATGTCCATCGTATCTCGTTTGTGTAGTACACCACTACGGACTCTGGAAAGTTCTTCGTTGTATGTTAAAAACTGTAAAGAAAAAATGCCAGTTAGTGATGGTGTTCTATCGTACCATGCAAACACCACAGTCTGGGATGGTATTCATACTATGCACATACTCCAGTCTGATATTTATACAATGCATACACTCTAGTCTGTGATGGTATTCATATGTACAATGCACACATTTTAGTCTGTAATGGTATTCACACCATGTACATACTCCAGTCATGTATTTATACAATGCATACACTCCAGTCTGTGATGGTATTCATACGTACAATGCACACTTTTCAGTCTGTAATGGTATTCACACCATGCACATACTCCAGTAAGAAAAAAGTAGTTATGCTGCCTAAACGAGACCTAAAATATGATATTCACAAGCCATTTACAAAAAATCCAGTGTATGACCTTTACTTAATGTCTACAAAGCAAAAGTAAAACAACACGTCACAAAGAAAGTATATTTGCTATAAATACCGTTTTCGTTATTTTAGGCTGTTCCAAACGCTCCCATATTTTTTTCCAACGAGTTGTGTGTTTGTCAGCCTCTTCTTCGATGCGATTATACTCGTACAAATGACATGCACAGCTACTACTGTCGTAATGAGCCGATCCACCAAATATACCACTTCGACAGTATCTAGTAAACAATATGAAGCGTTAGCTATTTTATTAAATAATCACGCATGATTGAATATTATAAATCACTTTTTTAAACTTATAGTAAAGTTTGCAACAAAACTATTTTTTAATAGAAACATGCTAACAATGGAAGCACTATATAATATTTAAATGGAAACATCCTAACTATTAAAGTACTCAATAATTTTCAAATGGAAACACGCTAAGTATCGAAGTACTTAACTAATTTTCAATGGAAACACGCAAATCGTAGAGGTACTTTGCTAAGTTTTAATGGAAACGCGCTTACTTCTTAACGCAATATCTTATTCATACCTGTAGGCATCGTACTTGTCTTCTAACTTCTGTTGTCCTTCCTCGGCAGCAGTTTCTGTCTCATTTATAACTTCTTGATCAAACTCTGGACCAGTGGAGACATTCTCCAAAACAAAATAACTCCATAATTTTAGATTGGCAACGTTGCAATGAGGACGAAGCACCTGGGAATTTAAAGATAATGTATTAAATCTGGTTTACTAGAAGAAAATCTTCAAGAGAAAATAAAGTAAGCAAGTCCTTGTGATTTAGTAAACATATTTTAAGTGCTCAATAAATTATAATTTTTGTGTTTGTGAGCGAAATTCTAACAACAAAAATATTTTTATCGTTCCAATTTATAATCAAACCTTTCTTATTTACACAAGCAAATTTTGTTCAAATTTTGTTCTATCTCATTAAAAACATAGCACAATATAATTATACACAGACATACGTATTTGCCCTCATATTTGTCTAGAGAAGAAAACTATTCAGGTTTAACCATTGACACTACCAAATTTTACTCTCAGACACGCGTGTCTGTGGGTGAAATCCCGCTAGAATATCACTGTAAATGGACTTTTTTGTGACTAGTTGAATTGCTGGCTTTAGATACAACACAATGATCCAGTTCTATTTAGTTCAATGGGTTTTACAGTCTAATAAAGTCACTTTAAATACAACGTAACAAATCCAGGATATTCTGGGATTTACTAAATGAAGTTTACAAGTTGAACCAATACACGAGTTCGATAAAAGATAAACAAGGCGTCCATTGAAAAATAAACTGAGTTAAATGCCTGTTCTTCTTTGATCTTGTTTTAAATCAATTTGATGGTGATTACACAACTACATGACCGAAAAGCATTCAGGTAATCTCATTACACTGCATGCGAACTGTTGCTGCAAAGATTTGCAAAAATATGGCTGCAAATCAACAACTCACCTTTTCAGAATGTTCTTTCGAAAACTTAAAATGATAAAATAATGATGATTTTTTGTGTAGCATGTCGATGTAATCCCAAAGACTTTTTATGTGAGATTTAGAAGTCTTTGCATCTTTCTTTTCAGCAACTGATAGCTAACCCATCTGCACACGTTCGTGCTCTGAATCCAGTAAAAACGTACGAAAACGCATGGAGACATGATGATAGGCGAGGAAATGTAAATAATACTCGTTGAATTCGAAGGATAGTGGATACTGACGTAATACCTGAGAACATAAAAAATATGTAGAAATGAGTAATTTTTCCAAACTTTCATGTAAAAATAAATAACTGAGAACACAAACAATATGAACAAATAGCTAAGTCACTTTATCATTAATTTTGAACTATAGCAAATAAAAAAGATGGGAGACAATTGATGTCTAAACATTTCCCACCAAAATTCTTTAATAATATACGGTGTTTTTACTTTACGAAACGAGCGTGTTCTCCTAAGTGCGTCACTGATGGCGATGAGTAACTTATTTCTGGGCCCGAAAAGACCATTGAAAAAATATTGTGCACATGTTCTTAAAATGAATTTAACTATCTAGAGAAGTTATTTTTTGAACCTGATCTATGCACTTTAGAAAGTTTGATATTTAACAAGATATTGAAATAGTCATTGAGAGGTTTATTGAGTCTTACAATGCACGAAAACTTTGAAGATAATGAACACGAAAGAGTTGCTTTTAAGAGTTGCGTTAAATGTCTATTTCAAATTTATAGCGAGAAAAGCACCTTTGATCGAATAAAGTTTTAAAAAAACAACCCAACAATATGCTTAACACAAGCTTTTGTCAAACGTATTTCTTGTGTAATATAAAAAAAAATCATTTCGCACAATACTCAGACGACGGACACCAGACCATCTTAACCCCAATTTTTTTATGATAACTTTAAGAAACAATGATAACCTGATGGACGCCATCAAGAAATTGCAAGAAAACAGGCGTGAATCCACTTGATTGCGTTGAATGTGTATGATTACAGCGATGTGAGAAACGATGTCCAAAGGACAACCATTCTTTTTCAACTAAAACTTTAAAACCATTAATTGTTCGGTAGTATGGATCTAACATTACTTGAGCATATGACGTCACCTACAAAAAACAGCATGAAGTATTACCTGTAGTTGTTCGTACGTGAAGCAGAGACATTGACAGTTCGGTCATCGGGAGGAGGGGGGAGTGGAGAATATTTATATATGCATTTGAAAATGGAACTGAAAAAAACACATTCGATTTCAAAGGAACTGGATATGACAAAACGTAAGATCTTACGCTTGGGTATTGAGGGCATACACTACTATCGCCATTGACTATCGCTAAGATAATAATAGAGATAATAAACACACCAAGAAAGATTAAAAAACGTACAGTGCGGCAGGCTCCCATCCTTGCTCAGATATTGCTTTGTCAACGGAATCCACAACAGAAACACTTTTAGATGCATTGTCATTTGATCGTAGATTCATCGTTGCTTTAGACATGCTGACGTTGGCTGCCAGTGATGTTTCGCCTCCGCTTTATTCCACGATACAGGATTTGAAGACACTTAAAATTAAAAGCACAAAAAATCACGGTTACATAATCACATAATAATGCTCAAAGCCAAACTTTAGGATCCATAAGAAAAAAGTGATAAGTGCAGGTACATTTGCTAATGTTAATAAAACTTAAAGAACGGCAAACAGTCCCTAAATACTTATTTCATACATAAATATCTTACAAAAATCAACAGTATCCATAAATTAATAGCGTAGAAAATTAAGCTACATCCAAATAACTCAGTTTTAGAAAAACAATTATACAATTCATTTTCAAAAGTTCTCGTTTATTTTTCGAGGATACTTTAATTCAAATTGTAATTTTCAATAAAAACAGAATCCACAAAACCGTACCCATAGTTATATTAAAGTAATATATATTGCTGTGATACCAAGGGTGGCAATAGATCTGTGTGTATGTGGGAGGGGGGGGGGGCACTTACATGTGAGTGTAGGGAACGAAATTTAAAACGATAAATATAAACAACTAACCAACGGCAGATAAATATTTATCTTGCTCCACGTTGGATGAACGTATTGCGTCAGTGCTTCCACCACTTGCAGCTACACCAGAGCGAATGATGGATGCCACAGAGCTTCGTTCAATGGCAGAAGATCGCAATAAAACGGCGAATTTGTTGACTTTATGTCTCCACGTCGCAACAGGAAAACGCATATGGCGATGGTTTTTAGACACGCGCAACAAAGAGTCATCGGACACGTGTTGTGGCACCACTAAAACAGCCGGGTAACTGAAAGAAAAATCCACAATATGATGACTATTTTGTCAAAACATGTTTATTTTTCAAAGACTTGTAAAGCTTACGCTTTCGCGAAATAAATGTATTATACGATAATAAATATGAGTTTTAAAACACTTATAGTATTAAAGAAAGGGTTAAATGCTCCTAAGTCTTATTCGGAAATTTTGAACATAACAATTCTGTAATTGAAAATTATCTCCACCATTTTTCTTATAACTTTACCTTCGACAGGCTGCGTACGAAAGATTGACCATAGAAAGCCTCCAAGATCCACTTTTACTCCCTATACGTTCCTCAAGTACAGAACCAAAGCCAAGTCTTTTATACTCTTCACAATACGGGGTTAAATTCAAGCTTTCAATAACCGGCGCATTTCCAACCACAAAAGATCCATCAATCTAACAGAATATATATAACCAATAACATTGCAGAAAAGCTAACAATAAAGTAAGTAATGATAAGTAATGGTAATAATGGACTCCGTCGATTTCGACGTATGAGGGTTCCACAAAGTGGAACATCCTGGTCACTTTATAGTGAAGGCACCTGATCAGACTACAATCACTCGTACCCTTCACGCAACCACAACGCTGATATCAGCGTGACACAGTGTGACAAGGCTGCAACATTGCAGATGCAGGTACAAATAAGTAATGGTAACTATAAAGGCAAGCGTCACTTCCGGCTAAGTGGCGCGCTTTGAATGGCTCAGAAACATTTTTGCCGGTCTATTATTTTCCCGTTATCGACCACGGACCAAAACGCTTAATTTTACAGTCAAATGTAAACAAACTTTGTAAAGCAAACAGCAAAACGCAAAATAAACGAAACAAAAAACCATTTACGAATGTGATTCAAAGGAAAAACAGTTGGAAAACAGTTAAACTATCTAGACGATACAATTTCAAACGATTTTTTTTATGGACGGAAACTAGAAAAGTGAAAATCAACCCGTAAAAACATCAAGGAAGAGAAAGAAATCAAGCTTCATTTCAGGTCAAATAATGCCATATAATAATCCTTTTAATAACCTCGCTTTCTCGCTCTTTACTGAGAAATAAAGGGGGTGCTTAGCATAGTATGAAGCATTTTCATATAACTCAAGGCTGGTGAGGCACCACAGTAGGGTGGAAAGATTTTCATTTGCAATCAAGACAATAGAACAAACATTGTAAAGACAATTTCCATCAGCTAATGTCATAAAACAAGTTGAGTAGAAAATATTACTATATAGTTATATAGTTGAGGTGCATAAATTATTTTTTTAATGTTAGAGAATGATCATGTCCAAAGAAATGAGCTTCAGCTATACAACAAATTAGCAAGCTTAATGTTATGTATCAAGGAAGAGGCTCATTATTTATTTATCTATAGGGTACAAAGCACCCAGCTTGGAGAATAAGTTGCAATTTTACAGCAAACCTTATAAATTGAGAAGGATAATTATTATTTATATAACAATAGGGTAAAAAGCAAACATCTTAGAGAACGAAGTTGCAGTGTTATAGAAAGTTCTAAGAACTGAGGAGGTGGCTTATTTTTATAACTATATGGTCAAAGCAACCCAATCTCAGGAATGCAGTTCCAGTGTCATGGCAAGCATTAAAAATTGAGAAGTAGGATAATTATTTATGTACATCTTTCGGTACAAATCAAACATTGTCAAGGACACAGCTGCATTCGTATAGCAAGCTTTAATAATTAAGATGGTGGCTTATTTGTACATATATCTATATGGTAGTGTTACAAAGTAACCAGCATTTGGGAATAAAGAACTTTGCCTTTTTATAGCAAGCTTAAGTATTGATAAAGAGGCTTATTATTTATATGATCTATATGGTACAAAGCAACCAGTGAGTTTCGAGAATACAGTTGCAGTGTTATAGCAGGCATTAAAAATTAAGAAGTAGCATTATTTTATATACATATATATCAATAGGGTACAAAGCAAACAGCTTCAAGGACACAACTGTAGTGTTATGGCAAGCTTTAATAATTAAGGAGATGGCTTATATTAAATGAAAATACGAGGTCATTTTAATGAACTTTGAGTGACTGACCACCATATTAATTCCATTCGATACATACATCATTAAGGGCCATAAGCATAATTGAGTGATTTTTATCATCTATAGCAAGTAACTACGTCAGAATCTGACCTTACTCGTGCAAAAAGCATATATGTCATTCTGACTCTGCGGAAAAGGCAATTCTGAAAATTCACAAGATCATACTCTTCGTCGTTATTCCAATTTTGCTTGTTCATACTCGCTTGCACCAAAAAGCGTTCATAAGTTTTTTCAGCTTAAAAATCTCGACGTTAATACCTTCTTGAATATTCAAACAACTGAAACTTCGACTTAGTATAGCGCAGAATATCAATACTCGCAATGTAAGAGACCATGGTAGATATAATATGTATCAATCACTGGTATCAATATTGATTTTGGCAAGGTGTTTTACTACTATTTCCCATCTGCAACGATGTCACAGTCATTGCGCAACAAAATTATGCCTAAGGTGTCGATCATAGATATAGTAGGTCTAGATTACTGACGAGCAGTGAACTCGACATTTGAATAACTGGAATGATAACCGAAGCCAAAAATTGAAGCCAAAAAAATATTTGTTGTCATCATTCGTCAGCACACGTCAGGCTCTAGTCTTTCGCTTGTTCATTTTAATTTTTTTAAATCATTTGTCCCTTGGTAATGGTAGAGTTCGGATCTTGATCAGAGCGTAAAAATAACGAATTTTTTGGAATGAAAAGGTTCACGAAAAGTGAATCAAAGTGATAAATCGAGAAGCAAGATGAGGTGAACTTAGTCGATCTGCTCTTACGCTGCGGTTTTCCTTTAAAACATATCAAAGTCTTTAGGGATATTCAATTGTTGATATCGAGATGACAACCATTTAGTATTTCAAGTTTCAAGCACTATCAAAATCGATGTTTTCATCGATTGCTCTGTAAAAAGTAAAAATGCGAGTTATAGACTTGCGATACAATCGCTCTGTAAAAAGTAAAAATGCGAGTTATAGACTCAATATTTTTTATGAAACTGGATATTCAAGTTTCTTTTTTCTTCGGAAAAACAGATCTTTAAATCCACTGAAAGGACAAAAAAAGACAAACACTGTCTGAAACCGTTTGAAAATTTACCTTCCGACGAATGAAAAATTTATGCTTGAATATTTTCTCGTCATATTTTCTATTGTATTGTCTTTTTAGCATACAGTGTAATTTTCAGTTGGCTTTTCCTCGTTACAAGTTGTAAGTTACAACGAGCTCACTGTAGTAAAGTTTCAGCTGTAAAAATTAGCCTTTTGCGAGGAGTTAGCCTGGTGTGTTGTTTGTAGTGATGTTGTTTATATGTTTATGCTTTCGCAATTTGTATTCAAATTTATATTGGCCGTGTATGTTTGGCACTCAGGGGAATGAAACTGACGTACAAACCGCGTGAATATTAGACTTTGAAGGACTGGAACTGACGTACAAACCGCGCAAGAGACTAGGACTTTGGCTTCAACTTTTTATCTATAGAATGTATTGTCGTTATCATTCCAGATATATATATATATGGAGTTCACTGCTGACGAGCCGCCATATTGCGTGACATCCATGATAAATCCAAGATGGCGTGGGAACCGGGCAAAAAACATACAGTCCACTATAGGGCAATTGATGTTTTTCGCAATTTACTTCTTCCCATTGTTTTCAAACTCTTCCGATGAAGTTTTATTCGAAACAAATCTTTATTTCAAGTGTTTTGAAACCATATTGGACAGTTATAATTGAAATACGGGTGAAAATGTCGCTTTCGAAATATTGTGTAAATTGGTCATGTTGTCTCAAGTCGTTTGTCCACTAAGAGAAACAGATTTTTTCAGCTTTAACTCCCATACTGATTTGTTGCGCATCGGAATATGTCATATTGACAATTTACAGAAAGATTGGGGAATCAATCTGAATATTTCTGACAAAAAAGTGACTTATTCGAGAAAGCACTCCCACTGTACTCATACTGATATGTGAGATTCTGACTTTAGAAAGGCCATCCGACTTTGAATGAATGAAAAGAGGAGCAAGGAGATACATAACACTGCAGCACTGTTATCTGCTGACAAGATCTTAGTGAAGCTATTAAAGTTAGTAAACTTAACTGAAGGAAACTTACCTCATCTCAAGTAATTGTATCCAGGAGCATTGGCTATACTGATGAGATCTTACAGCTAAGTGGTTCAACGAAAGAGAAGAGAAGGTTAAATGTTCAGATCATTAAATTAGATATCCAATAATTCACTGCATCATTGAAATCTATTGACAGTGAGTGAACAAAGCAAAATTGAGATAGAATGAGCAAATAAAAATGCTGGCTAAGGCTGAGATTATTATAAGATATAGCTGTGAATAAAATATATGTGACTTTTATGCTTATCATACTTAGTTATAGTATATGTTTTTATTATGCTATAGCTACAACACCATCTATGATACCAGTTGTTTCCAATGGCAATACAATTTTATAACTACAAATGTCTAAATTGCATCACATTATTAACATGCAACTAATGACTTCTGACAAAAATTGTATCATACTGCTCAGTTGGTTCATTTTATGACACTTAGTGAAAGCAAGCTAGCTGAAGAGACACAAAATGTTGATGGGCGAGTTGCAGCATTATTAAACAGTTCCACTCTTTGGCATGATGATGTACTGACATATATCAGTGGATACATAGCCAAGAAAATTACAAGTTGCATCAAGTGTGCTGAATGTGCAACTGCCTTAACCATAGAGAATGATGACCAACCTCTCACACCTCACCACTCATACTGTCGTTAAGGTTCATTAAAGTCAAGCTTAACATCTTTCAAGACCTATGGCAAGCTTACAAGTCCATCCTCCTCATTGGTAAAAGTAGTAAAAGCAGCAGATAAAGCCCTTCGCAAAATGGTCAACATGTGGAGTCAGTTGTCAGAAAAAAACAATCCAAGTTATGCAACCAGATGTCCTGCAAGAAACTAAGCCAAATGTATTTCAATCGCTATTGCAGCATTCTAAGGAAACTCGTGCACTAGATGAGAGCTTTTGCGATGACCGTATCACCATCCTCATCAGAAAAATAGCATACATGTACAGTAAAATATTTTACACCAGTTTTCCAAAGTGTACTCTGAGAGAATCGCTCGTAAAGGAGCTCCATCTCAGCGGCAAAAGATGACAAAACTCATCCTTTTTGGAAACGATTAAGACTCTGTCTGTTAAGTGTCAACACATACAGTATTTGAAGATTGAAAGAACGAATAGCATCCTGAAGTTGACGTAATGTAAAAATTATGAAGATTAATTTTCCCATCTTTTTGTATGTATTCAATATCATGTATTTCAATGTGGACGAACATTTATGGGAACTAAAGCAGACGAAGTCCGTTTAGTTTGGTAGACAAACGCCTCGAGAGAACCAAACGACCAATTTACACAACACTTCGCAAGCGATATTTTCGCCTGTATTCCAATAATAATTGTCTAATATGGCTTCAAAACATTATTAATAACGCTTTGTTTCCAATAAAACTTGATTGGAGGAGTTTGAAAACACTGAAACGAAGTAAACTGCAAAAAAACAACAATTGCCTAATAGTAGCCCTAAGTTTTTTGCCCGGTTCCCGTGCCATCTTGGATTTATCATGAATGTCACGCTGCCGTCTTAATAAGTCTTATATTACGTCACACTCGTCAGCGATCTAGACCTACTATATCTATGGTGTCGATCACGTCTCAAGGCGTGGGGACTAAGCTTAGCTGGCCTGGCAAGGCCTGACCTCTATGCCACACAATAAATCTCATGCAACATGGCGAATAAAACAACAACAGGGAAAACTATGGAAAAAAACACACACAAAAACGAAATTGTGGTACAGTTTGAAGTGCAACATGATTTCAAAACAATTTATTAAAATCGAAGCATGGAAAAGGCGGATATTCTTGTATAGAAGACAAAAAAAAAGCAAGCAGTTGGGGAGTGAACCGGGTGACTCGTTAGCTCACTGAGCTAAGCTTATAGATGACTTTAATACTCAGACTAAGCTTGTTTACAGTTCACTGGCAGACAGATTTATCCTAAGGGAGGTTAACCTTTAATTCCAGTGTTGTCTGCAAATACTCGATTAAACATGCCTCCTAGCAAAACGTAGACATGTCACTTCATCTATAAAATATTGTTGGTATCATTTACACACAGATATATCTATTTCTATGACCCTCATTTGCTAGAAATTTTTTTATAAGGGCCAGTAAAAAAGGATGTTCTTCTACAGCACTTTGATTGAGATACTAAAACATGTTAAATCTTGTGACTCTTGTCTATTTCAAATTTTTACTTTTGCCCTATTGCAGTTTTAAAAAACTGATCATCTCAGTTTTGATAAAGGATAAGTTGCATAGTTTAAGTAGTTAATGTAATAATACACTTGTGCTGTTAATGAAATTGATTATACAGCAAGATCCAGGGTTTTTAAAACTTGACCATTACTTTCTTACAAGCATAGCTCTGTTGCACATTGGCTAGCACATTGGATTCTCACTCAAATTTTCTGACTTCACCAGCCAACCCACTTTAAGTTAATTAAAACCTTTTTCATAGTAGATAGATGCACTCTATGATAAGGTTATGAGGTAATACCAAATGCTATTGTGAAAGTTATTAATGCTCGAGATGTAGAATCAAAAGTAAAAGCTAAAGGCGATGGAATAAAAAAGAAATTTCTTAGTTTCGCCTTTTTTTTTGCTCTTATGTTCATGCGAATCATAATGATAAAAACCAAAATCCTAAACAAACAACTACAGGAGGAGGAGCTAAATATAGTAGATGCACTTAACCTGATTGATGCTACAGTAAAAAACCTTAGACAAATTCGAAGTGACGAGAACGGATTATACTCGGAGATGGAGGCAATGGTTGCATTTGGAACCAAAGTAGGAATAGACGTAATGGCAGAATACACTCGTCATCATCGATCAAGAAAGCCACCCAAACGAATTGGTGAGCATTCCGAAATAACAACAGAAATATCATTTAAATATTTCCACCGAAAGGAAATGTACTTGGTTCTAGACTCACTTATTACCGAGTATACCGATAACATTAAAGATTGCATCGACAAAATAAAACCTCTTGGAGAGAGCTTACAGCTGCCGCTAGAAAGGCCGATGGCTGAAACAGTAAATGAAATGTGTAGTCTTTTTCCACAGGCGGTAAAAGATGTTGATGCAGAAATACTGCTGTCTGAGTTGGAAATTTTCAATATTATTGTATCATCACAACTTAAATCAGAACCCAAATCCCTTCAAGACGTTGCGTTATTTGCTTTCAAATACAAAAACGTCTTTCCAACGGTGTGCAATGCGTA